AATTTAATTTTGATAACAATAGGTATATTTAAATAAAACACTTTATATAAATTATTTTAACTACGGCCTGTCGTTTCGGATGCTTTGCAGCCGCGGTCACGGGGAGGCGGTCACGGCCGTCGGGCCGTAGTTAAAATAATTTTCAAATAAGTTTAACTATTATATATAGCGTTTCAAACTGACATTCAGCTCTTGAAATAGGGATGGAGAGTAATTAAAATATAATATGTATTTTTTCACAATTCAAACAGTCAAAACAGTCGATTGTGGCTTACCCCTAATTCGAGGCTAGTCGTTACACTTTTGGGGTACGATGTTACGGTGGGAAATAAAGAAAATTATTTATTAATATTTGTTTTATTTTAATTAAAGTACTTACAATATCTATTTTAAGTAAATTTATATACATATATTTAACCATATATTAATTTTGTATATTATACAAGTAATAACGCAAATGAGAACGTTTCCCGTTACACAATTTGCATTATAATTACTGTAACCTTTAAATCAAACACTTTATCGGTTTAAAACGCGATATATATTAGTTAAACTCATTTGAAAATGATTTTAACACACAATCATACAATCTTTTTGAGATAATATTTAGTAGTTGAAGAAGTTTGCTACAAACTAAACAAAGCTCACTAGTTTCAGAATCTAAATAGATTTTTCGTTACTTTTGTGTATGTATAACTTACCCCAAAAATTGTCAACTACCCCCATAATCAGTTTATATTTTATAGTTAATATAAACTGAAACTACTAAGGGATGAGGATAGGCCAAAAATAAATCATTAACGTAAGTCAAACATATTTAACAGAAGCTCGGTCTAATTGTTGTGGAATTTAAAATATCCATTTTTTTCACATAGATACTGGTTTGATATCGGGATACATGTACGCCATTTTGCTGTGTTGTAATTTGTGGGTCACTAATAGTTTTTATTTCTAACTAACTAATATACAAAGCTGAACAGTTTGTTTGTGTGTTTGTTTGAACGCGCTAATCTCATGGAAATACTGGTTTGAATTGGAAAATTTATTTGAGTTAGTTAGAACATTTCTTGAGGATGCTGTTAGGCTATAAACGTAGCGCTGTGACTACTAACAAAGGTGAAGATATAGCGGGAATTGTGAAAAAAATTGGGAAATTATTCTATGGGTTTCCGAGGAGTACGCTGCAAGAACTGTTAAGATACCCAAAAAGTATGATTCCTCTTTGGATGATCTAAAAATATGTTTGGGACGCTATATGTCTATCTTTCAAGATTAACTTGCAAGAACGACGGGCCACCAGCGACGAGACGCGACCGATGTGTCTAACAGCTTAAATTTATTAAGATGAAGAATAGGTTTACAAAGAACAAATTTGGATGCCCAAAATAACCATTCCACGCAGACGAAGTCGCTGACACAACTAGTGACATATAAACAAGATGTGCTGTCGATCTATTTTGGCCTTGGATATAGAGTATATAGAATCGATAGTCTGAAACCAAAACGGGATTAAACTTCACGGCTTTTTCATCTGTGGACGTTACGTTACGTTACTTGATGCTGACGGAATTTCGTTATTCATAACACGTTTTTCTGCTCTAGAAATAATTTTTTATGGCAACATAAAGTTTAAATGAAACACTTTTAACGGTTCAAAACGCGAAATGTATTAAACGTTACAAATTATATTATCTACGGCCCGGAGTTTCGGTTTGCAGCAGTCGCGGTCACGGTGTTGAGTTCAACTAGTAAGTACATTTCGCGTTTTTTTTTCACATTACCCGTTGTTTCTTCGCTCCTATTAGTTACACGATGTGTTATAGCCCATAGCCTTCCTCGATAAATGCTCTAACCAACACAAAAAGAACCTCAATTCGAACCTGTAGTTCCTGAGATTAGCGCGTTCAAACAAACAAACAAACTCTTCAGCTTTATATATTAGTATAGATTGTTTAAATTACAGGAAGGATGTTTATCTATTTGAACCCTGAAAAACAATAAAAGGCCGTGTAAATACAGAATTTCATGTGATTTTCACAACACTTTTCACGTTGCATCGAGACGAGACGGTTAGCTGACAGCTGTTTAGAAAATGGGGTAATTGAGGAATTATTATGAATTTTAATGTATTTGATATTATTAAAATAAGTAATTTGTTGTATTGAGTCGCTCAAAAAATAGCTTTAGTGATTATTATAGTCCCTTAGACGAATCCGGATCGCTCAAAATTTAGTTCGGTATTTGGGATCTAAAGAAGAAGTGTAGTTTTAGCCCACCAAACAGCACTGAAGCAGCGTGGTGGGTCACAGGTAAAGTCCGTCTTTCAGAGGAGGCTTGGGCCCAGCGCTGGGATAGAAAACTGAAACAGTTTTGTATTTGGCAACCTGATGCAAGGACATGGATATGTTATATATTATATAATTTTAACGGTTTTAAACGCGTTACATGTTGGTTAACAACGAGCTTACGTTTCAGCCGTCTCCGGAGCTTACTACAGCTGTATAAAGCATCCGATTCGCGTTTCGAACCGTTAAAAGTGATCTTTTAAGCTTCCACTCGCGTAAACTATAGACAATTCTTTATTTTCAGATTGTTACACATCGTAAGCCGCTTTTGTTTCTGCTCCTTTATCATATCTTGGTTACCAGACTGCATTCGATGTCGACTTCCTTTCGGTTGGGGAACAATGGATAGACACGAGGATTGTCACCGGTCTTAGAAATATCCACTCTAATATTACTAATTTATTGCTTAAGCCAATTGTTAATTTTGTTCTTCACAATTCAGACAAATAAATCATAATGTATTAATTTTTTTATTTATTTACTAGCTGTGTCAGCGACTTGATCCGTGTGGAATAATTATCATATAAATATTTTCGCTGTATCTTCGCTTGTATTAGTCACAGGTCGACGATATATAGCCTAAAACCTTCCTCGATAAATGCTCTAACCAACGCAAAAATTAGTGTTGCCCAAACGCAAGAACAAGACGAGACTTAGCCAGTCTTGGTCTTGGTCTTGCGCCAATACACCTGGTCATGGTCTTGGTCTTGGTCTTGCGCTCCCAGTCTTGGGCTTGGTCTTGGTCTTGCAAGTCTTGCAAGTCTTGCAATTACCTATTAGTCTATTACTATTTATTAAAGTTTACTTTCAATCCTAGAAAAACGTATTAGAATTGGAACATTGTGAGCTTGAATGAATATAGCCATAGTAAAGATCAAGCAGATTAATAAATAACTGAAGATTTGATAAGAAATTCGAAAAATCAACTGACCTATATGTCGTTTTCCATGGAAGTAACTGTTTCTTAATAAACATTTATGATTTATAAGCTTACATTTGCTAAAACATGTAAAAAAACAAATTAATTACAATAACTTGACTGTATTTTAAAGAACAATACTTATCTGTCTAAAAAAAGATTGAACCCTCAACTTATAAGAAATTTAATAAAAGTGTTTTACGATTTAAATAAAACACTTTAACGGTTTAAAACGCGATATATTAGTTAAACTTATTTGAAAATGATTTTTAACTTCGGCCCGACGTTTCGGATGCTTTGCAGCAGCCGTGGACACGAAACGTCGGGCCGAAGTTAAAAATCATTTTCAACTAATATATCGCGTTTTAAACCGTTAAAGTGTTTTATTTAAATGTGTATTACTCTCGTAAACTATAGACAGTATTTAGTTTTACGATTTATCATTTATTTGAATAAAAAATAAAATACAACACAAATCAACAGCTTTATCATTAGGTTATGATACTTTATATCAATTTTTTTGACCAAGAATTAATACAAAGTAACCATCTGGCTGACTGACTCATCACTTAACCTATTTCTATGTTAACAATAATATAAAGCGTGTAAAAAAATTCAAAATTATTTTGCATGAGTATACCTACGCCCTATGGCGGCAATCAAATAGTGTCAAATGTTATGATTTCGGCGTGGCGGCAACGATTGTTTTAGATTTCAAAAGAAGCCGCCGGCGCGTGTATCATAACCATGTACTTCCGAAAAGCGGCAAATTTCTTTGAGAAGTAAGTACAAAACTTTTGATGCCGCATTATCAAAGTCCCGATGGTTAAAACATAACTATGCATGCACTCAGTTTGATTTTAATAATTTTTTTATTCGCTATGTTTATGGTATTAGTCGTAATGCGCATAGGTCCAGTTTTTCATATTCTTTGATACAGTTTTTTGCGTCTCATAGAATTCCTAAGCGTACCTACCTACACACCGAACTGTTACTTCTAACTACTCAGTGAAATAGCGCTAAGTCCTAGCTGCAAGACGCAAGAGTCTTGCAGGCTATGTCTTGTTCTTGCTCAAGTCTTGCACGGTCAGTCTTGGTCTTGGTCTTGCTAAAAATACGCGGTCTTGTTCTTGGTCTTGGTCTTGCAAAAACGCAAGAACAAGACCAAGACTGCAAGACCAAGACTGAATTTGGGCAACACTAGCACAAATAGTTTTTTAAATCTCCATCAGTAATTTATGAGATGAGCGCGTTAAAACAAACAAACTCTTCAGCTTTATATTAGTAAAGTTAAAACCAATCTAACGAATAAATATTATAATTGGTAACAACGCATTAATTTCGACTAAAAATTTATTACCCTAACATTGGTTACGAGTTAATAATAACCAATTTATATTTTAAAGTAACCGATTTTAAATATAAAACTTTATACAAATAAATACGGTTTAAAACGCGATATATTAGTTAACTCCCCGTGACCACGGCTGCTGCAAAGCATTCGAAACGTCGGGCCGAACTTAAAAATCATTTTCAAATAAGATTAACTCATATATCGCGTTTTAAACCGTTGTGTTTTATTTAAATGTGTACTACTCGCGTAAACTATAGACAGGTTTATTTTTGTTTAGGTTAGACTATAAATAACTCAGGACAACACTAACGAACACATTTTCAGTTATAAATTCGTTATCTGTGGTTGTATTATAATTAAATTATAAATAATTTGCAATAACATGAGGTAAGGATAATGTATCATTTGTTTTCCCTCTATAGCACTGCGAATTTGTGTAGCTATTTAGTTCAAGATTAATTCAACATTAAACAATAAAAACAATTTAAATAAAACACTTTAACGGTTTAAAACGCGATATATTAGTTAAACTTATTTGAAAATGATTTTTAACTTCGGCCCGACGTTTCGGATGCTTTGCAGCAGCCGTGGTCACGGGTTATAACGTGGTCATAAGTTTAACTAATATATCGCGTTTTAAACCGTTAAAGTGTTTTATTTAAATGTGTACTACTCGCGTAAACTATAGACAGTATTTAATAAAAACAATATTTAGATTGTCAGCAATTTACCCGGTCTGACTCGAACCGGCATCGACAGTTCCGTGCTGCTCCAACCAATTGAGTTAGCACGTGAGCTGTCACGGTAGCTAAAATGGCTAGAGCAGCTGTAGATGCCAGTTCGAGTCCCGCCGGTAATGGAAAACTTTTTAACTAAATAGAATTTTTAATTTAACTGTTGCATCGGTAACACCAGGCCGTACTTATATAAGTTGGCTTATAGATTTCGCATATTAAACAGTTTAAAATGTTTCATTTGACACGGTACCTCATCAGCTTAACGGTTCGAGTCCCGCCCATGTTGTAAAAAAATTGCCGTAATATATTTTATTTCCATTGTAAGTATTGTAAACCGTAGTTGGCATACATTGTAAAGTTAAGTTCAGATTTCGTAATTTAAACCGTTCAAAATGTTTTATTTAAATAGCCTATTGCAGTTTATCTAGCCAATGGCACACTTCCGACTTAGCAAATTTTATTTCATAAAACCGTCAAATATTTATACATGAGTTGAAAAAAAATCAAATATGACGAGTTGGACTCAGTAGTTCAAACAGTTAGAGCAACAGCGCAGAACGCTGTAATAAATATTAAAATTTGTTATTTTGGGGGGTGTACTTCCGAAAAGCGCATACCGCAGATCGATCTGAAATCTGGTATACTCATAATCTTATCTATAATTTTGATAGGAGGTCAAAATACATAAGTAGTTTTCGAATCGAAGTTTATCCATTTTGGGCATCCAAATTTGTTTTTGCAAACCTCCTGTTCGACTCTATAAATTTAATTTAACTCACGACGTCGTCCGCGTCCCGTCGTTGTTGCCAGTTAATCTTAAACGATAGACATATACAGTCGCGAATATTTTTTTTAATCATTTAAAGAAGAATCATTCTTTTAAATAAAACACTTTAACGGTTTAAAACGCGATATATTAGTTAAACTTATTTAAACTTTTGTCTCCCTGTGACCACGGCTGCTGCAAAGCATCGGAAACGTCGGGCCGAAGTTTACCGTTAAAGTGTTTTATTTAAATGTGTACTACTCGCGTAAACTATAGACAGTATTTAAGAATCATTATTTCATTCATTTTTTTGGGTATCTTAAACATTTTTTCGCAGCGTGCTCAACGGAACCCCACAAGGATAAATAAATTTTCCAGTTTTCTCCACATTTCCCGCTGTCCCTACGCTTGTATTAGTCGCAGCGCGATGTTTCATAGTCTTCCTCGATAAATGCTCTAGCCAACACAAAATAATTTTTCAATTCGAACCCATAGTTCCTGGGATCAGCGCGTTCAAACACACAAACTCTTCAGCTTTATTAGTGTAGACTAGCTGTGCCCGCGACTTCGTTCGCGTGGAATAGTGACTTGGGGTAGAATTTTTAATTATTTAGGCTGTTTATTAATTTATGTAAAAAAGGAACCTATGTTACTCCCTATTACATCAGCTATATGTTAGTGAAAGTTCCGTGAAAATCGGTCTAGCCGTTTCCGAGATTAGCTGGAACAAACAGACAGACATCCAAAAATTTTTTATAAATGTTGTTTTGGTATGTGTACCGTATATACATATACATTTAGTAAAAAGCTGTTATTTTAATGTTACAAACAGACACTACAATTTTATTTATTTGTATAGATGTATTATTTTCAGGTGGTACGTATTTTTACACTTCATAGTACATATTTCCATTTTGGATGCTGCAAGATCAAATTTAGATTTCAGTAGAGCATTTATATGGCTGGACAGTTTTCTACCTGCAAATTTGACTGACATTTCCGAAGCACTAGGAGAGACCACCACTACCCCCCCACCTCCGGAAGGGCGCGATGAATTGGGTCTTGGTATACAATATCAATTATATATGGTTCGTTCCGTTAGGATCGTTCTCTGAGACGAGGGTTTTAGAATAAAACTATTTAAGAAAGAAATTGTAAACTAAAAAAATAAACACTGCCTGTAGTTTACGCGAGTAGTATACATATCGCGTTTTAAACCGTTAATGTGTATTATTTAAATGTGTACTACTCGCATAAACTACAAACAGTATTTAAAAAATCAATATCAATTAATATATTTCGCGTTTTAAACCGTTAATGGTTTTTCAAATGCTTTCTTACACTCGATGGAAGGTGAAACTCCTCCAGGCCTTTATTACTTAACTAAAACCTATTTTGGATGTGGACATTATTTTGCCTTTTTTTTAGGTGAAAGCACGCGATGCAGAACCGAAAATGTAACGGATGGCCAATGTGTGCCTTTTACGTCTTGTACTGACGCCATGGACACGACAAGACGAAGAATATATATCCTCAATGATGGGTTAGTGTTCACCATATTTCTTGTATGGGGTACAGACAAGTTTGGTGTTCATTTGATGGTAGGTGATATAGGCCAGCCTATATCATCTAAGAAGTGCGGTCGACCTATTTTGGCTTTGGATATCCTGAAATAACTGAGACTGAAACTCGATTAAACTTCACGGAGTTTTCTTCAGTGGACGGCGGTTCGTGACCCGGACGGAATATCTATATTCCTACCACTATCCAGGACGGAATATCTATATTCCTACCACTATCCAGGACGGAATATCTATATTCCTACCACTATCCAGAACGGAATATCTATATTCCTACCACACCAATATCTAGACTTCCAGACAGAGTCCAACATGATTTAGAAAAATTTAATGAAAAATTAGAAAAATGTTGGACTTGGTGAGGATTGAATCCACGACTTGCTAAGCTTGCTACCACTAGACCAACGACACAATCTCTTAATGATTTAAACCTAGAAATGTAATTAAACTTATTTACAAATTATTTTTACTACGGCCCGACGTTTCGAGAATTCCCCCTTGACCACGGCTGCTGCACGTTGGACTATAGTTAAAATAATATTTCTATGAATGTAACTAATACATTTCGAGTTTAAAACCGCTAAAAGTGTTTTAATTAAAAGTAAAAGTGTTTATTTAATATCGATTGGGTTGTTTAAAATTAACACCACGTTTTAATGTATATTTTTCCAGAGATATCGATTGCCCCCACAATTTGCTGGTCTGCTGTCCTGATGAGAACGTACTCCACGAAGAGACTACCAACACTGATGATGATGAAGAAGTTGTGCGTTAGGTTTTTCAAACCCATTTAAAAACCAAGTAGTTGATAGTTTTTTGTTTTGCCCGAATCTATATTATTTTCCCGGGATTCAAACCGTGGACATACGCTTAACGCACTGCTAGCCATGACTCGGAGCTTTCACAAAAGTGTTGAGATTCCTTTTACAAATACTGTCAGTAGTTTACGCGAGTGGTACACATTTAAATAAAACACTTTAACGGTTTAAAACGCGATATATTTTAGTTTAACTTGTTTGAAAATTATTTTTAACTACGGCCCGACGTTTCGAACGCTTTGCAGCAGCCGTAGTCACGGGGAGACAAAATAATTTTCAAACAAGTTTAACTAAAATATATCGCGTTTTATTCCGTTAAAGTGTTTTATTTAAATTGTTTTTCTGCTCTATAAATAATTTGTATGGCAACATAAAGTTTAAATGAAACACTTTTAACGGTTCAAAACGCGAAATGTATTAAACGTTACAAATTATATTATCTACGGCCCGGAGTTTCGGTTTGCAGCAGTCGCGGTCACGGTGTTGAGTTCAACTAGTAAGTACATTTCGCGTTTTTTTTTCACATTACCCGTTGTTTCTTCGCTCCTATTAGTTACACGATGTGTTATAGCCCATAGCCTTCCTCGATAAATGCTCTAACCAACACAAAAAGAACCTCAATTCGAACCTGTAGTTCCTGAGATTAGCGCGTTCAAACAAACAAACAAACTCTTCAGCTTTATATATTAGTATAGATTGTTAAATTACAGGAAGGATGTTTATCTGAACATTTATATGAACCCTGAAAAACAATAAAAGGCCGTGTAAATACAGAATTTCATGTGATTTTCACAACACTTTTCACGTTGCATCGAGACGAGACGGTTAGCTGACAGCTGTTTAGAAAATGGGGTAATTGAGGAATTATTATGAATTTTAATGTATTTGATATTATTAAAATAAGTAATTTGTTGTATTGAGTCGCTCAAAAAATAGCTTTAGTGATTATTATAGTCCCTTAGACGAATCCGGATCGCTCAAAATTTAGTTCGGTATTTGGGATCTAAAGAAGAAGTGTAGTTTTAGCCCACCAAACAGCACTGAAGCAGCGTGGTGGGTCACAGGTAAAGTCCGTCTTTCAGAGGAGGCTTGGGCCCAGCGCTGGGATAGAAAACTGAAACAGTTTTGTATTTGGCAACCTCGTTCAAGGAGATGGATATGTTATATATATAATTTTAACGGTTTTAAACGCGTTATATATTGGTTAACAACGAGCTTACGTTTCAGCCGTCTCCGGAGCTTACTACAGCTGTATAAAGCATCCGATTCGCGTTTCGAACCGTTAAAAGTGATCTTTTAAGCTTCCACTCGCGTAAACTATAGACAATTCTTTATTTTCAGATTGTTACACATCGTAAGCCGCTTTTGTTTCTGCTCCTTTATCATATCTTGGTTACCAGACTGCATTCGATGTCGACTTCCTTTCGGTTGGGGAACAATGGATAGACACGAGGATTGTCACCGGTCTTAGAAATATCCACTCTAATATTACTAATTTATTGCTTAAGCCAATTGTTAATTTTGTTCTTCACAATTCAGACAAATAAATCATAATGTATTAATTTTTCTTATTTATTTACTAGCTCTGTCAGCGACTTGATCCGTGTGGAATAATTATCATATAAATATTTTCGCTGTATCTTCGCTTGTATTAGTCACAGGTCGACGATATATAGCCTAAAACCTTCCTCGATAAATGCTCTAACCAACGCAAAAATAGTTTTTTAAATCTCCATCAGTAATTTATGAGATGAGCGCGTTAAAACAAACAAACTCTTCAGCTTTATATATTAGTAAAGTTAAAACCAATCTAACGAATGAATATTATAATTATTAGTAACAACGCATTAATTTCGATTAAAAATTTACTACCCTAACATTGGTTACGAGTTAATAATAACCAATTTATATTTTAAAGTAACCGATTTTAAATATAAAACTTTATACAATTAAAATACGGTTTAAAACGCGATATATTAGTTAACTCCCCGTGACCACGGCTGCTGCAAAGCATTCGAAACGTCGGGCCGAACTTAAAAATCATTTTCAAATAAGATTAACTCATATATCGCGTTTTAAACCGTTGTGTTTTATTTAAATGTGTACTACTCGCGTAAACTATAGACAGGTTTATTTTTGTTTAGGTTAGACTATAAATAACTCAGGACAACACTAACGAACACATTTTCAGTTATAAATTCGTTATCTGTGGTTGTATTATAATTAAATTATAAATAATTTGCAATAACATGAGGTAAGGATAATGTATCATTTGTTTTCCCTCTATAGCACTGCGAATTTGTGTAGCTATTTAGTTCAAGATTAATTCAACATTAAACAATAAAAACAATTTAAATAAAACACTTTAACGGTTTAAAACGCGATATATTAGTTAAACTTATTTGAAAATGATTTTTAACTTCGGCCCGACGTTTCGGATGCTTTGCAGCAGCCGTGGTCACGGGTTATAACGTGGTCATAAGTTTAACTAATATATCGCGTTTTAAACCGTTAAAGTGTTTTATTTAAATGTGTACTACTCGCGTAAACTATAGACAGTATTTAATAAAAACAATATTTAGATTGTCAGCAATTTACCCGGTCTGACTCGAACCGGCATCGACAGTTCCGTGCTGCTCCAACCAATTGAGTTAGCACGTGAGCTGTCACGGTAGCTAAAATGGCTAGAGCAGCTGTAGATGCCAGTTCGAGTCCCGCCGGTAATGGAAAACTTTTTAACTAAATAGAATTTTTAATTTAACTGTTGCATCGGTAACACCAGGCCGTACTTATATAAGTTGGCTTATAGATTTCGCATATTAAACAGTTTAAAATGTTTCATTTGACACGGTACCTCATCAGCTTAACGGTTCGAGTCCCGCCCATGTTGTAAAAAAATTGCCGTAATATATTTTATTTCCATTGTAAGTATTGTAAACCGTAGTTGGCATACATTGTAAAGTTAAGTTCAGATTTCGTAATTTAAACCGTTCAAAATGTTTTTTTAAATAGCCTATTGCAGTTTATCTAGCTAATGGTACACTTCCGACTTAGCAAATTTTATTTCATAAAACCGTCAAATATTTATACATGAGTTGAAAAAAAATCAAATATGACGAGTTGGACTCAGTAGTTCAAACAGTTAGAGCAACAGCGCAGAACGCTGTAATAAATATTAAAATTTGTTATTTTGGGGGGTGTACTTCCGAAAAGCGCATACCGCAGATCGATCTGAAATCTGGTATACTCATAATCTTATCTATAATTTTGATAGGAGGTCAAAATACATAAGTAGTTTTCGAATCGAAGTTTATCCATTTTGGGCATCCAAATTTGTTTTTGCAAACCTCCTGTTCGACTCTATAAATTTAATTTAACTCACGACGTCGTCCGCGTCCCGTCGTTGTTGCCAGTTAATCTTAAACGATAGACATATACAGTCGCGAATATTTTTTTTAATCATTTAAAGAAGAATCATTCTTTTAAATAAAACACTTTAACGGTTTAAAACGCGATATATTAGTTAAACTTATTTAAACTTTTGTCTCCCTGTGACCACGGCTGCTGCAAAGCATCGGAAACGTCGGGCCGAAGTTTACCGTTAAAGTGTTTTATTTAAATGTGTACTACTCGCGTAAACTATAGACAGTATTTAAGAATCATTATTTCATTCATTTTTTTGGGTATCTTAAACATTTTTTCGCAGCGTGCTCAACGGAACCCCACAAGGATAAATAAATTTTCCAGTTTTCTCCACATTTCCCGCTGTCCCTACGCTTGTATTAGTCGCAGCGCGATGTTTCATAGTCTTCCTCGATAAATGCTCTAGCCAACACAAAATAATTTTTCAATTCGAACCCATAGTTCCTGGGATCAGCGCGTTCAAACACACAAACTCTTCAGCTTTATTAGTGTAGACTAGCTGTGCCCGCGACTTCGTTCGCGTGCACAGCTAGTGAATAGTGACTTGGGGTAGAATTTTTAATTATTTAGGCTGTTTATTAATTTATGTAAAAAAGGAACCTATGTTACTCCCTATTACATCAGCTATATGTTAGTGAAAGTTCCGTGAAAATCGGTCTAGCCGTTTCCGAGATTAGCTGGAACAAACAGACAGACATCCAAAAATTTTTTATAAATGTTGTTTTGGTATGTGTACCGTATATACATATACATTTAGTAAAAAGCTGTTATTTTAATGTTACAAACAGACACTACAATTTTATTTATTTGTATAGATGTATTATTTTCAGGTGGTACGTATTTTTACACTTCATAGTACATATTTCCATTTTGGATGCTGCAAGATCAAATTTAGATTTCAGTAGAGCATTTATATGGCTGGACAGTTTTCTACCTGCAAATTTGACTGACATTTCCGAAGCACTAGGAGAGACCACCACTACCCCCCCACCTCCGGAAGGGCGCGATGAATTGGGTCTTGGTATACAATATCAATTATATATGGTTCGTTCCGTTAGGATCGTTCTCTGAGACGAGGGTTTTAGAATAAAACTATTTAAGAAAGAAATTGTAAACTAAAAAAATAAACACTGCCTGTAGTTTACGCGAGTAGTATACATATCGCGTTTTAAACCGTTAATGTGTATTATTTAAATGTGTACTACTCGCATAAACTACAAACAGTATTTAAAAAATCAATATCAATTAATATATTTCGCGTTTTAAACCGTTAATGGTTTTTCAAATGCTTTCTTACACTCGATGGAAGGTGAAACTCCTCCAGGCCTTTATTACTTAACTAAAACCTATTTTGGATGTGGACATTATTTTGCCTTTTTTTTAGGTGAAAGCACGCGATGCAGAACCGAAAATGTAACGGATGGCCAATGTGTGCCTTTTACGTCTTGTACTGACGCCATGGACACGACAAGACGAAGAATATATATCCTCAATGATGGGTTAGTGTTCACCATATTTCTTGTATGGGGTACAGACAAGTTTGGTGTTCATTTGATGGTAGGTGATATAGGCCAGCCTATATCATCTAAGAAGTGCGGTCGACCTATTTTGGCTTTGGATATCCTGAAATAACTGAGACTGAAACTCGATTAAACTTCACGGAGTTTTCTTCAGTGGACGGCGGTTCGTGACCCGGACGGAATATCTATATTCCTACCACTATCCAGGACGGAATATCTATATTCCTACCACTATCCAGGACGGAATATCTATATTCCTACCACTATCCAGAACGGAATATCTATATTCCTACCACACCAATATCTAGACTTCCAGACAGAGTCCAACATGATTTAGAAAAATTTAATGAAAAATTAGAAAAATGTTGGACTTGGTGAGGATTGAATCCACGACTTGCTAAGCTTGCTACCACTAGACCAACGACACAATCTCTTAATGATTTAAACCTAGAAATGTAATTAAACTTATTTACAAATTATTTTTACTACGGCCCGACGTTTCGAGAATTCCCCCTTGACCACGGCTGCTGCACGTTGGACTATAGTTAAAATAATATTTCTATGAATGTAACTAATACATTTCGAGTTTAAAACCGCTAAAAGTGTTTTAATTAAAAGTAAAAGTGTTTATTTAATATCGATTGGGTTGTTTAAAATTAACACCACGTTTTAATGTATATTTTTCCAGAGATATCGATTGCCCCCACAATTTGCTGGTCTGCTGTCCTGATGAGAACGTACTCCACGAAGAGACTACCAACACTGATGATGATGAAGAAGTTGTGCGTTAGGTTTTTCAAACCCATTTAAAAACCAAGTAGTTGATAGTTTTTTGTTTTGCCCGAATCTATATTATTTTCCCGGGATTCAAACCGTGGACATACGCTTAACGCACTGCTAGCCATGACTCGGAGCTTTCACAAAAGTGTTGAGATTCCTTTTACAAATACTGTCAGTAGTTTACGCGAGTGGTACACATTTAAATAAAACACTTTAACGGTTTAAAACGCGATATATTTTAGTTTAACTTGTTTGAAAATTATTTTTAACTACGGCCCGACGTTTCGAACGCTTTGCAGCAGCCGTAGTCACGGGGAGACAAAATAATTTTCAAACAAGTTTAACTAAAATATATCGCGTTTTATTCCGTTAAAGTGTTTTATTTAAATTGTTTTTCTGCTCTATAAATAATTTGTATGGCAACATAAAGTTTAAATGAAACACTTTTAACGGTTCAAAACGCGAAATGTATTAAACGTTACAAATTATATTATCTACGGCCCGGAGTTTCGGTTTGCAGCAGTCGCGGTCACGGTGTTGAGTTCAACTAGTAAGTACATTTCGCGTTTTTTTTTCACATTACCCGTTGTTTCTTCGCTCCTATTAGTTACACGATGTGTTATAGCCCATAGCCTTCCTCGATAAATGCTCTAACCAACACAAAAAGAACCTCAATTCGAACCTGTAGTTCCTGAGATTAGCGCGTTCAAACAAACAAACAAACTCTTCAGCTTTATATATTAGTATAGATTGTTAAATTACAGGAAGGATGTTTATCTGAACATTTATATGAACCCTGAAAAACAATAAAAGGCCGTGTAAATACAGAATTTCATGTGATTTTCACAACACTTTTCACGTTGCATCGAGACGAGACGGTTAGCTGACAGCTGTTTAGAAAATGGGGTAATTGAGGAATTATTATGAATTTTAATGTATTTGATATTATTAAAATAAGTAATTTGTTGTATTGAGTCGCTCAAAAAATAGCTTTAGTGATTATTATAGTCCCTTAGACGAATCCGGATCGCTCAAAATTTAGTTCGGTATTTGGGATCTAAAGAAGAAGTGTAGTTTTAGCCCACCAAACAGCACTGAAGCAGCGTGGTGGGTCACAGGTAAAGTCCGTCTTTCAGAGGAGGCTTGGGCCCAGCGCTGGGATAGAAAACTGAAACAGTTTTGTATTTGGCAACCTCGTTCAAGGAGATGGATATGTTATATATATAATTTTAACGGTTTTAAACGCGTTATATATTGGTTAACAACGAGCTTACGTTTCAGCCGTCTCCGGAGCTTACTACAGCTGTATAAAGCATCCGATTCGCGTTTCGAACCGTTAAAAGTGATCTTTTAAGCTTCCACTCGCGTAAACTATAGACAATTCTTTATTTTCAGATTGTTACACATCGTAAGCCGCTTTTGTTTCTGCTCCTTTATCATATCTTGGTTACCAGACTGCATTCGATGTCGACTTCCTTTCGGTTGGGGAACAATGGATAGACACGAGGATTGTCACCGGTCTTAGAAATATCCACTCTAATATTACTAATTTATTGCTTAAGCCAATTGTTAATTTTGTTCTTCACAATTCAGACAAATAAATCATAATGTATTAATTTTTCTTATTTATTTACTAGCTCTGTCAGCGACTTGATCCGTGTGGAATAATTATCATATAAATATTTTCGCTGTATCTTCGCTTGTATTAGTCACAGGTCGACGATATATAGCCTAAAACCTTCCTCGATAAATGCTCTAACCAACGCAAAAATAGTTTTTTAAATCTCCATCAGTAATTTATGAGATGAGCGCGTTAAAACAAACAAACTCTTCAGCTTTATATATTAGTAAAGTTAAAACCAATCTAACGAATGAATATTATAATTATTAGTAACAACGCATTAATTTCGATTAAAAATTTACTACCCTAACATTGGTTACGAGTTAATAATAACCAATTTATATTTTAAAGTAACCGATTTTAAATATAAAACTTTATACAATTAAAATACGGTTTAAAACGCGATATATTAGTTAACTCCCCGTGACCACGGCTGCTGCAAAGCATTCGAAACGTCGGGCCGAACTTAAAAATCATTTTCAAATAAGATTAACTCATATATCGCGTTTTAAACCGTTGTGTTTTATTTAAATGTGTACTACTCGCGTAAACTATAGACAGGTTTATTTTTGTTTAGGTTAGACTATAAATAACTCAGGACAACACTAACGAACACATTTTCAGTTATAAATTCGTTATCTGTGGTTGTATTATAATTAAATTATAAATAATTTGCAATAACATGAGGTAAGGATAATGTATCATTTGTTTTCCCTCTATAGCACTGCGAATTTGTGTAGCTATTTAGTTCAAGATTAATTCAACATTAAACAATAAAAACAATTTAAATAAAACACTTTAACGGTTTAAAACGCGATATATTAGTTAAACTTATTTGAAAATGATTTTTAACTTCGGCCCGACGTTTCGGATGCTTTGCAGCAGCCGTGGTCACGGGTTATAACGTGGTCATAAGTTTAACTAATATATCGCGTTTTAAACCGTTAAAGTGTTTTATTTAAATGTGTACTACTCGCGTAAACTATAGACAGTATTTAATAAAAACAATATTTAGATTGTCAGCAATTTACCCGGTCTGACTCGAACCGGCATCGACAGTTCCGTGCTGCTCCAACCAATTGAGTTAGCACGTGAGCTGTCACGGTAGCTAAAATGGCTAGAGCAGCTGTAGATGCCAGTTCGAGTCCCGCCGGTAATGGAAAACTTTTTAACTAAATAGAATTTTTAATTTAACTGTTGCATCGGTAACACCAGGCCGTACTTATATAAGTTGGCTTATAGATTTCGCATATTAAACAGTTTAAAATGTTTCATTTGACACGGTACCTCATCAGCTTAACGGTTCGAGTCCCGCCCATGTTGTAAAAAAATTGCCGTAATATATTTTATTTCCATTGTAAGTATTGTAAACCGTAGTTGGCATACATTGTAAAGTTAAGTTCAGATTTCGTAATTTAAACCGTTCAAAATGTTTTTTTAAATAGCCTATTGCAGTTTATCTAGCTAATGGTACACTTCCGACTTAGCAAATTTTATTTCATAAAACCGTCAAATATTTATACATGAGTTGAAAAAAAATCAAATATGACGAGTTGGACTCAGTAGTTCAAACAGTTAGAGCAACAGCGCAGAACGCTGTAATAAATATTAAAATTTGTTATTTTGGGGGGTGTACTTCCGAAAAGCGCATACCGCAGATCGATCTGAAATCTGGTATACTCATAATCTTATCTATAATTTTGATAGGAGGTCAAAATACATAAGTAGTTTTCGAATCGAAGTTTATCCATTTTGGGCATCCAAATTTGTTTTTGCAAACCTCCTGTTCGACTCTATAAATTTAATTTAACTCACGACGTCGTCCGCGTCCCGTCGTTGTTGCCAGTTAATCTTAAACGATAGACATATACAGTCGCGAATATTTTTTTTAATCATTTAAAGAAGAATCATTCTTTTAAATAAAACACTTTAACGGTTTAAAACGCGATATATTAGTTAAACTTATTTAAACTTTTGTCTCCCTGTGACCACGGCTGCTGCAAAGCATCGGAAACGTCGGGCCGAAGTTTACCGTTAAAGTGTTTTATTTAAATGTGTACTACTCGCGTAAACTATAGACAGTATTTAAGAATCATTATTTCATTCATTTTTTTGGGTATCTTAAACATTTTTTCGCAGCGTGCTCAACGGAACCCCACAAGGATAAATAAATTTTCCAGTTTTCTCCACATTTCCCGCTGTCCCTACGCTTGTATTAGTCGCAGCGCGATGTTTCATAGTCTTCCTCGATAAATGCTCTAGCCAACACAAAATAATTTTTCAATTCGAACCCATAGTTCCTGGGATCAGCGCGTTCAAACACACAAACTCTTCAGCTTTATTAGTGTAGACTAGCTGTGCCCGCGACTTCGTTCGCGTGCACAGCTAGTGAATAGTGACTTGGGGTAGAATTTTTAATTATTTAGGCTGTTTATTAATTTATGTAAAAAAGGAACCTATGTTACTCCCTATTACATCAGCTATATGTTAGTGAAAGTTCCGTGAAAATCGGTCTAGCCGTTTCCGAGATTAGCTGGAACAAACAGACAGACATCCAAAAATTTTTTATAAATGTTGTTTTGGTATGTGTACCGTATATACATATACATTTAGTAAAAAGCTGTTATTTTAATGTTACAAACAGACACTACAATTTTATTTATTTGTATAGATGTATTATTTTCAGGTGGTACGTATTTTTACACTTCATAGTACATATTTCCATTTTGGATGCTGCAAGATCAAATTTAGATTTCAGTAGAGCATTTATATGGCTGGACAGTTTTCTACCTGCAAATTTGACTGACATTTCCGAAGCACTAGGAGAGACCACCACTACCCCCCCCACCTCCGGAAGGGCGCGATGAATTGGGTCTTGGTATACAATATCAATTATATATGGTTCGTTCCGTTAGGATCGTTCTCTGAGACGAGGGTTTTAGAATAAAACTATTTAAGAAAGAAATTGTAAACTAAAAAAATAAACACTGCCTGTAGTTTACGCGAGTAGTATACATATCGCGTTTTAAACCGTTAATGTGTATTATTTAAATGTGTACTACTCGCATAAACTACAAACAGTATTTAAAAAATCAATATCAATTAATATATTTCGCGTTTTAAACCGTTAATGGTTTTTCAAATGCTTTCTTACACTCGATGGAAGGTGAAACTCCTCCAGGCCTTTATTACTTAACTAAAACCTATTTTGGATGTGGACATTATTTTGCCTTTTTTTTAGGTGAAAGCACGCGATGCAGAACCGAAAATGTAACGGATGGCCAATGTGTGCCTTTTACGTCTTGTACTGACGCCATGGACACGACAAGACGAAGAATATATATCCTCAATGATGGGTTAGTGTTCACCATATTTCTTGTATGGGGTACAGACAAGTTTGGTGTTCATTTGATGGTAGGTGATATAGGCCAGCCTATATCATCTAAGAAGTGCGGTCGACCTATTTTGGCTTTGGATATCCTGAAATAACTGAGACTGAAACTCGATTAAACTTCACGGAGTTTTCTTCAGTGGACGGCGGTTCGTGACCCGGACGGAATATCTATATTCCTACCACTATCCAGGACGGAATATCTATATTCCTACCACTATCCAGGACGGAATATCTATATTCCTACCACTATCCAGAACGGAATATCTATATTCCTACCACACCAATATCTAGACTTCCAGACAGAGTCCAACATGATTTAGAAAAATTTAATGAAAAATTAGAAAAATGTTGGACTTGGTGAGGATTGAATCCACGACTTGCTAAGCTTGCTACCACTAGACCAACGACACAATCTCTTAATGATTTAAACCTAGAAATGTAATTAAACTTATTTACAAATTATTTTTACTACGGCCCGACGTTTCGAGAATTCCCCCTTGACCACGGCTGCTGCACGTTGGACTATAGTTAAAATAATATTTCTATGAATGTAACTAATACATTTCGAGTTTAAAACCGCTAAAAGTGTTTTAATTAAAAGTAAAAGTGTTTATTTAATATCGATTGGGTTGTTTAAAATTAACACCACGTTTTAATGTATATTTTTCCAGAGATATCGATTGCCCCCACAATTTGCTGGTCTGCTGTCCTGATGAGAACGTACTCCACGAAGAGACTACCAACACTGATGATGATGAAGAAGTTGTGCGTTAGGTTTTTCAAACCCATTTAAAAACCAAGTAGTTGATAGTTTTTTGTTTTGCCCGAATCTATATTATTTTCCCGGGATTCAAACCGTGGACATACGCTTAACGCACTGCTAGCCATGACTCGGAGCTTTCACAAAAGTGTTGAGATTCCTTTTACAAATACTGTCAGTAGTTTACGCGAGTGGTACACATTTAAATAAAACACTTTAACGGTTTAAAACGCGATATATTTTAGTTTAACTTGTTTGAAAATTATTTTTAACTACGGCCCGACGTTTCGAACGCTTTGCAGCAGCCGTAGTCACGGGGAGACAAAATAATTTTCAAACAAGTTTAACTAAAATATATCGCGTTTTATTCCGTTAAAGTGTTTTATTTAAATTGTTTTTCTGCTCTATAAATAATTTGTATGGCAACATAAAGTTTAAATGAAACACTTTTAACGGTTCAAAACGCGAAATGTATTAAACGTTACAAATTATATTATCTACGGCCCGGAGTTTCGGTTTGCAGCAGTCGCGGTCACGGTGTTGAGTTCAACTAGTAAGTACATTTCGCGTTTTTTTTTCACATTACCCGTTGTTTCTTCGCTCCTATTAGTTACACGATGTGTTATAGCCCATAGCCTTCCTCGATAAATGCTCTAACCAACACAAAAAGAACCTCAATTCGAACCTGTAGTTCCTGAGATTAGCGCGTTCAAACAAACAAACAAACTCTTCAGCTTTATATATTAGTATAGATTGTTAAATTACAGGAAGGATGTTTATCTGAACATTTATATGAACCCTGAAAAACAATAAAAGGCCGTGTAAATACAGAATTTCATGTGATTTTCACAACACTTTTCACGTTGCATCGAGACGAGACGGTTAGCTGACAGCTGTTTAGAAAATGGGGTAATTGAGGAATTATTATGAATTTTAATGTATTTGATATTATTAAAATAAGTAATTTGTTGTATTGAGTCGCTCAAAAAATAGCTTTAGTGATTATTATAGTCCCTTAGACGAATCCGGATCGCTCAAAATTTAGTTCGGTATTTGGGATCTAAAGAAGAAGTGTAGTTTTAGCCCACCAAACAGCACTGAAGCAGCGTGGTGGGTCACAGGTAAAGTCCGTCTTTCAGAGGAGGCTTGGGCCCAGCGCTGGGATAGAAAACTGAAACAGTTTTGTATTTGGCAACCTCGTTCAAGGAGATGGATATGTTATATATATAATTTTAACGGTTTTAAACGCGTTATATATTGGTTAACAACGAGCTTACGTTTCAGCCGTCTCCGGAGCTTACTACAGCTGTATAAAGCATCCGATTCGCGTTTCGAACCGTTAAAAGTGATCTTTTAAGCTTCCACTCGCGTAAACTATAGACAATTCTTTATTTTCAGATTGTTACACATCGTAAGCCGCTTTTGTTTCTGCTCCTTTATCATATCTTGGTTACCAGACTGCATTCGATGTCGACTTCCTTTCGGTTGGGGAACAATGGATAGACACGAGGATTGTCACCGGTCTTAGAAATATCCACTCTAATATTACTAATTTATTGCTTAAGCCAATTGTTAATTTTGTTCTTCACAATTCAGACAAATAAATCATAATGTATTAATTTTTCTTATTTATTTACTAGCTCTGTCAGCGACTTGATCCGTGTGGAATAATTATCATATAAATATTTTCGCTGTATCTTCGCTTGTATTAGTCACAGGTCGACGATATATAGCCTAAAACCTTCCTCGATAAATGCTCTAACCAACGCAAAAATAGTTTTTTAAATCTCCATCAGTAATTTATGAGATGAGCGCGTTAAAACAAACAAACTCTTCAGCTTTATATATTAGTAAAGTTAAAACCAATCTAACGAATGAATATTATAATTATTAGTAACAACGCATTAATTTCGATTAAAAATTTACTACCCTAACATTGGTTACGAGTTAATAATAACCAATTTATATTTTAAAGTAACCGATTTTAAATATAAAACTTTATACAATTAAAATACGGTTTAAAACGCGATATATTAGTTAACTCCCCGTGACCACGGCTGCTGCAAAGCATTCGAAACGTCGGGCCGAACTTAAAAATCATTTTCAAATAAGATTAACTCATATATCGCGTTTTAAACCGTTGTGTTTTATTTAAATGTGTACTACTCGCGTAAACTATAGACAGGTTTATTTTTGTTTAGGTTAGACTATAAATAACTCAGGACAACACTAACGAACACATTTTCAGTTATAAATTCGTTATCTGTGGTTGTATTATAATTAAATTATAAATAATTTGCAATAACATGAGGTAAGGATAATGTATCATTTGTTTTCCCTCTATAGCACTGCGAATTTGTGTAGCTATTTAGTTCAAGATTAATTCAACATTAAACAATAAAAACAATTTAAATAAAACACTTTAACGGTTTAAAACGCGATATATTAGTTAAACTTATTTGAAAATGATTTTTAACTTCGGCCCGACGTTTCGGATGCTTTGCAGCAGCCGTGGTCACGGGTTATAACGTGGTCATAAGTTTAACTAATATATCGCGTTTTAAACCGTTAAAGTGTTTTATTTAAATGTGTACTACTCGCGTAAACTATAGACAGTATTTAATAAAAACAATATTTAGATTGTCAGCAATTTACCCGGTCTGACTCGAACCGGCATCGACAGTTCCGTGCTGCTCCAACCAATTGAGTTAGCACGTGAGCTGTCACGGTAGCTAAAATGGCTAGAGCAGCTGTAGATGCCAGTTCGAGTCCCGCCGGTAATGGAAAACTTTTTAACTAAATAGAATTTTTAATTTAACTGTTGCATCGGTAACACCAGGCCGTACTTATATAAGTTGGCTTATAGATTTCGCATATTAAACAGTTTAAAATGTTTCATTTGACACGGTACCTCATCAGCTTAACGGTTCGAGTCCCGCCCATGTTGTAAAAAAATTGCCGTAATATATTTTATTTCCATTGTAAGTATTGTAAACCGTAGTTGGCATACATTGTAAAGTTAAGTTCAGATTTCGTAATTTAAACCGTTCAAAATGTTTTATTTAAATAGCCTATTGCAGTTTATCTAGCCAATGGCACACTTCCGACTTAGCAAATTTTATTTCATAAAACCGTCAAATATTTATACATGAGTTGAAAAAAAATCAAATATGACGAGTTGGACTCAGTAGTTCAAACAGTTAGAGCAACAGCGCAGAACGCTGTAATAAATATTAAAATTTGTTATTTTGGGGGGTGTACTTCCGAAAAGCGCATACCGCAGATCGATCTGAAATCTGGTATACTCATAATCTTATCTATAATTTTGATAGGAGGTCAAAATACATAAGTAGTTTTCGAATCGAAGTTTATCCATTTTGGGCATCCAAATTTGTTTTTGCAAACCTCCTGTTCGACTCTATAAATTTAATTTAACTCACGACGTCGTCCGCGTCCCGTCGTTGTTGCCAGTTAATCTTAAACGATAGACATATACAGTCGCGAATATTTTTTTTAATCATTTAAAGAAGAATCATTCTTTTAAATAAAACACTTTAACGGTTTAAAACGCGATATATTAGTTAAACTTATTTAAACTTTTGTCTCCCTGTGACCACGGCTGCTGCAAAGCATCGGAAACGTCGGGCCGAAGTTTACCGTTAAAGTGTTTTATTTAAATGTGTACTACTCGCGTAAACTATAGACAGTATTTAAGAATCATTATTTCATTCATTTTTTTGGGTATCTTAAACATTTTTTCGCAGCGTGCTCAACGGAACCCCACAAGGATAAATAAATTTTCCAGTTTTCTCCACATTTCCCGCTGTCCCTACGCTTGTATTAGTCGCAGCGCGATGTTTCATAGTCTTCCTCGATAAATGCTCTAGCCAACACAAAATAATTTTTCAATTCGAACCCATAGTTCCTGGGATCAGCGCGTTCAAACACACAAACTCTTCAGCTTTATTAGTGTAGACTAGCTGTGCCCGCGACTTCGTTCGCGTGCACAGCTAGTGAATAGTGACTTGGGGTAGAATTTTTAATTATTTAGGCTGTTTATTAATTTATGTAAAAAAGGAACCTATGTTACTCCCTATTACATCAGCTATATGTTAGTGAAAGTTCCGTGAAAATCGGTCTAGCCGTTTCCGAGATTAGCTGGAACAAACAGACAGACATCCAAAAATTTTTTATAAATGTTGTTTTGGTATGTGTACCGTATATACATATACATTTAGTAAAAAGCTGTTATTTTAATGTTACAAACAGACACTACAATTTTATTTATTTGTATAGATGTATTATTTTCAGGTGGTACGTATTTTTACACTTCATAGTACATATTTCCATTTTGGATGCTGCAAGATCAAATTTAGATTTCAGTAGAGCATTTATATGGCTGGACAGTTTTCTACCTGCAAATTTGACTGACATTTCCGAAGCACTAGGAGAGACCACCACTACCCCCCCCACCTCCGGAAGGGCGCGATGAATTGGGTCTTGGTATACAATATCAATTATATATGGTTCGTTCCGTTAGGATCGTTCTCTGAGACGAGGGTTTTAGAATAAAACTATTTAAGAAAGAAATTGTAAACTAAAAAAATAAACACTGCCTGTAGTTTACGCGAGTAGTATACATATCGCGTTTTAAACCGTTAATGTGTATTATTTAAATGTGTACTACTCGCATAAACTACAAACAGTATTTAAAAAATCAATATCAATTAATATATTTCGCGTTTTAAACCGTTAATGGTTTTTCAAATGCTTTCTTACACTCGATGGAAGGTGAAACTCCTCCAGGCCTTTATTACTTAACTAAAACCTATTTTGGATGTGGACATTATTTTGCCTTTTTTTTAGGTGAAAGCACGCGATGCAGAACCGAAAATGTAACGGATGGCCAATGTGTGCCTTTTACGTCTTGTACTGACGCCATGGACACGACAAGACGAAGAATATATATCCTCAATGATGGGTTAGTGTTCACCATATTTCTTGTATGGGGTACAGACAAGTTTGGTGTTCAATTGATGGTAGGTGATATAGGCCAGCCTGTATCATCTAAGAAGATGTGCGGTCGACCTATTTTGGCTTTGGATATCCGGAAATAACTGAGACTGAAACTCGATTACACTTCACGGCGTTTTCTTCAGTGGACGGCGGTTCGTGACCTGGACGGAATATCTATATTCCTACCACTATCCAGGAAGGAATATCTATATTCCTACCACTATCCAGGACGGAATATCTATATTCCTACCACTATCCAGGACGGAATATCTATATTCCTACCACACCAATATCTATATTCCTACCACACAATGACTTCCAGACAGAGTCCAACATGATTTAGAAAAATTTAATGAAAAATTAGAAAAATGTTGGACTTGGTGAGGATTGAATCCACGACTTGCTAGGCTTGCTACCACTAGACCAAGGAAACCGTCTCTTTTAATGATTTAAATCTAGAAATGTAATTAAACTTATTTACAAATTATTTTTACTACGGCCCGACGTTTCGAGAATTCCCCCTTGACCACGGCTGCTGCACGTTGGACTATAGTTAAAATAATATTTCTATGAATGTAACTAATACATTTCGAGTTTAAAACCGCTAAAAATGTTTTAATTAAAAGTCAAAGTGTTTATTTAATATCGATTGGGTTGTTTAAAATTAACACCACGTTTTAATGTATATTTTTCCAGAGATATCGATTGCCCCCACAATTTGCTGGTCTGCTGTCCTGATGAGAACGTACTCCACGAAGAGACTACCAACACTGATGATGATGAAGAAGTTGTGCGTTAGGTTTTTCAAACCCATTTAAAAACCAAGTAGTTGATAGTTTTTTGTTTTGCCCGAATCTATATTATTTTCCCGGGATTCAAACCGTGGACATACGCTTAACGCACTGCTAGCCATGACTCGGAGCTTTCACAAAAGTGTTGAGATTCCTTTTACAAATACTGTCAGTAGTTTACGCGAGTGGTACACATTTAAATAAAACACTTTAACGGTTTAAAACGCGATATATTTTAGTTTAACTTGTTTGAAAATTATTTTTAACTACGGCCCGACGTTTCGAACGCTTTGCAGCAGCCGTAGTCACGGGGAGACAAAATAATTTTCAAACAAGTTTAACTAAAATATATCGCGTTTTATTCCGTTAAAGTGTTTTATTTAAATTGCTTATATGCTAATATTAATACTTACACAATCTATTTGGTTTTGCAATAAATTGTTTATTGAACAATTTGCCTGAATTTTTTTACTTTAAACCTTTTTTATTTTATTTTAGACTTCCTTCCTTTATTGCATCTAGGCCGATCTTAAAATCCGGCCTTGTGCTTAACCACTGAACCACGGAGACGGTCGTTACTATTAATAACTGTAGTGTAACGCAGGTAGTGATTTTAAATAAAACATTTTAACGGTTTAAAACGTGAAATATATTGATATTAGTTGAAACAGTAGTTTGGTGAGATGACACAGCACAAAACCCGAATCGATCGAATTTCAATTCGTTTAAAATTATTATATTAATCAATCATTTACGCGGACTAATGCGTGAGCATTATAAATACTCGGGTATATACAGTTAAAATATGTTTTAATTAGACATTTAAAGCACTGATCTGAAATATAATCACATGTCACTGCTTTATCTACAAGTATTAAGATAGTACCTACATTATGATATAAGTGCGGTAAGTTGAAAATTACAGCAGAGGCGATATTTAATAGGCTATAAGAAAGCAGAGGCCGTAATTTTCAAAGCGCACGTATGTCATACGACGTTTTATAACATATTTACGAGGAAATGACGACATTTTCAAATAAAAACGATACAGCGAAAAGAAAAGGCGCGCGGAATTATTTTCACTTAGTAATATCGCCTCGGCTGTAATTTTCAACTTACCGCACTTATATCATAATGTACTATTAAATGTGTTTGTTTGTGTGTGTGATATTGTAAAGAACTCTATTAATCTATACTAATATATAAAGCTGAAGAGTTTGTTTGTTTGAACGCGCTAACCTCAGAATCTGTTTCGAATTAATAAAATGGTTAGATCATTTATCGAGATATAAACATCGCCCTGTGACTAATAGCAGCGAAGAAACAGCGGGAAATGTGACAAAAACGGAGAACATTCTTCATCCTTGCGGGTTTCCGAGGCACACGCTACGAAAACGGTTCCAGATACCCAAAGCATATGAAATAATGATTTATACTGTCTATAGTTTACGCGAGTAGTACACATTTAAATAAAACACTTTAACCGTTTAAAACGCGATATATTAGTTAAACTGATTTGAAAATGATTTCTAACTTCGGCCCGACGTTTCGGATGCTTTGCAGCAGCCGTGGTCACGGGCCGAAGTTAAAAATCATTTTCAAATCAGTTTAACTAATATATCGCGTTTTAAACCGTTAAAGTGTTTTATTTAAATAATGATTTATCTTTGAATGGTCTAAAAAAATGTCCACGACAGTCTAGTCTTTTGAGATCTTGCAAGAACGACGGGACGCGAACGATGTCGTGGCTAACAGTCAAAGATAAACAGGAGATTTGCAAAAACACATTTTGATGTCCAAAATAACTAATATACGTGGACGAAGTCGCTGACTCAGCTAGTATAATTATATTTCGCTGCTCTATCTACAAGTATTAAGACGAATATTGCAAAAACTTTGCACACTTCATTGACAGACAACGAACAAATCAGCTAGTCGTCTCCTCCACATCTTCGGTCCGTCGGGTCGATGTTCGGCCTCGTGATCTTTCGACCTTGACCTCTGCAACCAGTTTAGGAAGACTCATGTCTTAGGTTAGCTAAGTAGCTGGGGCATCTTTTGTAGCAGTTTCAAATTCAGATATGCAGTTGGTTAATGGTTTATACGGTTTAAAACGCGAAATTGATTAACTTATTTACAATTTAACTACAACCGGACGTTGGTAAAAGTTCAAAACAGATATTACAAGCGAAACTCTTCATCTTCAGTCGCACCGTGACCACGGCTGCTGCAAAGCATCCGAAACGTCGGGCCGAAGTTAAAAATCATTTAAAATAAGTTTAACTAATATATCGCGTTTTAAACCGTTAAAGTATATTATTTAAATATAATAAAGAGTAATCTACTTATTCTAATTTTTTTCCGATGTATCTATACTAATATATAAAGCTGAAGAGTTTGTTTGTATGTTTGAGCGCGCTCATCTCAGGAACTACGCGTTCGAATTAAAAAAATCTGTGTTGGTTAGAGCATTTATCGAGGAAGGCTTTAGGCTATAGAACATCGCCCTATGGCTAATACCACCTATACAGCGAAATATGTGAAAAATTTGAGAAAATTATTCATTATTATGGGTTACCCAGGCGTACGCTGCAAAAACTGTTCAAGATACCAAAAAAATATGTATGAAAGAATGATCCCTCTTTATATGATCTAAAAAAGGCCTCCACCGCTATATGTCTATATATTAAGATTAATTTGCAAGAACGACGGGAAGAGACGCGACCGACGTCGTGGGTAACAGCCAAGTTTATAAAAATGAAGGGATTTGTAAAAACGAATTTGGATGTCGAAATTAACGATTCCCGCGGACGAAGTCGCTGACACAGCTAGTGTATGTATGTGGCATTATAAACACAAATCAAAATTAAACCATAACAACAAAATTAATAATAATTTAGTAGATACACTCCAAAATTACTATGAATCGTCAAAGTTGTATAAGCGATCGTCGCCAGTACACACGGAACCCTAAAAATGGCAACACCAAACCACGTATGTGAGTCTTAGATCATATCTATAGTTCAGTGCATGTTGTGGGGTCGGAGATATCGGTTGTAATATTAACATTTTTATTATTAATAGTGACATGGAGTTGCGGTGAGTCTATATCGTTATGGGTAAACCCGTTTTACGTGTTTTATATCTTTTTCCTTAAACATTCGCGGTCAACTGTTTTGTAAACAGATATGATAAACGGGTCAAATGCAAATAATATGTTTAATACGATTCAAAATCTATAGTAATCTTTAAATAAAACACTTTGACGGTTTAAAACGCGATATATTTTAGTTAAACTTAAAAAAATCTTAACAACGGTCACCGGTTCCGCGTGATCACGGCTGCTGCAATGCCGTCGAAACGTCAGGCTGTAGTTAAAATAATTCTCGAACAAGTGTAACTAATATACATCGCGTTTTAAACCGTTAAAGTGTTTTATTTAAAGCTGTGTTAACTACATACAACACTAAAGTTCGGATTTCCTTCTTTTCAACTTATATTTTGATCGAAATTCCTAATTTTATCTCCTCCCATGGCTACAAAGTATCCGAAACATTGGTCCGTAGTTAAAATTTCCAAATAAGTTTACTAATATACATTGCGTTTAAAACCGTTGAAGTGTTTTATTTAAATGTATACTGAAATTATATCGCACGAGAGTTGCAATCGAATAAATTGAAAAAGTTCCACGACGACGTGCAGGATTCGTTAGCTCAATTGGTTTGAGCAACAGAATGCACTGCGGATGCCGGTTCGAGTCCCGCCCGATTTGTATTTTTCTTCAATTCATAATTTAAATGTGTGTTACTCGCTTAAACTACAGACAATATTACATACTGTCTATAGTTTACGCGAGTAGTACACATTTAAATAAAACACTTTAACGGTTTAAAACGCGATATATTAGTTAAACTTATTTGAAAATGATTTTTAACTTCGGCCCGACGTTTCGGATGCTTTGCAGCAGCCGTGGTCACGGGGAGACCACAGTCTCCCTAACTAATATATCGCGTTTTAAACCGTTAAAGTGTTTTACTTACAATATTACATTTGTCTTTTCAGGGTTCACAAACTTCTGGTCCTCCTACTGGCCCTAAGCTGTACTCCGTCAACTAACTGTCTAGATGCCGATGACTTGCTCGATTATGTTAAGAATCAAAACGCACGCAATTCAGAATATAACTCTGATGGTGATAGAAATAGCAACGGACGAAATCTTAACTTAACACCGGCCAGGAAACGGCTCAACTTGACCCCAACTGGCAGCCAAGGTCGTCCGAACTTGACTCCGAGTGGTGAAAAGAAGCGTCCAAATTTAACACCCAGCCAAGGTATATTTTACATCTTTATACGTAAAGCTAGGAACGCTGCTTTAAAATGACAGTATAAAGCAGTTTGTTTGCTTGTATGTTTGTATGTTAGAACGCGCTTATCTCAATAACTACTGGTCGGAATTGAATAATTATTTTTCTGTTAATTAGAGCATTTATCGAGGAAGGCTATAAGCTCCCATTTCAACTAATAGGGACGGACAACAGTGGGAAATGTGGAAAATACTGGGAAAATTATTCATCATTGCTGGTTTCCGTTTTGTACGCTGCAAACACGGTCGAAGATAAACAAAAAAATCAATGAAAAAATGATTCCTCTTCAAATGATTTGAAAAATGTCCGTAACAGTACATGTCTATCGGTTATTTGCAAGAACGACGCGGTCGACGTCGTGGGTAACAGCTCAGATTTATAGAGTTAGACAGGAGGTTTGCAAAAAAAATTCGACGCCCAAAAAAACAACAATAAATATAGTCTATGTTACACAGAGTTTATTTTAATAGGCACAGCAGTTTCGAGTGTATTAGTAACAAACATACACACACAAATACAAATAATTTCTCTTTGTAATATTAGGGTAGAGAATCAAGAGATCGCGAGTACGATAACCGGGTCCAATATGTTATACATCAAATTATAATTTCCATAAACAATTCCGGCCGGAAAACCGTAAAGTTTGATTGCGATCCGTTATTTTGATTTCCGAATGTCCAAAATCAAAATAAATCGACGGGGCATCTTGTTTAGATGTTATTTGAATGTATTTGTCATGTTTTATGTTTTTTTTTTCAGGATCTTCGAATGCCCCATGCATTACAAAAAAAGGTTTTCCCGGGGAATGTGTTTCTTATTATCTCTGTAGTGAGGGTGGAACTATCGTCGAGGATGGGACAGACCTTCTTGATGTCAGGTAAGGCTGTTGTCACCAATAATCGCTATATATCGCGCACGGACTAGCAGAAATGTACTTTATCAAGATATATTTGGATCGGAAAATATTCATCGACCATCCTCGGTCTATATATTTTAAAGGTGTAATTTCATCAATCATAAGTAAAAGCCTGGGTCAGGGGTTCAGAGCATGGGCCAAACATATTTCTGTGTCTGTTTCATTGATCGTCGCCCCACCACAAATACTACCCTGACGCCAGGACTATTCACTTAAAGCTAGCTAATGCGATCAACTCTTAGGTCCTGGAGGTCTGACTAACGAAATGTTAAATACTGTCTGTAGTTTACGCGAGTCGTACACAAGTAAATAAATCACTCTTTACGGTTTAAAACGCGACATGTATTATTTAAACTTATTGTAAATACTGCCCGATGTTTCGAATGCCTTGCCTAGTCATGAGGAGACACGTCGCCGAAACGTCGGGCCGTAGTTAAAGTTATTTTCAGAAAAGTTTAACTACGACGGGCTCATTGGTCTAATGGTAGCAAAGTATGGCTAATGTTGGTGTGGGTTTGATCTCCACCAGGTCTAACATGTTTCTAATTTTTCAATTTCATGCTGGACTTCGTCTTGAAGTCTTGATATTGAATGTGGTGGTGAAAATTTCCGTCCAGTCACGAACCACCATCCACAGATGAAAAAGCTGTAAAGTTTAATCGCATTTCGGTTTCAGACTATGGATTTCCGAATATCCAAAGCCAAAATAGGTCGACTGTGCATCTTGTTTAGATAGCCTGGGGTATATCTCCCACCATCGACTGAACCCAATGCCATGTATGTCCTTCTCTAGGATAAAAAAAAAATTAAATATTTTTTTCTTCAACAGAGCCGACACTTGCACGCATTATCTTTACGTATGCTGTCACATAGACCAAGTGCAAAGTGATGAAGATAAGGAAGACGATATATCTGATGATATTTTGCACTTCGACGCTCCAAACACAACGCCCCACGCACCAGCATCACCGACTGAGTCCCCACAGCAGTCTGAGTACAGCCCCATGTCCCCAGGAGAAACTGTACCCACAGACAAATCGTTCTCATCGACTTTGGGGCACACTCGCCCCCCCCCAGGATTTAGGATCCACTACACGTCAGACCTCATCTAACCAAGATGCTACGAACACACAGTCTATGCCAGACCCGGACATCGTTCAACAGGTCTTTCAAGGTATGAACAAATCTATATCTATACTAATATATAAAGCTGAAGAGTTTGTTTGTTTGAACGCGCTAATCTCAGGAACTACTGGTTCGAACTTTTACGAAGAAAAATCACAGATACCAAACCAGAAATAAACATAACTTGTCACTACCCCAACCCCGAACTAATTACGGTAAAAATAGTTTAAGATTTACGGGTGCTGATCTGTACAATAAGTTACCTGAAAGTTTAAAAAACGCCCAGTCTATAAATATCTTCAAGAAATCATTAAAGTTCCATATTTTAGAATAAGTATAAGTTAATAATAAGCATGTTTTTATTATATATCACTGTTTCGTTTAATTAAAGTCCGATGCATGTAAACACATTTAAGTTTAAGCATTAATGTTTTCTCATTAAGTGAATATGTATATTCTTTGAGAAAATAAATTCTTTAAACCTTTTTGTGTTAGTTAGAACATTTATCGAAGGAAGGCAATAGGCTATTTAACACGCTGTGACTTATAAGAGCGAAGATACAGCGGGAAATATTAACAAAAGGGGGGGGGGAAATAATTCATCTCTGTGGGATTCGGATGCGTACGCTGCGAAAACGGTTCAAGAAACCAAAACAATATGTATGGAAAGATCATTTCTTTTTAAATGATCTAAAAAAATGTCCGCGACACTATATGTCTATCTTTTAAGATTAACTTGCGAGAACGACTGGACCGGAACTAAGGGTCGCGAGGTACGGGACCCGATGTTGTGGGCAGCTTAAATTTATAAAGATGTTGGTTTGCAAAAACAAATGTCGCTTACACAGCTAGTCTTTAAATTACTTTATAGACTAGCTGTGTGTATGTGTATATGTATAGCATACTATATGCTTACCTTTTAACATTTGTACCCAATGACGAATGTTTCAATTTTTTTAAGCTGTTAAAAATACCAACGTACCGACAGTGTTTTTCATATTTCTCTTTAAAACCTTATACAAATATTTTTTCTAGACTGTTTCAATTTATGTAAAATTGCATCAAATTCAGAATTCGAATTTTAAATTCATAGTTCAAATTAATAAAAGTAAGACCACGTAAAATACAACTACCCTCTTTTATAAATTATAGTTTCATGTCTCATCTGTATGTGTAGGTTCTCGTCCAGAAACCTGCGGTTGGAGTAATATGGCTATAAGTCCACACATATCGAGCAACAGTAGGCCCAAAAAAGTAGTTTCATCGTTCTATGGGGAATTCCCTTTCATGATAGCTGTTCTGAAGTAAGTTAAATGTTGTTATGGCTGTAGTTTAAGCAAGTACATATTTAAATAAAACACTTTTAACGGTTTAATATCTGAAATACATTAGTGATCTAATTTACAATCTAAACGGTTTAAAACGCGATATATTAGTTACCTACGGCCGGACACTTCGGAAGCTTTGTGCAGCCGTGGTCACGGGCGGACGGGTCGTAGTAAAAATATATTAAAAATAATTTAACTAATACATTTCGTATTCTGAACCGTTCAAAGTGTTTTATTTAAAAGTGTACTACTCGCGTAAACTAGAGACGATATTATATTATATTTTCTTATAATATCTACACATTTTATCAATTGTATTAAGGTTCAAATTTACTTTTAAAAGCTATTACGAAGGTATGAAAGAATAAAAAAGACTTTTTCATCTTTGTAACTCGTAATTCAAAGAATATTTAAAAATCGAACACAGAGATTGGTTCTCTTGTCACCCCCGCACAGGGGAACGGGGTTTTCGTTATTTTGATCAATACCCAAAGCTAATATGGGTCGTGTTAGTTTCTTGTCTGCTCTGGTCTATAATATCATTAAATTTTTGCATTCTTTAGGAGGAGCAAAGACAACGCAAAGACCGCCTGGTCCACAGATAATCACAAAAACAGTGGGGTGTTGATAAACTACGGTGTGGTTCTAACCGCCGCTCACAGGATGACTGGTCAAAACGCCGATGACGTAAGTGTTTATTGTACTACTAAAAAGCAACTACTAAATATAAAAATATAATATGATATCTATATCTATACTTATATATAAAGCTGAAGAGTTTGTTTGTATGTTTAAACGCGCTAATCTCAGGAACTACTGGTTCGAATTGAAAAAATATTTTTGGGTTGGTTAGAGCATTTATTGATCTATAGGCTATATAACATCACGAATTGGCGGGAAATGTGGGAAAAACGATTTTTCACAGTTTTTTTCACATTTCCCCAGCTTATATAACCTTTCTCGGTAAATGCCCTAACCAACATAAAATAATTTTCCAATTCGACCCGTAGTTCCTGAGATTAGCGCGTTCAAATAAACAAACTCTTCAGCTGTATATATTAGTATAGATTTTTAATTTAATTTACTATTTTTCAGTTAAAATGCCGCGCAGGAGAATATGACACACAGACTGAGTTAGAACAGTACGCGTATCAGGAACGTAATGTGCAGAAGTTTGTTGTACACGAAGACTTCTTCAGACGTAAGATTATATTTTAGTACATAATATGGTAGCGGTGCATGGCTAATAATCCATGGTTTCAGTCTGTGGATTTCCGAATATCCAAAGCCTAAATAGGTTGACAGGGCATCTAGTTTATGATATAGGCTAGGGCACCTGCCATCAAGTGAATTACATGCTAGTCTGTCTCTACGATGAAATAAAAAGGACAGACAAGCACGAAGTTCACTGAATGGATGATGGAGTAGTCCATCCATGGTCAGTTCGATTCCCACTTTCAGAATCTGGATTTTAATGTGTGGTAGGAATATTGAAAATTCCACCACATGTACCATGATCCACACAACGAAAGTCAAAGAGAAAAATTATTTGTTTATGTAGGTAACTTAACTTTAGAATTACACACACAGTTTAAAACTTAAGACTGGTGGAAACAGCTGGAAAGCCAGGAATGTTACCTTCAGTCTGTGGATTTCCTAATTTCTAAAACCAAAAAGGTCAACAGTGCGTCTCCTTAGTCATAAAAAACATGTTGATTTGATTGTTAATTCCTACCGCAACTTCGACTGCAATAGCCGATTTTTTTTAAACTTTTAACGGTTTAAAAGGCAAAGTGTATTAGTTGCAGCCGTGGTTCCATAGTCCCCCTGTGACCACGAATGCAAAGCATCGAAAATGAACACAAAATTTAATTACATAAGTCAACTAATATATTTCGCATTTGAAACCGTTAAAATTGTTTTATTTAAATGTGTACTCCTCGCGTAAACAGACTTTACTTTTTTATTATCCTCTTTTGAAGCATAAAAAGTGTTTTATTGAAACTGTTTCTATTTCAGCGTCGTTCTTCAACAACATCGCCCTTATTTTCCTGGAAAAACCATTCGATAAGGCTCCCAATGTGGGAATTGCTTGTTTGAGTCCGACGTTCCCGGAAAACACGGGCGATTGTTACTCCATGGGTTGGGGTAAACTGAAGCAAGATAGCGCTGATTATGCTCTGATTCTTAAGAAGGTAAGAAAGACACACTTCTTATGAAATGGGAGAACAGACAAACATGGGTTACACGTGATAATACCTCACGTTATATCAAGACGAGTCATCCTGTTCTTAAATACTGTCTATAGTTTACGCGAGTGGTACATATTAAAAAAAAACACTTTAACGGTTTAAAACGCGATATATTAGTTAAACTTATTTGAAAATGATTTTTTAACTTCGGCCCCACGTTTCGGATGCTTTGCAGCAGCCGTGGTCACGGGGGGTCAGTCTCTCCGTGACCACCAAGTTTAATTAATATATCGTTTTAAACCGTTAAATTGTTTTATCTAAACATCCTGTTCTTACTCTGTGGATCTAATGTCCAAAGTTAAAATAGGATCTTCTCATCAAATGACGCGTATGTATGTTCTCTGTCATAAATATAGCAGGAATAAATAAAACGACTATCGAAGCGGACACAAAATTGTGATTTCTTACTACAAAATACAACTAAACAAATAAGACATTTTTTTGTTTTTCCAAATAACACTGGCGAATCGCGCAAACCACAGATTATACTAATAAGGTTATTTTTTACATATCTCTAGCCTCTAATGCAAGCTATAGATTATAAGGTTATTTTTTGTACCGACTATAGATGAGGAAACGGTTTTTTTAGGTGCCTCTACCTCTGGTCGAAGCTCCTGTATGCCAGAATTTGTTGCGAAAAAAATACGGATCTATATGATTACTTCGTGCTACATGATTCACTGACCTGCGCTGGCGGCGAAGACTCCATTGACACTTGCAGGGGCGACGGTGGCGCGCCACTCGTGTGTAGCGTCGAGGTGAGTGTCACCGCATGCCATAAAACAAAAGTGCCATGGTTTTCGTGATGGTAAGTCCATCCAACGGTACTGTGAACATGCACTAACACAGAAGTATGATGAATTACTTGCTTGAGAAAGAGCCAATGAGTTCAACGGACACAAATGTGTGTTTACCTATTGCAGTATTATATACCGAACCGTTAGTACCAGAGTCAATATTGAGTTTGACCGCTTTATTTCACCTTCACATTTACCTTCACTAGCTGATCTGGCAAACGTTTTGTTGTTTGCATGTTGCATTAACTTCGACCATACTTTGCTTTTGGCCTCTACGGTGAATAATTTTCCCCATTTTCCACTATTTCTACCTATTAGGTGTAGCATGATGTTAGCCTACAGCTTTTCTCAATAAATGATCTCTCCAACGCAAAAATAATTTATCAATTCGAACCAGTAGTTCCTATTATCGCGTTAAAACAAACAATCTCTTCGGCTTTATAATATTATTTAGATTTGTATGTGAATATTTTTATACAATATATATATTTTATTACAGACAAATGGCAGAGATAGAAGATTCGTTGTCGTGGGTCTCGTGTCTTACAGCATGGCGTGTGGAGAGGAAGGCGTTCCAGGTGTTTATACCAATGTGCCATATCTTTACGATTGGGTCGGTAACCAATTGGACCTGGAAAACATTAATAAAGAATATGATCTATAAAATTTCGACTGTGAAGACCTAAATATAAAAATGCTGGAAAATGCTCAAATATATAATAATTGATAGATGTTATTAAGTGGTAGACTTCATTTTTGATATTGCACATGATGGCAGTACCTATATAGATTGAAGTCGAATATGAATTGATAAAAAAATTTACTTGGGTAGGACTTGAACCGGCATCGTCAGCGTTCCGTGGTGTTGCTCTAACCAATTGAGCTATCATTTACAGCTAATTTTATTTTCGGTTTTGAATGGATATATGAAAACAATTTATGTATTAAACATACCAACATAGTCAAATTTTTGTTTTATTGTATATTTTTATTGTGTACTTACTGATTAACCAGCTAGGGACGACGGGGTCCGCATAGACTAGTTACCTTAGATTTAATTTATAACTGAGATACCTTTTAGGGTATGTTTGCTTCAAATAAAACTAAGCTTTAAATGGAGAAAGGACGACTTTAAAGGGGAATGTGTGTACAGAAGCATGTGTATTACATTAAAATAAAAAATTAAATGAAAAATTAAAAAGCCTTCTTTAAATAAAACACTAACGGTTTAAAACGCGATATTTTAGTTAAACTTATTTGAAAATGATTTTCAACTTCGGCCCGACGTTTCGGATGCTTTGCAGCAGCCGTGGTCACGGGAAGACGAAAGTTTAAATGAGTTTAACAAAATATCGCGTTTTAAACCGTTAAAGTGTTTTATTTAAATGTGTACTACTCGCGTAAACTATAGACAGTGTTTAAAAAGCATTTGTTACGTGCTCTAAACTTAAAAAAAAAATACAAGATAATGTTTCTTACTTATAATTACAATTCTTATTTACTAAGGTTTAAAGACATTTATCTCTCAAAAAGATACAAGATCACTTACTTGAGAACACTGTACAAATTAACATTTTTATAATTCTACCCGCATGCACCGTTCCAGAAATTAAGACTAAGGATTACGTATCGTTTTGTAAACACATGGTTAAAAAGATGGCAGGAAACTACTTGTCTGCTTTATTTATTTAATATTTAGTAACCTCCAACCTTTCCTACTCCTTTCTATCTTACTACTCGATTCCACGTGACTCCGGCCGCTTTCAGAAAGCCATCTTTCCCCTCTCTTGCTTTTCCCTTCTCTGGGTTACCATTCTGTTATATACTTACTCCATTCCTCTTTTCCTCTGATTCTATGTCCAGCCCATTTCAGTCATTCTTCATTTAATCGTCTAATTTTAGTTACTAGATCTCTTACTTTCGTCTTACTTCTAATTACTTTATTCTTTTATCTTTTGATGTTGTTACTTCTTTCCATGGCATACGAGTATTGGCAGGTTATTCGTTTGTATCATTCTCTGAGATAGTGTCCATGATTGATTTATTTATTTTACCTATTATTTTAAAATATACATTAAATATTAGCTATTTAGTACTTATAAAGGTGTTTTGTTTAAACCGGCGTAAGATTTTTGCTTTTCGCTATTTGTTCTATCCACTGCCGCGTCCAGTTATCGCTATCCAAAAAGTCTTCATTCGTTCTCATTGTCAAGCTAACGGCTGGTCTTTCTGTGTTATCCTGGGCATATTTCCCGGAGCCATTTACTGGTCTTACTTTATCCGTGTATGATGCACTGTTTCCAGCGACATCATCTGGTCTTTCTGTGTCCGTATCCGGCGCATCTTTCCCCGGGCCATTTACTGGTCTTCCTTTATCCGTATATGTTGCATTGTTTCCAGAGCCAACTAATGGTCTATCTGTGTTCGTCTCTTGCGCATCTTGAGCTAACATCGTGATTACGTTCTTAAATATATTAATGTTTTCCTCAAGTATATAGTTAATGATCTTCAACAGTTTGATTTGGTCATTCTTGGCCTCCAAGTATTTTGGTTTGAACTGAGCGTACTCTACGAAGAGGTCTGCGATCGTCGTTTGCCATGAACGAATGTTTTCCTGGTGCTTCGCGATCTGAGCTTCAGTCGTATCGACGTCTCGTAACGAGAGGGTTTGTGCTGCGAAGCAGGCGATGGATAAACAGCAAAGTAGAACCCTGCAAATAAATTATATAAATTAGATAACGAACAGACATTGTGTCTAGTTTAGGGGCAGTTTTACATGCCTATAGATACAGACACTAAATCTTGTGTCGAGTTTAGCCACGGGTTCACAATTACAAATCTAGTCCATTTTTAGTTTCGTTAGAACATTCTGGCTGGGTACAATTTAAGTTGCAGCAGTCATCAATGATTTTAGATATAAACTAGATGTGCCAGCGGCTTCGTCTGCGAATAGTTATTTAGGGCATCAAAATTTGTTTATGCAAACGTGAGTAGTACACATTTAAATAAAACACTTTAACGGTTTAAAACGCGATATATTAGTTAAACTTATTTGAAAATGATTTTTAACTTCGCCAGCTGCTGCAAAGCATCCGAAACGTCGGGCCGAAGTTAAAAATCATTTTCAAATAAGTTAACCTACTATATCGCGTTTTAAACCGTTAAAGTGTTTTATTTAAATATGCAAACGTCCTCATCTTTATAAATTATAGCAGTTACCCACCACGCCGGTAGCTGTCTTTCTTGCAAGTTAACCCTAAAATAGTGAAAAGTCAGTAACATTTTTTTATAATTTAGAAATCCGTTTTCGCATCGTACACCCTCTACGGAAACCCTCGAAGCTGAATAATTTTCCACATTTCTTTCACATTCCCACCGTTTCTTCGCTCCTATTGGATGGCGTGATGTTTTATAGCGTAAACTCTAAAGCCTTACTCGATAAATGCTTTTAACAACATAAACATTTTTCAATTAGAATCAGTAGTTCTTGAGATTACCGCGTTCAAACAGACAAACTATGAAGTTTTATAATATTAGTATAGATATTAATGTGCCACATCTGAAACGTTACTGAAACTGTCATTAATGTATGACAAAGGAGGAAAGATAAGCATGGCTTATGGTAGAAGAACCACAACAAACCATTTCGTCTTTGGATATTCGGAAATCCGCAGACTGAAACCGAAATACTCTATGGATAATCTATGGATCCAACCTCACACATTTAAGATGCAGATGAAGTCTAACATAATATACTGTCTATAGTTTACGCGAGTAGTACACATTTAAATAAAACACTTTAACGGTTTAGAACGCGATATATTAGTTAAGCTAATCTTATTTGAAAATGATTTTTAACTTCGGCCCGACCACGGTCTCCCCGTGACCGCGGCTGCTGCAAATCATCCGAAACGTTGGGCCGAAGTTAAAAATCATTTTCAAATAAGTTTAACTAATATATCGCGTTCTAAACCGTTAAAGTATTTTATTTAAATGTCTAACATATTTCAGAAGAATAATAACTCTTGGTAACATGTCGGGCTCAGTGGGAAACGAACCCACGACCCGTTGACTATTAACCATTAATTGTCAAAAGGATATTATATCACACCTCATTTTAAATAATCAATTGAAAAAATGTACGACCCGGGCAGGTCTTGAACCGGCATCGTCAGCGTTCCGTGCTGTTGCTCTGACGAATTGAGCTACCGAGTCCTACACGTCATCGTCGAATTTTTCAACCTATTGTTGACGCCTCACGCGCAATGTAATTTCAACCTTAACACTTGCGTATTACGTTTGTTTTTTTAATTTATATAGTGCTATCATGTACACATGTAAAAAATATAATTGTACAATACATACCTCATTTTCTCGAGCCGGTGCGAAGCCTCGGAAGCGTCAAACACAGGCGACTAATTCTAGGAACTAATTTCGCACTTAACGAAAGGTTTAAATTTAAATACATTTTGATTTTCCTGTTTTCCTAAACGGGAGTTAAGCTATCAATAACACAGGAATAGAATAATGATGGCGTCACAATCTCAAATGGTACAATGCATAGACTACCCTTACCGAGCGTCAAAAATATTTATATACAAAATGAATAATTTTACTACATCACAGTTTTGTATTAATTTTTCTTGAATACGTGAGATTAACACGTTCTTTATATATTAGTATAGATTTATTAAAAAAAAAAACACTTTTAACGGGTTAAAACGGGCAATATATTAGGTAAGTTATTTATAATAATTTAACTGCGGTTAAACGACAACGTTAAAAGTGTTTTATTTAAATGAGTAAACTACATGATGACGCTTTAACAATTGTATATGAATTTTTCGCGTCGTTCTTTAGTTGTTAAAGCTAGTTTAATACAATTTTAACGGTTTAAAACGAGAAATGAATTAGCTAACTTATTTATAAATTATTTTAGCTACGGCGACCTTTTGGTTAGAGATCAGGAACTACGGGTTGGAATATTGTATTTTTGTGTTGGTTAGACGGTGGAAGTTAGTCATGTCTGTGGGTTTCTGGTGGTTCCAGACTTTCTCTTTCAATCACCTAAAAAAATTGTCCGCGATACTATATGTCTATCTTTTAAGATTAACTCGCAATAACGACGGGTCCCGTCATTCGTAAGTCGACCGACGTCGTGGGTAAGAGCATTAATTTATAAAAAGTTTGTTTTGCAGGCGACAAGGAAGCCCAAAATTAATATTCTACGCGGACGAAGTCGCTGACACAGTTAGTGTTAGATATTACTACCTACATTTAGGCCGTAATATGGAAAAGTTGGGTAAAATTAAAAAACACGCGCGGGTTTTTTCTTACGCGTTTGTGGCACGCGCAACAATTATGAATTAATACATATAGAATTATTAGAATTTAATTACAACATCATTATAAATCAATAACAAAACCACATAGATAAAAATGTTGCCATACTCAACGAATCGTGCGTGTTTATTGTGTATATTTTCAATTAATTATTAAATATATTAGATAAAAAAATCGACGCGACAAATGGGAATTGAACTCACTAACACCAAGCCGTTCCTACTAAAAACTATATTACTTTTAAATAAAACACTTTAACGGTTTAAAACGCGATATATCAGTTTAACTAATATATCGCGTTTTAAACCGTTAAAGTGTTTTATTTAAATGTGCACTACTGGCGTAAACTACAGACAGTATTTAACTATAACTATATTACTCTGGAAAGAGTAAAGGTGTATCTTGTTTCGGGTTATCTACTCTAATATACATATAAAGCTGAAGAGTTTGTTCGTTCGAACGCGCTACTCTCGGGAACTACTGGTTGGAATTGAAAAAATATTTATGTGTTGGTTAGAGCATTTATCGAGGAAGGCTACGCATTCTACACATTCACATTCATTAACTTGCACGAACGACGGGACGCGGACAACGTCGTAGGTAACAGCTATGATTCATAAAGATGCGAAAGGAATTTGCATAAACAAATTTTGATACCCGAAATAACGTTTCTACGCGGACGAAGTCGCTGACACAGCTAGTAAATATTATTTCTTAGAATCCGATTGTTAAAAACAATAGTTCAGTCGAATTTACTAAACGCAATAAATGTAGCATGTTTTAAACCGCGTCATTTTGATTCGTGAGATCTCTTAGCATGTTCGTAAGACCTATCTTATATTTTGTGATTAAATTATATAAGCAGATAGAGATGTAAAAGATGTGACATTTATTTTTAGATACTTACAAAAAAAATGTTTTTTAAAATAAAAAGATTAAATACGGCCCGACGTTTCTGACACTGGGAGCTTATATCACGGTCGTACTTTAAATAAATTCACTATTATTATTATTACTATGATTATCAATTCATACATCGAGTTTCAAACCGTTAAAAGGGTTTTATTTAAAATAACCACTTTTTAAATCTACGTACTTTTTAAAAGTTACACTTGTTATCTCACTATCTGTCAATATAAAAAAAACACAACCATAATAAATACGTTTTACGAAGACACTAAGTCTCACAAACCAATATAAAACGGATTGAAACATGCTATATTCAATGCATAAACTACAGACATTACCTAATGTGATTTTTTAAACACCTCTGACATTACGAACTGGGAAACCCGGCGACTTTATATTCATGTCCTGGCAACATTATGCAAGTCAGTATAACATAGGCTGACCACAGATTAACAACTTCGTGTCTCTTCATTAAAAAATCAATTTTGTTTGTGAATCTGGTTCCAGTCACATTGATGACGAGGTGAGCAGTTATTTTAAGGAAAAAACAAGTATAGAACTAGATTAAATTGAGGAAATACACACGACAAGTGTTTTCCTAAAATCAGTGTTCACGTCAGTGATTGATATATAAATTGTAATAAAACAATAATAATACAGGAAATTTGATTTGAAATTTTCCATAATACAAATGCAACTAGATCTCCTCGTGACCACGGCTGCTGCAAAGCATCCGTGGTCGGGCTGTAGTTAAAATAAGTATAACTAATATGTATCGCGTTTTAAACCGTTAAAGTGTTTTATTTAAGTACTACTCGTTTTTATTTACTTTTACTTTCATCCTTATTATTGATAGCTTAGCTAATCCGTTTCAAATTTGACAAAAATATCACAACTAAATTCTGTAGTTTAGGCGAGTAGTGCACATTTAAATAAAACACTTTAACGGTTTAAAACGCGATATATATTAGTGAAACTAAAGCCGTGGCTATAGTTGCTGCTAACCGAAACATCGGGCCGTAGTTGAAAGAATTTGTAAATAATTATAATATATATACCTCGTGTTTTAAACCGTTAAAATGTTGCTAATGCTCACAACTACCTTCGATATAACACTGTTATTTTAATATATATGATAAAAATTGTTTTTTAATTATTATAAAGTTTTATTTGCCAATAAGTATTCTCTTTCCAGATGTTGACATATTTCGCGACCATTTCGTCTTTTGCTCTTGTATTAAGTCTCAATTTGAACCCCACAAACACAGGTATGTCAAATTAATTTGTAATCTACCCTCGGTATCCTAATTTTTTTATTTGATTCTAATTTGTTGTTTGGTTTAAATAATGTATTCCGAATTTCACGTGATTATAATAATTCCTCACAATCATGATTACGTGTGTTGAAATAGATGAAATAATATATCGCGTTTTAAACCGTTAAAGTGTTTTATTTAAATTAAATGAACTAACTTAAAAGGCTTTTTGTTTAAGTGGTGTGGTTCACTTCCATTAATTTAAACCGCCATTCATTAAAAAACTTTAAAAGTGTATATTCTAGGATAGGAATGAAAACTAACGGTTTTAAACGCGATATTTAATGACTTCGTTACTCAACGTTAGTTTTTACAGTATAAATAGCCCGACATGTTTCAAAACAATAAAAAAATTTACTAGGAAAATGGTAGACAGAATCGAACCCACGAATTGCTACCATTACATCAACTCGCCCGTCAAATATTCGCCTTTTTTCACAATGTAAAAGATTTTATACTTGTATTGATTTTTAGTTCCAAGCTGTGTCACCCAAAACAATGAACCCGGTACCTGCGTCCCATATTACCAGTGCAACGACAACGGAACGTTAAACACAGATGGCGTTGGAGTTATAGACATACGGTAATTATAATCAGAACTGAATACTGTCTATAGTTTACGCGAGTAGTACACATTTAAATAAAACACTTTAACGGTTTAAAACGCGATATATTAGTTAAACTTATTTGAAAATGATTTTTAACTTCGGCCCGACGTTTCGGATGCTTTGCAGCAGCCATGGTCACGGGGAGACGTTAAAAATCATTTTCAAATCAGTTTAACTAATATATCGCGTTTTAAAACGTTAAAGTGTTTTATTTAAATAATCAGAACTGGTTACTAATTCCCTCTTTACCGAAGCTTATCTGTAGCTCTATTTTATTCTATAAACCAAAATGTGTACATAAAAACTCGGGTGGCATAGTCTGATGTTTGCGTTGGTAGTCTTCATTAAATTCAAAGGTTTCGACGGTTTAAAACGCGAAATATATGTTACTTATTCGCTTAGTAATTTGGAACATTGAGCCGGGCTTATGTGGCGAAGAACTCGCTCGTTGTAAGACATTGTGGAAATACTTGGAGGAGGCCTATGTCGTAAGACAAGCGAACGCAATGATTTTATTAATGTAAATGTGAAAAGTCCTAACTAGTAACATATATACATTTATATAAATAATTAATAGTTTTAGAATAGTTTAACGATATAAGATATATAAGGTGTAAAATAATTTAAGATTTAATATGGAAACTGTAAATATCATTCACTCCACTGTTTAAGATAAGTTTATTGGTTCGTAAATAAGAGCTATTCATTCATATTTACTCAGTAAGTGCAGTAGTTCTATGGAGATTATCAAATATGTTTTGCGTTTAAAACCGTTAAAAATGTTGTTTTTGAATTATAAATCCTATAATAGATTAAGAATTGAAAAAAATTACGACTCGAGTAGGACTTGAACTGTTGCTCTAACCGATTGAACTGCCGAGTCTATGTGAAAAATAATAAAGTTTTCTGTTTCAATACTATAATAATGTTAATACTCTATTGAGACACCAACATAACTGTTCCACTTCTATCAAATTTTTACCATCCTTCGTACCAACTGAATTTGTGTAAAATGTAAAAAACATTCTTTTAGAATTTACCACCAAAAATGCAGGATCGTCGTACCATTATACAATATTTATTGGCTAGCACTCTTCAACTACGCATTTCTTAAACTATTACACAATTTTTTAGTAAATATATAGTTTTACAAGGATTTTAAAATCTTAAAAAGAAATGTCAAAACACCTGTCATTGTGGTACTTCCATCAACATGATCTGTGGTAAAACAGTGTTGTATATAAACGATTTATATTGAAAGTTGTGCGATAATAATAATCGATAAATTAAATTCACACTAGCTGTGCCAGCGACTTCATCCGCGTAAAATAGATATTTTAGGCCTTCAAAATTATTTATGCGACCTCCTCCTCATCTTTATAAGTTTTACCCGCTCACGATGTCGGTCGTGTCCCGTCGTTCTTGCAAGTTCATTTCAAAAGATAGACGTATACTGTCGCTGGTATTTTTTTTAATATCCTTCAAAGAGGAATCGTTGATACTTAGTTTTGGGTATCTTGAACCGTTTTCGCAAACGCTGAACGCAGCGCACGTAACGGAAACTCAAAGATGAAAATTTTACCACATTTTCGCATTTCCCACCGTTTTTTTGCTCCTATTGGCCGCATCGGGATGTTTTATTGTCTATATCCTTACTCAATAAATGCTCTAACCAACACAAAACAATTTTCAATTTATATATGTATAAGACTGGATGTGCCCGCGACTTCGTTCGCGTGGAATAGTGACTTGCGGTAGAATTTTTAATTATTTAGGCTGTTTATTAATTTATGTAATTGCGCATTTATGGCAGCCAATCTATGTTGTAAGTGCTACTTTGCCGCAACACTCTCACCTCACATCACTCCTACTCTCGAAACCCACTCTCATTCCTAACTCCACTGCCACTCGCACGCCCACACCTATTTCCAAAAAGCCAAAGAAGAAAGTTTCATTGTTCTAGCTTCAACAACCACAAATTTCCATACAAACTTTCATCCCCTTTTTCAACTCCTATGGGGTCGATAGGCATTAAAAAATTATAACCCTATGTCCTTTCTCAGTCTCTAAAATATCTGTGTACCAAATTTCATTTAAATCAGTTCAGTAGTTTCGGAGTTAAAGCCGGACAGACAGACAGAGTTACTTTTGCATTTATAACATTAGTATAGATTATCGCATTCAAACAAACAAACTCTTCAGCCTTATAAGTATTGATGTTTCCTTTCAGATTTGGCGGGGAAACGTGTCCATCTTATTTGGATACTTGTTGCAGACCATCGCAGACGAGAGGATCCGATGACCCCATAACACCTAAACCATCAATAAATGTAAGTGTTTTATGGTTTCATAAAACACCCGAAGCTTCAGTAATTAAAACGATCGCGTTTAAATCTGTTTAATTTGACGGGTTCGTTCTAATGGTACCAATGTGTAGCTAATAATTAACGGGTCGTGGATTCGATCCCCACCGGGTCCAACATATTTTTTACAATTTTGAAACATGCTGCACTTCGTCTGGAAATCTGGATATAAAATGGGCGGTAGGAATATCGAAAGTCCGTCCGGATCATGAATGAAAATGCCGTCAAGCTTAATCGCGTTTCGGTTGCAGTCTGTAGATTACTGACCCAAAGGTCAACAGCGCGTCTTGTTTAGCTGGGGTATCACTTCCACCGAGTGAACCCCCCCCCCCCATGGTTGTCTGTCGCCTTCTAGCATATATTAATTTATTTCAGCATAATGGCTGTGGCTGGAGGAATCCGAACGGCTTAGGGTTTAAAACGAAAGGCACTAGTGGAGATATGGCCATGTATGGCGAGTTTCCTTGGATGATAGCCGTTTTGAAGTAAGTCGTCTACAAATAAGTTATTAGTATCGTCTGTGGCTTACGCGAGTACACATTTAAATAAAACATTTTTAACGGTTTAAAACGCGACATGTTAACTTCGGAGCTTTTATGTGACCACGACCGCCGCGAAGCATCCGAGACGTCGGTGTTTAGCTAAAATATATTGTAAAAAAGTTAAAAAATTAAAATACAAAACGCGTGTGAAACGGTCAAAAATGTTTTATTTCACTTATTAATTAGTGTCAATTCTTGTTTCCCCTTCCTGGACCATCTGGATAGACACAGTTTTGTGTCTGTTTCACTGTTTTTTGTTAGAGAAGCTTATAATAAAGATAATCATATAATTAAAATAATTAACTAAATTAATAATTACTTTGTGACGTTCTCGTGGTTTTAATGGTAGCAATGTAAGGCTAAGGTATTAATGTATATTTTTTCTGAAACATGTTGGAATTCGTCGGGAAATCTGGATATTGGATGGACGGAATTTCGATATTCTCACCACCAATTGCATATTCAAACATGTTTCAGAAAAAAATATGGACATATTATTGTCGAACCTAACGGGAATCGAACCGTTGCTTATTAGCCCTATATTGCTAACATGGGACCAACCAAAGTCATTTATAATATGTATTCAGGTTAACACCAATCGACGGCAAAGCAGATGAAACATACAAACTTTACATGGCTGGCGGATCCCTGATCCATCCTAGTGTTGTGCTAACCGCAGCGCACTCAGTAATGGTGGAACATCACTATTTGGTTAGAGCGGGAGAATGGGACACTCAGACAGAGAAAGAACTATATCCGTATCAAGAGAGAGATGTCGCTGATGTGTTGTTACATGACAAATTCAATCAGCGTAAGTGGTTTTGAAGTGCAATTTTTCTCTCTATATGTTTAGATTAGACAAGATCTTTTAAACGAAAACTTTTGACTTTTACTTTTAGTAAATCTTATCTGGGAATTGTTTTAAGTAAAGCCCGACGTTTCGGATGCTTTGCAGCAGCCGTGTTCACGGTTATGTATTTCGCGTTTTAAACCGTTAAAGGGTTTTAATTATTAGAGGTACTACTCGCGTAAACTACAGTGTTTAGATGAGATCTACACAGTTAAAAATTCATATATTAGATACTGGCTGATCGAATATAGGTTGTTTTGTTTTTTGTAATATTATTATGTTAATACCTTTCTAACAAATAATTGGTAATAATGCATTAATTTCGACTAAATTTGTTTGCAATATTATTTTTTTGCATTGGCAAGTTAATCATAAAAGATGTATACTCGTATCGTCGCGGACATCTATACTAATATATAAAGCTGAAGAGTTTGTTTGTATGTTTAACGCGCTAATGTCAGTAACTACTGAGTCGAATTGAAAAGTTCTTTTGTGTAGGTTCAAACATTTAGCGAGGAAGGTTATAAGGCTATAAAACATCGCCATGTGACTTATACAAGTGAAGGTACAGAAAGAATGTGAAAATAAATTGGGAAAATTATTCGTTATTAAGGGTCTCGGAGGCTTATATACGTGCAATAACATGGGAAAAATATTACTTAAAGTTAACAAAACTTTCGTATGTTTATAGGTAATTTACACTACGACATAGCGCTGATGTTCCTAGAGTCAGCAGTAAATATGGCCCCCAACGTGGGTATAGTCTGTCTGCCTCCGCCGAACGAGAAACCACTTCCCGGAGCCCGATGCTTAGCTTCAGGGTGGGGTAAAGACCTGTTCGGAAAGCAGGGAAAATATCAAGTTATATTGAAAAAGGTGTGTATCAAAAAAAATGTTTACAGGTTTTAAACGCGAAATATATTCGATAAACTCAATAGATCTACTATAATTACTACTATATTACCAACTAAACAAGGAGTATATTTCGCGTTTCAAACCGTATTTTTTATATTTTGATTTATGTACTGTTCTACTTCTATTATCAAGCGGTGGCGTAGTTCAAAATTAAATTCTCGTTTTAATCCGTTACATTTATTTTTTATATGTATCACTCTCAAAAAACAAATGTTACTTAGCATAACTTAATACGTCAATTCCATTCTGTAAGGCGGATCCAGGGGGGGTCATGAGGATGAGGACTCCCTTCTGAGCTTCTGTATTATTTTAGGTGGAGGTGCCGGTCGTAGATAGTGAAGTGTGTCAAAAAAATCTACGCACAACCAGACTAGGGTTGTACTTTAAACTGAGCAAGACTTTTATGTGCGCTGGTGGGGGAGAAGAAGATACATGCAAGGGCGATGGTGGATCACCGTTAGTTTGTCCCATACAGGTTAGCAATAAATTCTGAAGTGTATTAAAACTCAAATCTCTCGATTTAATCTTAAAACATAGACATAAATTGTCGCGGACACATTTTTAGATCATTTAATGAAATTAAATATATGACATCAATTTTGAAAAGGCTGTAATAGACATTGTATTTCTAAACAGTTATTATAGTAAATAAAAAAAATAATCTTACTACCTTTTCTCGGCGTATAGTCGAGTGTGCCCGCGCCTTTGTCTGCCTGGAATAGTTACCTGGGTATCATATAACTAGTATTTTTTTATTATTATTTATTTTTGCGAATAGTCTGCTTAATTTTTACATTTATACCCGTTACCCACAACGTCGTCCGCAGACCGCTGTTCTTGCGAGTAATTTTCTAAAATATAGACGTATATATGTCTATATTTTTAAAGCTTACTCGCTGACATATTTTTTAATAGTTTAAAGAAAAATCATTCTTTCGTACATATTATTATTGTTTTTTTAACCGTTTTCAATGCGAACCTCCCAAGATGAAATTTCCTAGTCAACTTTTCAACATATCCACTGTTTCTTGACGCCTATTGGTCGCAGTTCCTGGACCAATAGGCCAGGTCCAACCAACACAGAAATATTTGTTTAACTCGAAGCAGTAGTTCTTCTTCTTTCTTGAGATTAGCGCGTCGAAACAAGCTTTATAGTAAGTAATAGTATAGAAAAAGAAATACGTAAATTTTGAAACAACACAAGACATTACACAAACAATATAAAAATAATTACATAGAAAACGTTAAAGTACTACAAACATATTATAATAATGTCCCAACAGTGATATTCTGTGGCCCCACCAGAGGCCAAGCTAACACAAGCGACATAGTTATAGTTAAAACCACTTTTTTTTTCAGCACGAAGCAGACCGTTACGTGCAGAGTGGTATTGTGTCATGGGGCATCAGCTGCAGGGAGTACGGCATCCCTGGAGTTTACGTCAATGTTGCAATACTTCGTCCTTGGATCGACAAGAATGTTGCCAGCCGCGGATTTGACACGAAAGTTTATAGTTTATAGTCTGTAGAATTAAAATGACATTGTTAATTTATTTAAATAAAACACTTAAACGTCTAAAACGCGATATATATTAGTTAATTTTAAACACGGCCCGACGTTTCGGATGCTTTTCAGCAGCCGTGGTCACGGAGAGACTAAAAATGGAGGGTGTCTGACGTCAAAGTAAAATAAAAATGCTACGCAGGCGCGATCTGTTCCGTGGAAGTTGGTATTTGGCGGTACTGGCCGGCTAGTTCAGAGCTTGCGAAACGTCGGGCCGGAGTTGAAATAAATTTTAAATGAGTTTAATTAATATATATCGCGTTTTAAACCGTTAGTGTTTTTATTTATATGTGTACTACTCACGTCAACTACAGACCGTATTTAATTGTTAATTTATTACTGCTACCTATTAATAGTTGTTTTTCGTAAAGCTTAGATGTATTATGACAGACTAGATTGATATAATATTTGTGATTTTACTCCTATTATAATTAAGTTATTTAAATAAATAAAGGGTACAAATGTAATGTTTATTTACGAGAAAACGTTCTCGAAACATTTACATTACGGTAGTGAGCTGAAAGTGTTCGTGATTTTAAATTTAGTTTCTTTGACGTCCGATAGAGTTAGAGGCGCTGTTTATATTTTCATACAAATTGTGATAAAGAGGGGCCTAGGGCCACTGATCTCCAGGATTCTGTCCTATAATTCACTTTATAATATAACAATGGTCCGTTGACTTCGTTGCTAAGCGCAAATCTAGAGAACAACAAAACCAATTGAGTTACCGTTTTGTCTTTCGAACTACGAGAATTTGAGAAAAAGAGATTACAAAGAATAGCTTAGATTATATTTATTATAATTATTTTAAGGACAGGTTTTGGAACGGCCATGTTTCATTCATAATTTTTAAAGGTAAAGAACAACATAATTATGCTCTTAAAAGGGTAATCATAAGTTTGAAGCATACCAGCTCAAAGTTGATTTTAGATATTATGTCAGAGGATAGGCAAGTATTCAATGGAAGGGAATATTCCTCGGCCATGTAACACCTAATTAAAATGCGCTGTCGGCCTCTTTTGTATTTATATATTATTCTGAACTGACAGACTAAAATCAAGTCTACGTTATACGTTAAAACTTTTTTATCTCTAGTGCTTTACAACACGAGACGGCAAAATTTCGATCCTACGTACAGACTTATTAGTTTTAATAACATGGTGGATTCCATTTCCATCAGGTTCAGCCTGAAAATAGCAAACACCACACTTCTAAATATATTTAAGCTTTATTTTAAACGAATATAACATTTCCATTACAATCACTATAATCTATAATACTTATATTGTATAAAATCCTAGAAATTACAGGATCGCGATAAAATCAAATAAAAACAAAATAAAACTTGGTCTCACGATTTAATACTTGTTCAAAACAACAAAAACAATGTAGAAACTGTATAGAATTGATTTAAATCATTATTTACAAGAAACAAACTGAAAGTTACGCTAAATACTTCGCTTAAATCTAGCCACTCGTTGGCAGCCATTTTGTATGCAGCCAGAATTTCAAAATGGCTCCCGAACTATTGTTACAATAAATTAACAGTAATAAATACAATTTTTCCGTTACAATTTAGAATTATCGGTTATCTTTATTATTGTGAAGGTCACTTAACAAGTCTTAAATATAAAATAGTTTTTAGACGAATTATTGGAATGGAATTGGCACTAGCATGGAGGGAACACATTTCATAGACAATATTAAACAAATCGAATTAATATCTATGCCCCAAAGCTCGGAATTATTGAAATCGTTGTTGAATTAAGGCCATATAGCATTCTAGTTCACTAAGTGCGTATTTATTTTAGCTTTTATTGTACTCCTAGACTACGTACTATCACAAATATACTTTATAGAATACATGTTTTGAAGTTAGGCACGTTTAGGTTTAGTAACTTTACAATTCAATTTTTTTCTATCTGGCAACACCAGTTACTATTCGTGTATACTTCGAGAAATACGCGCCAAAACAGTCGAGAATAGGTTTTAGGAAAGGTAACCTTCGTTCGATCGTGCAAAATTTATTTTCTAGCTGTTTTGGGTTGACACAAATTCCATTCAGGCGTCCACTTCACAAATGCAGTACACTCTAATCTATTACTTTTTGAGCTTACTCTGTATACGGTACTTTCGTTTTTTGGCGCCATTGTATTTTGGTTTGAGACTGATATAGATCATCTGTAGAAGTCAATTGTCAAGACATGACAAATGACATATGACACGTGTAATGGCGCCAAAAGACTCAGCCGCTCTATTCAACAGCGTTAATCGTGATCGTCTTTCCTTTGGGATCATCGAAACGATCCATGGTTCTGATATCCATCATCATCATGATGCCATAGAAGGTGATGGCCAGCATCACGAAGGTGACGAGGAGACCAGACCAGATTGGGACGGAGAAGAATCCTACACAGTTGAAGGAATCACCAAATGGTGGGGTGTCACTCGAGTTAGTTTCCCTGAAGAATGGTTGGACCTGAAGGAAAGAAAAAGACAATCTGAATTATTAATATTATTTTCATTGGGTTTTGTAATCATTAATGCCTGTCTATAGTTTACGCGAGTAGTACACATTTAAATAAAACACTTTAACGGTTTAAAACGCGATACATTAGTTAAACTTATTTGAAAATGATTTTTAACTTCGGCCCGACGTTTCGTATGCTTTGCAGCAGCCGTGGTCACGGTAATGTATGGCTAAAAATCAACGGATCGTGGATCGAATCCCCAACGAGCCCAACAGGTTCCTAGTGAATTTAAAACACGTTGAACAGGATGGCCCATGGTATATCGAAATTCCGGCACGGGTCAGGAACCATTCAAAAATAAAAGTTGCAAACTTAAATCGAGCTTCAGTTTGTGAATTTCCCAATGTCCAAAGCCAGATAGGACGACAGTGCATCTGGTTAGATGTTAAATGGATATTTTTATTTCGAATTGACCCCTTTCTTGTCAGTTCTTTCAGTACATTATATTGTTATTGTATACAAGTAGATTAAGAAAGTAATATAATCTATACCAATATTAAAAATTCGAAAGTTCTCTCTCTATGTCTGTCTGTCTGTCCGGCTTTAACTCTGAAACTACTACTAAACTGCTTTAAATGAAATTTGAGAGCCTGAGAAAGGACATTGGCTACTTTTTAATGCCAAATAGGTTGATGAGGGTTGGAGATGAAAGTTTGTATGGAAATTCGTGGTTTTTTGAAGCTAGAACAATGAAAATTTCTTCTTTGGAATAGGAGTGGGAGTGAGAATGAGAGTGGAAGTGGGAGTGTAGGAATGTGAGGTGATAATGTTGCGGTAAAGTAGCACTTGCAACATGGATTGACTACCTAGTTACTAATTACTAATTACTAGTTACTAATTATTAATATTTTGAACTGCTGTCCTTTTAGTTTCCATTTAGTTCTGAATTATAACTTCTGATAGGAGGTTAAACTGTTATGTATGGTGTTATCTCGAGACTTAGGTTATTGTAGACTTAGATATTAAGAATAAATAACATTACCTTCAAATCCTGGAAAGTCAGTACGGTCTGTTCTGTATCATTGGCCTTAGTGAATGTAGCATTTTGACCGCATCTGTATGAGAAACCGAGAAGGGCGTACACCTCAGACACTCCGGCCAGGTCTTCACTGACAGCAGGTGATGGTGGGTTGTACGTCACCGAGTCTAAAATAAGAGATATATATTTGACTTGTTCTATTAAATGTCTAATTTATTGAATCAACATAAAATTTATCTTGAAATAACATTGTCATACTTTTTAGTTTGAAATATTATGTCCATTGTTATTTTGCATTAAGTAGAAAGATTAAAATCTTGGCACCAACTTCAAATTTACAAGTTCGCTCTAACAAGCTTGTTAGGTATAGTAAGGTCAGGGCTATGCAAAAATCTTTAAATGTCGTGTTGAACATTTATTTATAGAACTGCCATATTTCAAAAATGCAGTTTTTTGAAGTAATTAAAGAAAAATGTATAGGGCATAAACCCAAAAGTTATTAGACCATGGAACATCAAATTTTAATGGCTTATGTATAAAATATAAATCAAACTCAAAATGACTTAGATGGGTCTAATTAGCAACATAGTGTAATATTAAGTGTGTGAGTCTCACCAGCTTTTCATGTTTCTGAATGTATAATGTATGAATTTAAAAAAAGGCTAACAGCCTTTGTCTAGATTTAAGCATAGAATAAGGAGGAGAAATATGAAACGTTCCTAGTTCTTTAACTTTAAGTGGCTTATCATATCGCATCTTGTTTAGAACTCCATACTCGTCTGCCATACAGAAAGGATCAGCACATAATTAAAAAAAAAATTTTAGATGGAAATACCTATATGACATATGCGAAACTTTTATCTGCATCCATATTTTTTTTTCAATCTTGAATCGGTTTTTTGTTAATATAGTGCTATCATGCGAAGAAGATTTCAAGATCTACACTTACCCAAGAACCAATATCCCATTTTCGATTCGAAATTCAATACCAGCGAAACATTGCTAAAGTTTAACGTAGCTTGCATGACTGATTCGTTGAAGTTAGTCGCACCGCCCGCGAGTCCAGTAAGATTGTATTGACCAGCTCGGTTGCTAACAATGATGTTTTTGGCATAGAAACGTAAACCATTCAATGCAGTACTGTAGATTTCCGCTGCAGCACGGCGCACACGGGAGTGACTCTCTGGGACAGTCCATGAGGGAAATTCTCCTGTATAAACAGCAGCAACCTTGTCATACTGCTCACCGAGCTTATTGATCATTGTCTCCATGAAGTCATTATGACGACGCAGCATCTCAGCCCTGGATTCACCCTCACGAGCGTCCTTCAAGCTGATGAAGAGGAACTTGACGTTATCCTTCTTAATTTCAGCAGATAATCCATTCTCTGTCAGAGTTACGTGATCCGCGTTGTTCGCGTCCGAGTATTTATGCAGGACGTCCAAAACGTTCTCCACTGCTGGTAGATAAAGCGCGCTACGGATGTTCGACTGCAGGTAAGGGAAAGATGTCTCTCCAGCTGAATTCTTACGCGAAAAGTCCTCAACGGAGAGCGATTCGTCTACGAAAACAACAGTGAACTGGTCGTCTTTCAGCTCGTTCTTCAGTATATCCTCGAACTCAGCCTGGGTTACCTCTCCGAGTGGATTCGATTTCACAGAAGGTCCCGCCAGGTCCCCCCATAATAAAACGGGCACACTCACCAATGCAAAGCTAGACGCTACACATAACACTAAAAATGATAACAGTAAACGGCTAAACGCCATTTTTATTGATTTATAAATGAACTTTACGGACTAAAAGTAATGTTTTAGCCCAAAATTGTCATAAAAAGACGAAAAATGGGCGATGACGAGTGACCATCGGTCATGTGAAAAGTGATCATATGATTGATTTGACGCTTGTCTATGGGCTAGGTGTTGCTAGATCTAAAAATGAGCAACGAGTCAGAATATGAACTATGAAAGTTGCGCAACTTAGTGTCGCTAGATAAAAACAAAAATATGTAAATATAATAAAAATAGCTTTTATCTAATACTATTTAGAATGTTATCATCACTATAAATGATTTTATTACTCATATATATTTATATACTTACGTTGTCATTTTACGTTTAATTTTTTTTTAATATTCTGAAGAATGAATTATAATAATAATCGTTTCTAAGAAGGTTTGTTCTCTGGAATCTGATGAAAAATTAAAAAGAATTATTCTGACAGAGTCATCAATTGCTCGTATTATTCTCAAATTTTAAGTTTACAATTATTAAGTGAATTGTTGATTACTTGAAATGTGGATTTTTACAGCACTTCTATATATAACTTTTCATATACATTTTGGAAATGCTAATACAGTCCCAGTTTTCGTATTAGATTATGAATCTGTCCTTCCACAGATAGATCTTGAGCCAAATCCATTCTCCAAAGTTGATCCTAACATTTTCCTCGATGTAATTCATGAGACACTCAAAGACGATAAGATCGTAGTTATTTTTATAGAAGAACTATTAAGCACGGAAGACATAAGTATAAAAGATGAACATGGATCTCCATTTTACAACTTAAAACGAGGAATCCTCAACGGCAAAGTAAAATACTTCCCAAAGGTCGTGGAACCATACAAGGCGTTGAAACAAGTATTTCAACATCGGAAATTCAATGTGTTTCATATTACAAGCGCTAGCAATAAAATACAGATTCATAACGGACGACAAAAGCATTTCTACATCTATTTCAAAGATGTGTTAAATGAAACACGAGCTAATGCTCTGCGTCGTCACGATTTAGTTATGAACGAAGTCTACTCAGTCATAAAAAGTATAGCAACGGGTCCAGTTGTAGCGTTTTACACGGGAAAGATAAATCCAATAGTTATTAAGAAAATGAACTTTTTACCTATCAAACCGACATCAGTTAGACGTCCACCAGGAGTTACAATTACCAGTACCGGTGGACTATTTCGGCTTATTGGTAAATATTTTTTCATTTTAACAGTGCAGTTTAATTGAAATTATGGGATACTTAAACATTTTAACCGGTATATTTGATATTTTAAGGCGTATATTCAACTATTGGTACTCGTCGCTCGACGTTTAATCAAATTCCTCTAGTTGCCGAGGAGACATGGACGCAACGCGAACTCAATACAAGAATGGCGTATACAGATTTCGAACTAGTGTTTACGTTCACATTAAAAGACGACGTGTGGGTAGCAGGCGAGTACAAAAGTTGTAATAGTTTTTAATATTGCTTTTTGAAAATGTTATATTTTACAAAGCTGACTGTTTTATATGTCAAGCTGTATTTTTAATATCTCCGACAGTATAATAAGATATAAAGTAATTTACCCATTCAGAAAGTGTGGGCCTCTTGGAGATGGGAGAAGAAGTTGGTCGTACAAAGTTAGGTGTGTCTGTTCCGTGGAACCATTCATACGTGTGTGGTGAACCACTTATACTGGTCAACACGAGGGATGGAAGTTCCGTTATTATATCTCAGTATCAGGTATAGAACTATGCATTTTAATTTCAATTCAATATAGGAGATTAAAAATCGATCGTAGATTGACAAAAAAAAATACGACACAGGCAGGTCTTGAACCAGCATCCACAGCGTTCCGTGCTATTTCTCTAATCAATTGAGCTACCGTACCCTACACGTATTGTTGATTTCTTTACTATTGATACATGCACCTCAGTATTTAAACATTCATATTTAGCAGATACCTAATACAATTTTTGGTATTATTATTTTCTTGTATTAATCATTATTCTCTTTCAGATACAGCCGTTCCATACAGATTTAGTGTTACGAAATGCTTCTAGTGGTTCACAGCACTGTTTTGGCCCGGCGATTCACTGTGGACCATATTTCAACGCACAGATTTTGTCCGGTTTATTGGTTACCTTCTTGTTTCTTGGCATAATTACATATGGAATAACGACCTTATACGGCTGCAATTCTAACGACAGGTATGACAATCCTCAAGGGAAACCACTGGTTATCATGGCTGACCATCATTAATTTTTTTTTCGTATTTAGTACGAAGTAATTTAAGTTATCTTCTTTTCATTGTAAGCCGCTTTAACATTAGCATATATTGTTTGTAGTATTAGAATTATGAATTTGTCTTCATAAATAACATATTAAAACAAAATTATCTTTTTATTTAATGTGGTATTAAATATAAAAGTTGCGCAACTTTGTTGCTTATTTCAGAACTATAGTTGAACCCCACATGTCCATAGATTAAATCGCTCTCAAATCACTAGCAACACTGACCTATATGTTATTACTTAACCTCGGAATATTCACGTTTTTAACATCTTCACAAGAATGCTATTTTGAAATTATTTTCCTTCGTATATTAATGATTATATTATATATTGCTGCAAACTTTTAATATTATTTAAATTAAATACTTAAATTACTCGCTCAAATCAGTTATAACTTAAAGAACGATTAAAATCGGCAGTGTGATTTGGATTGCCTTACGAAGGGTTCCATAGTATTTACACTACCATACTAATATTATAAATCTGAAGAGTTTATTTGAACGCGCTAATCTCGGAAACTACTTGATCAAATTGAGGATTTCTTTGTATTGATTAGAGAATTTGTAGAGGAAGGCTTAAGCCTTCTATAATATAACATCACGCTTCGAGTTATAGGAACGAATTAACAGTGGAAATCTATTAATAAGAGGGCTTTCGCTGGTACTGCTAAAACGGTTCAAGAAACCATAAAATAAATATAAAATGGCCGCCAACAGTAAAATTATCTATCTTTTAAGACCGAAATTTGTTCGAAATTAATACAATGACTTGTTAGATGTATTAACAATATATATCGCAAACAACAAAACGTTTACTGGATCAGCTGGTCCTAACACGGGGGTCAGGCCGCTTTTCTTCGAGTTTCAAACCTTGGACCTTTTATGTCACATCCTTACTAAAATTATAAATGCGAAAGTAACTCTGTCTGTCTCTTACTTTTTGACGCTAAAACTACTGAACGGATTTGAATGAAATTTGGTATACAGATGGTCTAGACCCTGAGAAAGGACTGCTTTTTATTGCGAAAAGAGGGTGGTCAGAGGGTAAAAGGGGGTGGGGGTGAAAAGTTGTATGGTAATCCGTAGTTTTGTGGGAGTGAGTATAGGTATGAGTGTGGGAATTAGAGCAGGAGTGATGTGAGGTGAGAGTGTTACGGCAAAATAGCACTTACAACATAGATTGGCTGCCTTAAATGCGCCCTTACATAAATTAATAAACAGCCTAAGTCACTATTGCACACGAACGAAGTCGCGGGCACAGTTAGTTTTTACATGGAAAAAATTAAAAAAGGAACATTTTCGTAATAATATATTTTCACTAATCTAAATAGTCTGTCATACATTATCCCACATAACACACAAAACTGCTAACATCACAATGCTTATATTTGTAATACATTGACGTTGCTTAGTAAATAAGCCAAATCAAACAATTAATAATATCATATGGAAAATATACGCATTGCATTGTAAGCAACAGTACGAAGAAAGAAAAATAAAACAGTAAATTTATATTTGGGCATTTAGTGGGCGTATCATTCTTTTGTGAAAAAAAAACTAGAAAATAGAAAGCAGTATTTGCCATATGTTTCCCGTAGTGGCCGCCATTTTGTTGACGCCGCATCTTAAAATGGCGGATCGTCAATTTGACAGTATAAATGCATTGAACGATACACCCAGACATGCCCAATCATTCACACATTAAAATTCAAAATATATTACATACATCGTAAGAAACCTAACAACTTAACTAAGGAATACCAGTCCTTTACTAAATAACAAGTTTATGCGAAGGAAATTATATTATTCTTGTGAATTCAATTTGTTTAGGTCGACCATAGAGATGGTACTTTAATTAAAAATGTTTTTGTCTCAACCGCTGATCTAGAATCTAGTCTTTATAAAAAGCCTTTCCGCCCCCTACGGGGATGACCCGAGTGGGTAAAGTGGTTGATTTTGAAAGTACCACGGTCTACTGAAGACCCAAAACGCGACGAGAACAGAGTCAATACCAAATTTACATATATTTAAATGTTAGTGTCACTACAATGGGCTAAAGCTAAAACAATCACTACTCAAAGCAAACTAGCTGTTGAGAAAAATAATATTGGGCAATAGTTACAATTTGCATAATCCCAGATTCAAGAACGTTTGACTTGGTACCTCCTCCGTATATATTACATATACGTTTAATTCTTCAACAATTTAAACTTGAAATAAACGGCCATTGCCCAAAAATTATCAAAGGTCCTAAATATACGGAAACGTTTTTGGCATCACTAACAATTACTGCGTAGATTGTAATAGTGACATTCCTAAGGCCTGACGCACACGAGATATTAAGTACCGTGTGTGCGGTTGGCGTTATGTAATTAACACTAGGGCTTAGTTCTTCTTCTCTTCTTTCTTCTCGTCTGTTGTCTGCTCCGTTTGTTGTGTTGACTGTTGGTTGTCGCGCTCTGCTGCCATCTGTTGGTTTAAATTTTTAATTAGTCTATTGTCAATTCCATTTCGTGACATAATTTATAATATATTTAATAAATACTATCAGTACTGTTCACGCAAGTAGTACACATTTACATAAAACATTTTAACGGTTAAAAACGCGATATATAAATATATTTAATAGGACATTTTTAATGGTAGTAACACAATTTAATTATGATACCACCCATCCCTGACCAATATACAGCATCTGAAAAGTCAGGCGGTTGTTTCACGCGTTAAGTGTATTTTTCAGTCGTACAGAACAAATTTTTCTATGAGATTTCAGCCACTTTAAAAAGACTGCAAGTCTATTTTCTTAATAACATTGGAAGTTTGTGGCCAAGGATTTCGCGTCAAACACTTATAAATCGGCTTGTATTTCCAAAAATCATCTTTAGGCCTATGAATTAGACTTCTATTTATTTGAATGTCCTTGTTATATGCGCCATCCGTTTTAATTCAGCATTTATAAGTATTTAATTTAAATCTCTATATAATCTAATAAACATTTGTTTCATCGCGTTTTGAACCGTTTATTTTATAAAAAAAAAGAACGAAAAGTATATTTTATTTAGTCTTTGTAATATACCACTAGCATAGATTACAGATAGAAGTTTTAAAGTTATATAAGTGTTAGAGGAACGAATCGTCCCCAAGCGCACGCGCATCCGGGGCTGATAACTGTCATCTGTCAATCTAGCACATTTGCTTGACCGATACATTTAAAACAATGCACTGGCTCAAAAATGTGCATAAGTTCAATCATAAGATGAAGTTTTTAATAGAACATAAAAAAAATCTAAATAAAATATTGTATAAGAAATAGAATCTAGCTTTCTATACTAAAAATAAATGGATAACTTTTTGATACTGTCAAAGGGCCTCTAGAACCAACAAGTTTTTAACCAATTTATAGTTTTTCTGAAACATGTAGGACTTCATCTGGAAATTAAATCCCGTTTCCCCCTAGGGATCATGGGGCGAACACAATTCTGTGTCCGTATGACTCAACGGCAAGTTGATCATACTTTTGTGCCCTGCCTGGCCGAAACAATTTATTGTTTCTCTAGGATTTGAACTCAAGACTACAGTCATAATAAGTACTGTTGAATTTAATCGCATTTTAGTCTACGGATTTCTAATTTCCAGAGCCAATATAGATCGACAGCGTGTTGTTATAGAGGACAGATAACTTCGGGGTTTACTTGATGGATTGTGAAATAGCCGCCGTCTGTCGTCCTTTAACATAAAAAACTCACCTTCTTGTAGGCTTGCTCGAACAGCTTGAGACTGGCTTGCTGTAGCGTGCTGGTGGCAGTACGAATGGCTTCGGGGTCGGCGCTGTCTTTCTGTGCCAACAATTCGCGGAGCTTGCCCATCTCGCCGCGAAGTTTTTCGCACTAGAAAATATATAGATATTTGTATTATAGTCAGTGGGATTGAATGCCATAGGTAGATGTTATATGTGCACCTAATAATAATAGTCATTTTAATAAACGGTTTAAGACGCGATATATATTAGTTATATGGAAATCATTGTGAGGGGGGACAGTGTCCCCGTCATCATAACAGCTGCGAAACCAACCAAACGTTAAAATAATTTTCAAATCAGTTTAACGCATATAAATCGCATTTTACACCGTTAAAGTGTTTTATTTAAATGTGCACTACTCGCGTTAACTGCAGACAGTATTAGTAGTTATCTCCTTGTCTTCTTGTACAATCAAGCAGCTAAGAGCAAAATGTACAATGTAAAGATTAGAATAAGATCTTTCGAATCAGAACTTTATTTATATAAATTTCTGCCACCGTTAAGATAATTTTATTTTAATAGCATTGAATGAAAGTCAAAAACCTTAGTCACAAATCGGTCTATGCTTCTAAAAATCAATGTTGGAGGTTATAGATCATCTTTGACTTCAAGAGAAGTAAGATGATAACTCAACCCTGTTTCTCTACCATCCGGCTTTACCAATATCTAACTGGTAGGAAATACTGGCTTAAAACGGATGGGGCATTATTGTTAAGGGGAGATAGGGGAGAGTTCTTTTGCACAGTCATTGTTTTTTGGTTACAAATGGAAAAACCTATATAGCGTAATGTTTCAATATAGTTTATAAAAATCTAATAAACGTTCATATTGTCACGTGGGGCAAGCAAACAACAAAATTTGGCGCCCTTATGCCTTGCCATCTATACTAATGTAGAATGCATATTTTTATTTGACTTAACAAATAAATAAATAAATAAAATAAATAAATTAATAAATAAAGAAAAAGGAAAACGCAAGACAAAATTTCTCTATTCACCTTCCCCCCCTTGCCCCTCTAAAGTCTCCTTAGGGGCTGCTCAAGTATTCCCCCCCTCCCCCCGACCGAAAGGCCGCTCAAACAGTAAGCACTATAGTGTCTGTGTGCGTCATGGTTTCTTTTCTTAATGTATAATTAAATAATTAATACTAATACTCCCGCCCCCCCCTCACCTCGTCCTGTGGCAACTGGTCTTTGTACTCGTCCATTTTGGTCTCCGTGTCGTGCAGAACTCCCTCCGCCTGATTGGACACCTCCACTCTCTCCCTGCGCGCCTTGTCAGCAGCAGCGAACTGCTCTGCCGCTTTCACCATGTTCTCGATCTCGTCCTTCGATAGACCGCCCGATGATTGAATTACGACTAAAAGAGAAGACATTTTATAAGTACATAACTTCTACAATATCCCCTTTGTGGGGCAAGGGACAAGCACTGATATCCAATAGCTTACAGGCAGGCAGTTGATCATACCTCTGTGCCCAAGCTGACCGGATCTCAACAGAAAAGTATGAAGGTAGTCGATATATATGAAAATAAAGATTTATAATTTTAAACACTGATGTCAACAGGGGTGGCAAGCTACAAAAACTGAACATTCAGAATACACTGGTCATACATATCTATCATGATAAACAAACGTTACTCACTTTGTTGTTCCTTTCCAGTACCCTTGTCTCGTGCGGACACATGTACGATTCCGTTGGCGTCAATGTCGAAGGTCACCTCGATCTGGGGAACTCCCCTGGGAGCTGGAGGAATGCCCACGAGCGAGAACTGTCCCAGGATCTTGTTGTCTGCGGCCATTTCGCGTTCGCCTTGATGTACCTTGATTTCCACTTGGGTCTGACCGTCAGCGGCTGAAAATAAAGGTTTGAAGGTTATTTCTCATTCAGTAACATATTTACTTCAAACTTATACAATGTGCTACCAAACTTACTTTTACAAAAAAATACTTTAAAAGTTAAAATATGTGGTAATTTATTTGAGTAAATGTATCACAGTATCTAGGAAGGCACTAGACAATGGCTATCTAGACCAGCTGGTTCTGCGAATTGCTTTAGCATCGCTGCAAAACCAGTTACACAATGGTGCAAGCAGTGATCGACGATGCAAACATTTACTTATTAATTACAATTACATTTACAATTTAATAAATAACATTTATCAAAACACTTTAACGGTTTAAAACGCGATACATATTAGTTAAACTTATTTGAAAATTATTTTAACTACGGTCCGACGTTTCGGATGCTTTATAGCAGCCGTGGTCACAGGGAGACCAAGGAGCCATATGTGGGGCCGTCGTTAAAATAATATATTACGCGTTTTAAAACCGTAAAAATCTTAACTACTTCGATTAGAAGATACAATAGAAGTGCTATAGAGAAAGCTCACCTGTCGAGAATACTTGGCTCTTCTTGGTCGGGATGGTGGTGTTTCTGGTGATGAGCTTGGTGAAGACACCACCGAGGGTCTCAATTCCGAGGGACAGGGGCGTTACGTCGAGGAGGAGGATGTCGGTGACGTCACCAGCCAGGACTCCACCCTGGACGGCGGCTCCGACTGCGACCGCTTCGTCTGGATTCACTGATCTTGAAGGCGCTCTGCCGAAGATCTCTTGCACTGTTTGTTGGACCTGACGGATTAAACTACAGTTCATGAGCCGAACCTTGGTGGAATAGCTTGATATCAGTAGGGTTTTTGCTGAAAATCAGTGTTGTAGCATAACTGTGCTGTAACTTTTGCTGATTTGAGACCCTTTTTTATGATTATTTTACTATAATTACATCTATTTCTTCCTATTGTACTAAATGTGTGCAAAATAAAGATACTTATTATTATTATTTCTGACATGCATAACAAGATTTGATTGGAAGATATTTGTAGAATGGGTTATTTTATTTGATTGAATTTAAAATGTACTTTATAGTATTTGTTAGATGTGGAGAAACTCCAGAAAAGTGATATTTTTCAATTCTGTTCTTTTTGCTGATTAAAACAAATTTAAAAATCCAACATTTAAACTGCGCGCCTAAACGCTAATTTTGCGAAATAACGCTGCAATAGGCCATCATATGAGTAATAAAATTACAAATTCATTTATTTATTAATGCAGGAAAAGAATAGTTTAAACACTAGGAAGCACGGTGGTTTGTAGCACTGTCTATAAGCAAGTTCAGAAAAATGTCTGTGAGATTATAATCTGATTGCATAAAGAACACAAACAGTGAATATGTCCCCATATTAATATCGCACCCGGTATCTTTACCTTCGCCTGACCAACTATTTGAAACTGGTCATAGCTTGTGCTAAGTGCATATAATATAAACGTTTCTTATTTAGCTATGATCCTTCGAGCTGGTTTTAAATTATCCTTTCCAAAACTTTCATTTTGATCCTTTGAGCCGAAATGTTTACCTTAGGCATTCTTGTCATTCCTCCGACGAGCAATACTTCGCCCACGTCAGACCGCGAGACCTCGGCATCTTGCAGAGCGCGCTGGCACGGAGCAACTGTCCGTTTGATTAAATCGCCAACAAGGGATTCTAGCTTCGCACGAGTCATCTAGGAACATAATTAAACTTAGGAAAACGAAAGCATAGATAATGCACACTCATATATGTCCAATTAAAATATAGCCAACGAAAATAGCTGGTAAGTGACTCTGAGCAAAGTTTATTAAAACATACATACCGTCTGTAGTTTACGCGAGTAGCACACATTTAAATAAAACACTAACGGTTTAAATCGCGATATATATTAGTTAAACTTATTTGAAAAGCATTTTAGGGTCTGACGTTTGCGTTTTGTGGCAGCTTAAAAATATTTTTCAAATAAGTTTAACTAAAATATACCGCGTTTTAAACCGTTAAAGTGTTTTATTTAAATGTGTACTACTCGCGTAAACTACTGACAGTATTTTCAACATACATGTTTAATGAAAGTCTTAATAAGAAACTGTAACAAGTTTTCTTGATCCATTGTCGCATTACAGACAGTAGATGGTTTTATATTGTCATATTATTGCACTAATGCTTTGTAATTGATAAATGGAATAATTCAAATACAGAATGCATTAAGTGCTTTAAATTTTGTTTAACAATATTTAAATGATCTGTTACCGATATAAACTTAAGTTTTAAAACATTATTCATATACTTTGAAAGAAAGCTTCGATTATTTTATAATTCACTAAATGTGTCAGCGACTTAGTTATAGAATAGTTATTTCGGACATCCAAATTGGATCTCTCTTCAAAGATAGACATAGTGTCGCGGTCATTTTTTTTGTGGTAATTTAAAAATGAAGTCATTCTTACTTACCTTTAAGTTCATATGTTTGGGACCAGAGGCGTCCATGGTCAGGTAGGGCAGGTTGATGTCAGTCTGTACGGAGCCGGAAAGCTCAATTTTAGCCTTCTCAGCTGCTTCCTTCAGTCGCTGCATGGCCATGGCGTCTTTGCGGATGTCGAGTCCTTGCTGTTAAAACGAATGATTATAAGAAAATATACCTCCACATATTAATATTATATAAATTGAGTAATTCTCAATGAAACATGTATTTTGTTGTCTATAGTCTAAAGATGAGAGATCCTAAATTCCAATCCCGGAGAAACAAATTGTTTCATTAATGCATTTTATCAACAAGTCAAATCTATAAATGAAAACACGGAAACATTTTCAGCCCAAACCCCACCAAGGAGAAAATTGTACACCACTTGTAACTCCATGAACACAAATTAGATTTTATTTACTTAAGTTTGAGAACCTATAATCTTTCCTGTTTAGCACCTAGCTAAGCAAGTAAGTAGATTTGTTATTTATTTTCGATTTTTTAATTATATAGTGCCTTCATATGCAATAACATGTAAAAAATTATAAAGTTTTCAAAAGTGGAGTTGTATCACAGTATCTAGGAAGGCGCTAGACAATAAATATCTAGACCAGCTGGTTCTGCGAATTGCTTTAGCATCGCTGCAAAACCAGTTACACAATGGTGCAAGCAGTGATCGACGATGCAAACAAAATTTAGTTTAAAATTACATATTTACTGTATGTGAGTATAATAGTTAAATATATACCATTACTGTAATGTAAAGACACAATTTTTTTCAAGTCCTTCAATATTTTATTAATGAGGTCATCAAGAATAGTTTTTAGGTATCTTCTCAACATCAACAATACTGGCTGTAGTTTACAAATTTAAATAAAACACTAAGGGTTTAAAACGCGATATACTTTAGTTAAACTTGTCTCCCCGTGACCACGGCTGCTGCAAAGCATCCTATCCTTAATCCGTTAGTGTTTTATTTAAATCATCAATATTAAATAGTAACAAAGATTACTTTAGGTTACTGCTGATGAATGCCCGAAAGTGTCTAGTTATTAAATTAAATATTTTTGTTTAACTTTTAGCTTTAATAACGAGAGGCGTTAGATATGTATATCTGTAAGTAAATCAGTACGTTTCACGTTTGACATGTTATGGCACATGGGGGCACTATATAAATTAAAAATCGGTTATAAAAAAAAAAGATTCGAGCAACACCTGCTGAGGAATGCTGTGGATGCCGGTTCAAGTCCTGCCCTGCCCTGCCTTGGAAGAAGTGGAATTACACTTTTATTTAGATTAATTTACTTGAAATCCGGGGAAGAGAAGAGAACAAAAAATTCACTCACGTCTCGCTTGAACTCGTCCACCAGGAAGTTAACAATGACATTGTCAAAGTCCTCGCCACCGAGCAGTGTGTCACCGTTGGTGGACTTCACCTCGAACACACCCTTCTGGATCTCTAGCACCGAGACGTCAAAGGTACCACCTCCCAAGTCGTATACAGCTATACTGTTGGCAAGGGATTCATATTGACAAAGTTTGAAATACAATGATACGTGATTAAGCTTCACAGCTTCTTCACCTTCATGAACCGAACGGAATTCCTATCTTCCTACCACCTGGAAATCTGGATATTAAATTAATATCCATATGTTCAGACAGAGTCCAGTGTATACCTTATAATTAACGAGTCATGGATTCAATCCCCACCAAGACCAAAATATTTCATAATTTTTCTGAATATTGAATCCGGCTCACGAACCACCGTCCACAGGTGAAAAAGCCGGCAAGTTAAATGGCATTCCAGCTTAATCTGTGGATTTCCAATATTACCAGCCATAAGAGGGTATTACATATCATAAAAAAACTAGCGCCATCTGTTACGTCATACATGATATTTCATATGGACCTAGGCTTTTAAAATGTCTTATGACAAACAGGCAAGCTGTGCCTGGTAGTAGGACATAGATAGTAGAAAAAGTCTGACAAAACGTTTCACTTACATTTTATCTTCAGTCTTATCCATTCCATAGGCTAGCGCGGCAGCCGTTGGCTCGTTAATCACACGCAGTACATTCAATCCAGAGATCTGACCTAAAAAAAGGATACAAAGTTCAGTAATTATAAATTTAATTTAAAAAAAAATATGATGGAGGACAGAAAAGCAAGGGGGGTCCCCCTTGACGGTAGGTGAAACACACCTAACCCTATAACATCTATACAATGAATTGTGAATTTTGAAAATATAATGTACTTGGAGGGATAAGCAATGGGGAGCTTTATTTGTATAATATATCATTAGCAATTTAAAACAAACACTTAACGGTTTAAAATGCATTAAACGGAAAGCATCCGAAACGTTGGGCGGTGGTTAAAATCATTTTAAAGTTTAAATAATAAATTTCGCGTTTTAAACCGTTAAGTGTTTTCTTTTCTTTAAATTACATTCATTCCCGATTGAGACAAATTAATTAATAAACAATATCATTAAGAATAGTCAACTAAGAATTAGAAGTATATTAGTGAGACCCGTTTCCCCCTCGTGGGGCATGGGGCGAGCACATTTCTGTGTCCATTTCACTGTTCAGTTTATTCACAGGCAAGTAATTGACGAGACTGTGTCCTGCCCGACCGAAAAAATTTTATGTTTCCCTGGGATTCGAACCCAGGAGCTCTCGCGCTTAACACAATATGTTTAACCATTTGGCTACAGATGCGGTCTTTTAAGTTAAGCAAATGAATAATTTTTATTTCAATATTGTTTAAGTAAGTTGTACTTAAATTTGATTAAGTGTGAAAAAAATCTACATCTTAACCTGGGGTCCATGGGTTCGTAGTTTTTTTTTTAAATTGTATCACAGTATCTAGGAAGGCACTAGACAATGGCTATCTAGACCAGCTGGTTCTGTGAATTGCTTTGGCATCGCTGCAAAACCAGTTACACAATGGTGCAAGCAGTGATCGACGATGCAAACATAATTTAAAGTTTTACAACAAAATTTAAGAGACTGACTCTTTTTATCATTAAAGAGAGTTATCAAGTAAATGTCATTATATGGGTTTTAAGATAAACCAAAGTTTTTCTCTTTCTATGTTAAAGTAAGTTCGATAAGACACATCAAGCCAAATCTATACTAATGTATAAAGTTGATTTTGTTGAACGCGCTAACCTCAGGAACAACTGGTTGGAATTGAGAAATGATTTAGTCTGTTACAGAATTTATCGAGGAAGGCTATAAAATAACGCCTCTTGACTAATAAGTGCGAAGAGACAACGGAAAACGTGACAAAACCCGGGATTAACTATTCATCCTTGTGGATTTTCATTGGGTATGCTTTGAAAACTGTTGAGGTACCCAAAAAAATATATATTCAAGAATATGAGAGATGATGTATGTACCAATTTTGTTACAAAATGATCTATCTATTTACACATATATATACATATAGACTGTTATAAATATCGATACAAGACAACTTGAGTGGCCATGAAGAATCGGATATTCTTCGCAAAACAATAGGAATACATGTCAACTGCCATCAACCAAAAATAATGTACCCTATATGAAGCTGCTAAGGGCATAGTAGCCTAACTGCAATTTTATGACTTGAGCTATTTATAATCTAAAAATGTTAATCTACAAGAGCACAGTCATCGAAAATTGTTAAAATATTTCTTACTCAAATAAAAGTACAAATTGATTTTTGCCTAAGTTAATTGCGCATTTTTACTTTCCTACATATAGAAAATCATGTTTTGTGTTATTAGGCCACTCTGTCTCTAGTGGCCTCACAGAATAGAAGAAATTATTATCTTACCAGCGTCCTTAGTGGCCTGTCGTTGGGAGTCGTTAAAGTAAGCTGGGACTGTGATGACAGCATTCTTGACTGTTGTGTTCAAGTATGCTTCAGCGGTTTCCTTCATCTTGATGAGGACAAACGCACCAATCTGACTGGGGGAGTACACCTTTCCATCGCTTCCTGAAAAGCAATATATTTTGTAACTGTCAATGTGTTATGAGATAGAATGTTCAATCTATACTAATAAATAAAGCTGAAGAGTTTGTTTGTTTGAACGCGCTAATATCAGAAACTACTGGTTTAAATTGGAAAATTTTGTTTGGCATAGAGCATTTTTCTAAGAAGACTCTAGGCTATAAAACATTTCGCTGGACTATTAAGAGCGAAGAAACAGTGGTAAGTGTTAGAAAAAAAACTGGACATATTTTTCGCTTTTGAGGAATTCCTCGCGAAACCGACAAGATACGAAGAAGAAGGACGGAACGCGACCGACGTCAAGGGTCAAACAGCTTTAATTTATAATGATGATTCCCGAAATAACTAATCTACGCGACACAGTTAGTCAAATATTTCTTGATTATGGTTATTATCTGAAATCAGTTTTGTTTTTTATAGTTTAAAGAAATATCATAGAACTAGTTTTACCGACTCACCTATATTTGGTATTAATCAAGTTTGAATTATTATTATTAATTAAACTGATAACACTGTCAATACCAAAGTTCATTTTGATTAGAAAACATTTAATAAGAGAATGTGTGCAGTACAAATTCTATTAATCACTGCCTCGCTCTGGCTAGCATTTCAGAGAGCATGAGAGTTCAAACTTCAAAGCTTAAGAATAGCATAGAGTTTTGTGGTCATATAAATATATCAGTCGGTCATAGGCTAAATATAAAATTTATCAGTAAAATGGTCAATAAATGCTGCTGTTATAGCTAAAAATAAATTAATTCATCATTTATAGCAATGATTACGATCTCAACAGGAGTCACAGTGTCTATAGATTGTCTGGTTGGGTATTTGCCTGCCCTTTCGCCAAAAATTGTTCGGCCAATTATCACTTGCCAACCAACGTTTCGCCTATTTTACACTTTGACGACTAACGGTTGTCAAATTTTTGTATGACAACGTTTCATTTGGTAAAATTATTGTTAAGCTGATTATTGATGTAAAGGTTTGGGGCGTTTATCTTTTGTCAAATTATTTTTAGGCCGTGTACGTTATTCGTCTCAAATTGACAATCGTTAGTCGTCAAAGTGAAAATTCTGCGAAACGTTAGTAAAGGCAGCGATCCGTACAGAAGACTGCAGGAAGACTTACCTTGCACCCAAGCGTCTCCATTCGATGCCTTGACAACCTTATATGAGAGATTCTTCATATCCTTCTGGACTTCAGGGTCATCAAACCTGCGACCAATCAACCGCTTGGTAGCATAGAAGGTGTTACCGCTGTTAGTAACTGCTTGACGCTTCGCTGGCATACCGACTAGTCTTTCTCCATCTTTGCTGAAGGCAACATGCGAGGGTGTTGTACGGGAACCTTCAGTGTTTTCGACTACCTGTTTTCAGAATGAGAATTTTAAACTTAACTATACAAGTCAATAATAACTCACTTCAGATGAGTCTGATTAAAATAAAGCATACATTATTTTAGCTGTATATGAGGATGATAGTGGCAGAGTGGCCTAATAACAAAAAACATGATTTTCAATAAGGAGAGAAATGTAAATTCGCCATTAACTTGGAAAATGAATTTGTACTATTATTTCTGCAAGAATTATGTTAACAATTTTCGGTCACTGTGTAGATTAACATTTTTAGACTAAGAAAATATAACTCATATCATAAAAATTGCAGTTAGGCTACTCTGTCTCTAGCGGTCTCATATTATGCTTTTACAAGTAAGCACTTGAGGCTAAAGGGTTACATCTAACATTTTATATACAAAGAAAGATTACTATTTCATTAATTATAAATAAAATTTCTTGACACATGCAAGTAATTTCGTCAGCGTTATGTGCTGTTGCTCTACCAATTGAACTACCAAGTCCTCCCCGAGTCGAAATTTTTTTCAATTTATTTTCGATTATTAAATTAAATGTGTACTAGTCACATAAACTGCAGACAGTACATGTAAGTAAGTCCGTTTGAATCCTTTAACTAAATATATCTAAAAAATATGTTTCACAGTATCTAGGAAGGCACTAGACAATAGTTATCTAAGCCAGCTGGTTCTGCGAATTGCTTTAGCATCGCTGCAAAACCAGTTACACAATGGTGCAAGCAGTGATCGACAATGCAATTCTATCTCTGATTGTGTAGACATTTGCTTTTTACCTGTTTCATCAAAAGAAGCCAGTACTTTAGATTCTAATCCTTACTAATATTATAAATGCGAAAGTAACTCTATCTGTCTGTTACTCTTTCACGCAACAACTATTGAACGGACTCAAATGAAATTTGGTACACAGATGGTCTTGACCCTGATAAAGGACATAGGGTTTTATTGCGAAAAGGGGGCTGTAAGGGGTTCAAAGGTGAAAGTTTGTACGGAAATTCATGGTTGTTGAAGCTAGAACAATGAAACTTCTTCTAATAATATAAAAATATGCTCGTTATAGGCTTACCTTTGGTGTCTTTCCTTCCATAACAGCCACACATGAGTTTGTAGTACCCAAGTCAATACCGATGACCGCTCCTCGAACTCCCTCAGATCTGTTTTAATTTCACTTATTATTATTCTTAATTCTTGAAAAATACGTATAGCACTCATTTTTATGTAGATAAGTTTTCTACTTATAAGTAATATTGTTAGCTGTACTGGTAATGTGTAATGGTGAAATGACAAATTTCAAAGATAAGTGTAAGATGTTATTTCGATAGAAAAGTTTATAGCTAAACTCTTTATATGAGTAGTATGCAGACCTTCGTTTAACTCAAGGAATAAATAGACTGCTAATTATAAAAGACAGCTTTTATTGCACAATTATTACAAGGTAAGTACTATTATGTTATCGTGGTCAATTATTATGAAATAATAACGGAGAAAGACAGCTCATTACCCTTTAAATAATATATGCATTTTTTCTAGTAACATAGCTAAATACAAAGGTCGAGGTTAGGTTATGTTAGGTACTTAAATTATGATGCAATTATACTTACTTGTGCCTGTATTGAAGTGCATGTCGCTGGTAAATAGGTACCGTGGGAGCTGCGGTCTGAAAAATTAATGAAAATACCTAATTTGATGGAAAACTGTAGAAAATATTATCACATGTGCCCCCCGGTCAAGCGGCGTTTTAACGTTATATTACTAGCCGTACAATTACAGATCCATTGGAGCTTCAATAAATAAAGCGAATATTGACTAATATGACATTAAATTTTTAGTGTCAATCGATTTTCATTCGTTTTCAGAAATAAAATGGTCACTTACACTTTTGAGAAGTGTCGAGAAATTCCTTTGTGTGTATAGGTCCGATCCGATTCCTGAACACTCTAGAGCCTTTCGGCTGATCACTCGCGTCGCGGACAACATTTTGATTAAATTACTAGACCAACTTATCAATTTAATATTTTATTTCACTTCAGGCAAAAACGAGAACATGTGGATGACGCAACTTCACGAAAGAACAATTTTTTAATTTTTATTCTGGTAGCTCTAGAATATTGCCATACTGTAAAAAGTTAAAGGGCTTGACATTTGACACAGAATATTCTAGGCATTCACCACAGTTAATAAATGTTTGTAACTTGTCCACAGGTTATATTTATATTAGCATTTGCATATAAGATTACTATCAAGGAGTGTATATTTAAAAATATTTATTATTTTATTTAAGAACGTTGTGTAACAATTACTTAGAAAATACTATAACTTAACTAAAAGAGAAAAAAGTGTGTGAAACACTTAAAGACGCACTAAGCAGAATTAAAATCATAGGAAACATATTTTAAATATATACACCTTATTACATAAAATAAGTGACTTAGTGCAATATTCTGTGTTAAATCGTAAATGAAATAATGAGAGCTGTATATTATATTTCATGACCCAAGGTGTTAATTAATTAAGCCACTGCTCATTTATATTATACTTGACTACATCTAGGTAGATTATCTTGAATTAAAACAACAAAAAAAAATCCTAAGGGACTCTTGATAGGTTAGTGGGATAAACGGATATTTGATTGTGACACAGAAATTGTCTTTGTGTAATAGCTTCAGAAAATCAATTCTGTGATGCCATAATTTTGGATTTTAATAAATCTGCCTTTATGAAAAGAATCTATACTAATATATACAGCTGAAGAGTTTGTTTGTTTGATCACGCTAATCTTCGAAATTGGTTCGAATTGAAAAATATTTTTGTGTTGATTAAAGGTTTTATTGAGGAAGGCGATAGGAGCGAAGAAACTACGGAAATCTGTGAAAAAAACGGGGATTTTTTTTCACCTTGAGGGTTTCCAAGGCGTACGCTATAAAAATATGTATGAAAGAATGATTCCTCTTTAAATAAATTAAAGAAAAGTCCGGAACGCTATATGTCTATCTTATATGATTAATTTGCAAGAAAGACGGGACGCAGCCGATACCGTGGGTAACAGGTTAAATTTTGAGTTGAAGTAAGTGTTCTAAAGCGTACTTATTGTAATTTGGTCGAGTTTATTGCTTTGTAATATCAACATGCGGTCAATAACTAAATTACAACGTTAGACGTGGGTGACGTATCGTGCTGAGCCTCGTAAAGTTTTTACGCATTAGTTATTACCATCGATCGATAAAGTAGGAAGTATTAGATAAAAATTCTTTTAATAACTACTAACATCGAGCGAAATAACATCAAATCATAACATCGTTCCGGACATATTGTGACAAACAAATTCAGACATCTCATGAGGGTAACATCAAGTCCTAATTGCATAGATTGTGACGTTGTGGAAGACGTGACCCATGTTCTGTCGGAATGTGTACGGAATGCGGCATTGCGGGAATTAGTAAGTCTATATTTGTGTTAAAAATGTTGCGTGGTGTGGTAGTGTTAGCCTGTCCATTTTCAGGGGAGGCTAGGATGCTACTAAACTTATATCATAATGCTATGATGTAGATAGTTTTAGTCTATTAATTTGAAATTGTAATTTGTAACTTTTGCCTTATTGGGCGACATAACCTAATTAGGTAATGTGATAAAGGCCTATTAAATAAAAATTTGAAAAAAATCGAGCGAATCTGCTATGATTGGAATGTTTGAGCTTTAAATCACATTAGAATTGCTGACAATCTGGCTGATAACATATTATCTAGTTTGAATGGAGCTTTAACTTATTTTTCAATTAAAAAAAAAAACATAATTTCGCTAACGCCCACGCGTGGTCTAGCGCCGCCATTGTGCACAGACTTAATTACAATACAGATTAAATGAAGAGTTATATTTATTTATTTCATTTTGTGTATTTTATTAAAAATAACCAGATTTTATAAAACAGTTACTTTATTTAATAAATAATACTTAAAAACAAGGACTAGTTCAGCTTTAAATAACATTTGATTAGACAACTTTGCTGGTAACAATTTTCTCCTATTTCTTAAAAAAAAAAGTTATGTTCTAGTCTGTAGTAGAAGATGGAATCGGTGCTTCGTCCCTGGTTGCAAGCAAAGCTCTTAAAGCCATTGTTTCTTGTCGTAACGCTGTTATGTGAGCTCGCAGGGAAGCGTTTTCTTGTTCCAGTAGACATGCACGCCACGCTATCTGAAAAGGAAACTTAAAGATTAAAAATCGATTTCAGATAAAATAAGACACGGACAGGACTTGAACCGGCATCCTCAGCGTTCCGCGCAGTTGCATCACCCAATTGAGCGATACGGTAGCCCAACACTTGTCGTATTTTCTTTTTAAATGCGACAGTGTGTTAAATACACATCTATCTTTTAAATTTAACTCGCAATAACGATGACATGTGGAACTCGTCGTGGATACCGGCTATAACTTATAAATTTAGGAGATTGTTTGCAAAAATAAATAATAATGTGTTGCCCAAAATACAGTCGAAGTCGCGGACACAGTTAGGGCACAGGCTATTATTACTATTAATGGATTAAAATGCATAATACCTGGTCTTCTCGCATCCGCCTCGCGTCTCGCGACTTCTTCGCGGCTTGATTATTACGTCTTCGTCTTTCGAAGTATTTCTCGTCTTTTAGTTCAGCTGGGATAGGCCGTTTCTCACCTCGCCTTCGAGCTTCGTTGTCGCATATAGTTTGTGGGTTTTGGACAACTGTAAATATTGCCAGTAAAAAATATTTAACACACCGTCACCAGAATGAGTTAATAGAGTCTCTCTCTTAAATTCCTTTTCAAAGAACATAATATAGAACAGACAAGGTACGGTAGTAATGGCTAATATATAAACATCAGGTCGCGGGTTCATCCCCACCGATGCCGACATGTTTCTAATTAATTTAATTTTTTTCTGAAACATATTAGAGTCCTACTAGGTAGGTAGGACTCAATACCTCAATTGGTAGAGCAAGAGCACGGAACGCTGACGATGCCGGTTCAAGTCGTGCCCGAGTCGAAATTTTTTTCAATTTATTTTCGATTTTTAAATTATATACTGCCTTCATGTGCAATAACATGTAAAAAATTATAAAGTGTGGATATCAAAGTGTTCCTAGGAATATCGAAATTGCATCTCGGTTACGAACCGCCGTCTACTAATTCTTTTTTGATTGCATTTCGGTTCCAGTTAGCTAAGGTCCTTCCTATCAAGTGTCTGCTTAGTGCTTGTCTATCTTCCTATGCCATTAAAAAAATACTAAAATATCAGTAGTTAGTTTACTTACTTGCTGGTCTCACAGGTAGATGAGTGCAATATGATGGTAGACATGGTGGTGAAGGTAACGCAGCTAATAGTGGTACCATTGGGTGGGCATCTGCAAGCACAAAGTAAGTTGAAATAAGAGAGAAAGATTAGAGAAGACAAGAGAACAAAATTAACGGTTTAAAACGCGTAACATGTCGGGCAACTTTTTACTTTTTCATCACTCTTTGACGTAAGAGATATACTCGGACGATCGGCCGAAAAAAACAGTGAAATTCATTGCCCCTGTGAGGCATGGGGCAAACACACTTCTGTGTCCGTTTATTGATCAGTTTTATCAACTATTTTAGCAAATTGGTGATAAGACCTGTGCCCCGCCAAACCGAAACAATCTATTGTTTCGGGATTCGAACTCAGGACCTCTTGTGCTTAACGCAATGGCGTTTAATCATTTAGACATATGGGCGGTCAATCGGGTTGTAGTTAAAATAAATTAAATTAAACGTTTTAAACCGTTAAGTGTTTTATCTCAAAGAATCGTTATTGTATTACTAGCAGCTTGTATGTCACATTTTAGGCATTAAGTATTTTTCTTAAATATCCTTGCAAATTTGAGCAATATTTTTTTGACTACAAAGAGGCTACAAGCTAAAAACGAATACTAAACGATTATGTATTTACATAAAAGGCTATGACATTAGATATAGAATATGTAGAAGAAAATTTAAATGCGTAATTTAACTACAATATTATGAAAGGGCAAAGTCATTTGATGTTTTTAAATTTGGCTTTTAAATGTATGAGATTTGGAGAAAACATCTATTGTATTATCTATTTTAAAAATACTTTTATACAAATGGATAATCTGTTTGACAATTCTGACAATCGTCTTCGAGATAAATCAAACTTGCCGCACTGGTCGAGCAGCGGCCGGCAATAGTTGTATAAAAATTCATATCTCTCATGTTTAGAGGCCAAATAAATTAAATTTAAAAATGAAACGATCTGCTCCGTAACATGGCGACCAAAGAGGTAACTTATCAGAGGTTTAATTTGAAATTCGAACTGGCTTGCACATAAAAGCTGTTTAGTGGAAAATATATTTGTTTAATTAAAACACTTCGAAGGTTTGAAACGCGATATAAGTATATTAGTTAAACTTATTTTAACCTAGGGCCCGAAATTTCGGATGCTTTGCAGCAGCTATATGGTCACGTAGTTTTCAATTAAGTTTAACTAATACAAACCGCGTTTTAAACCGTTAAAGTGTTTAATTTAAACGTGTGCCTACGACTCGCGTAAACGACATACAGTTTTTAAATACATTTGTTTTAATTTCCGCGCATTATTTGAGAAAAGTACCTACTTACTATACAATCCATGATCGCAACTAAGACATGTGTTCACATGTTTGTCCATCTTTCTGACCGCTGCAGTATCTACCATTATGTACTCTTATCGTTTGAGCATGAAATAGGAAATATAAAATCAGCTGAAAATTTTTGACAAGTCTCTCAACGTCTGTAGTTTACGCGAGTAGAACACATTTATATAAAAAAAATAACGGTTTAAAACGCAATATATATATGTTAAACTTAACTAAATACCAACTTCGACGGAACACATGGCTCTAGCGTAGCACTTTTTTACTTTGACGTCAGAGACGCCCTCCATCTTTAGTTTCCCCGTGACCACTGCGTAAAGCGTGGCTGCTGCAAAGCATCCGAAGTGTCGGCCCGGACTTCGGTAGTTAAAATAACTGTCAAATAACTTTAACTAATATATATCGCGTTTTAAGCCGTTAAAGTTATTTAACCGTCTCTCAAAACATAACACTTTTTGTACAATCGAGTAATATTTACGTAAATCATTAGATCAATATGGAAGAGGGTGCTGTGTAGTGGTTATTATTGATAGAGCCAATTACAGGTAACATCAGTACAAGCAGGTGCATGGCCCCTACGCAACTGGTACAGATAGCAAAAAAAAACATTTCATATTTTTTTCTTTTACGATAGAGGAAGACAGACAAGCATAGCGTTCTTAATGGTAGACGATATACCCCACCGATTATATAGATCTATAAGACGACACGTATTTTGACATTGATATTTGGAAATCCCAGACTGAACGACGCGATTGCCTTGGACAAAAAAAAAAAAAAAAAAAAACTTAATGGTAGACGATATACCCCAGCCTATAGCATCTAACAACGGATGGACGGAAAAGCCCGACGTATTTTGACATTGGATATTTGGAAATCCACAGACTGAAACTGAAACGCGATTAATATATATAGAAATTTCGTTTAAACAAAACACTTTAACGGTTTAAAACGCGATATATTAGTTAAACTATTTAAAAACTTTGGTCCGACGTTTCGGATGCTTTGCAGCAGCCGTGGTCACGTGGTCTCCCCGCATTTTTTAAATAAGTTTAACTAATATATCGCGTTTTAAACGGTTAAAGTGTTTTATTTAAATCTTGAACCGTTGTCGCAGCGTACGCATCGAAAACCCTTTAAGAATAGCTTTCCCTGTTTCTTCCACATTTCCCGCTGTTTCTTAGCTCCTATTAGTCACGGCGAGGTGTTTTATTGCCTAAAAAAGGATTTTTCAATCCGTAGTTCCTAAGCTTAGCGCGTTCAAACAAACAAACTCCTCAACTTTATATATTAGTATAAATTAATGTATAATCTGTTTTGCTGTCTGTACTACATGAATAATACACGCGGGTTCCGACCGGGTGATCGACGGCACGAGTCCTTTAAACGATCACCCGCTAATCGTAGGGACAATATTTGTTTTTTTGCGACACTGTGGCCTTTTTTGGAATGCTGTGGCCTTTTTGGGACTACTGTGGACATTTTTGGGACACTGTCACACTTATAGCCTTTTTGTTAACACTGTGCTACTACTATGGCCTTTTTGCTACGTTTTGAAACCTCTTTTCCACTGTGGGGCGAGCATTTCTGGATTTCTTTCTTTGATCGAATTTATTTATAAGTTAATTTAACTAGCCCAACCGAAACTATATTTTTTACAAGGAATCCAATCCAGGACCACTTGAGTAAAGCTGAAGAACAGGTTCAAAAATACAATATACAACTAATTTTAATAAGGTAAAAAGAATATTTCAATAAAACACTTTGACAGTTTGAAACGCGAAATGTATTAGCTAAACTTAATTACAACCTATTTTAACTACTCCCGATGTTACCCATGACCACGGCTGCAAAGCATCCGAAACGTTGCAACGCTTGCGCTAACGTTTTACACGTTTTGAACCGTTAAAAGTGTTACGTACCTACTCTACAGATAATCTGCAGATTATACAACTCTTTTTACTAGCAATTTCCCAATAAGAAGACATATTCCTGGGATTGAATCTAGGACACCTCGTGCTTGTCACAAGTTAATGAACCAAAAGATGAAAAGCATTAATACGTCATTTAGTTATATCAATACATAATACTTTGTTTTTGAAGAGGTTAACGCAAAGCTTTCGATCATTAGCACGTGGGAGCTAACAGCTGTGTATTAAAAATGATCGGTAACAGGTTTTACGATCAACTCGAAATTATTCGTTTAACACCGAGGTTTTCGTTAACCGAACGCCACAGAGAGGATTATGTTTTTCAACTTTAATATTTTTCACATGTCATTGCACATATAGCATAGGTTTAAAATCTATACTAATATTATAAATACGAAAGTACAAGCAATAGCTCTGTCTATCTGTCCGGCTTGAACTCCGAAACTACTGAACAGATTTAAATGAAATTTGGCACACAGATATTTTAGAGCTTGAGAAAGGACGTAGGCTACTTTTAATGCCAAAAAGGGTTGATAACCCTTTGGGGTTAAAAAAAGGGATGAAAGTTTGTATGGAAATTTGTGGTTGTTGAAGCTAGGACAATGAAACTTCCTTCTTTTGCGTTTTAGGAAGTGTGAGTGGGAGTGGGAGTGAGTGTAGAAATGAGAGTGGGAGTTCGAGTATGAGTGATGTGAGGTGAGAGTGTTGCGGCAAAGTAGCACATACAACACAGATTGGCTGCCTTAAATGCACCCTTACATAAATTAATAAACAGCCTAAATAATTAAAAATTCTACCCCAAGTCACTGTTCCACGCGGACTAGCACAGCTAGTCGAAAATAAATTGAAAAACTTTTTGACACGGTTACTTGCAACATTATAGGTACGCTGTCATTTCATCTTCAATGATTTTCTTAAGGCTTAAGCATACGACATTGCGCGAGAGGTGCATGTATCAATAGGTTGAAATTCGACGATGACGTGTAGGACTCGGTAGCTCAATTGGTTAGAGCAACACAGAACGCTGTAGATGCCGGTTCAAGACCTGCCTGAGTCGAAAAAATTTTTTCAATTTATTTTCGATTTTTAAATTATGGTTATGTTTTTCAACTTTGACAGTGGCAATATTTTTACTTAACTTCGCACACAGGCAACTCAATTTCTTTGTAACATTATTCAAGTAATCATTCAGTTGAATAAAACACTTTAACGGTTTAAAACGCGATGTATTAGTTAAACTTATTTTGGAAATGATTTTTAACTTCGGATGCAGCAGCCGTGGTGGACCACGGCCGAAACGTCGGGCCGAAGTTAAAAATCATTTCCAAATAAGTTTAACTAATATATCGCGTTTTAAACCGTTAAAGTGTTTTTTTTTTAATGTGTATCACTCGCGTAAACTATAGACAGTATTTAATCATTCAGTTGGTTTTATTATTACGTGTTAGTTACAGATTTTAGTTTAATTTTTTACGTCATAAGTCTTTGGTAAACGATGTGTTTGCCAATAATTGTAAACGAATCTAAATAATTATTATAGTTTTATAACGATTCACGACCTCGATGATAGCAAACGCATTTCTTTTATACATAAACACTCTAGCTGTGCCCGCGACTTTGTACGCATATAATACTTATTTTGAGCAAAAGTTTTTGCCTATCTATATAAAAAGTATCTAAAAACTACAGCTGTTACCCACGACGTCGCCCGCGTCCTATCGTTCTTGCGAGTTATCTTAAAAGATATGACGCGGACATTTTTCTTATTTACAGAGGGATCATTCCTTTAATAATATTTTTTGGGTATCCTGAACCGTAAAACCGGAAGCCCCCAACGATGAATAAAGTCCCCATTTTATTTATATTTTTATCTGACTCTTCGCTTCTATTGGCCTCAGCCTAATGTTTCAATTCGAACTAGTGGTTCCTGAGATAATCGTGGCCAAAGCTGTCAGCTTTATTTATCTATACTTATATATAAAGCTGGAGTGTTTGTTTGAATATAGGCTATAAAACATCGCGCTGTTACTAATAGAAGCGAAGATACAGCGAGAAATGGGAAAATTATGGATTTCCGAGGCAAAAACGCTGCGAAAACGGTTCAAGATACCTAAAGATGAAGGGGGAAATACGAATTTGGATGCCCAAAATAATTCTCGCGGACGAAGTCGCTGACACAGCTAGTATTATGTATAGTATATAGAGGATATATCTAGAGATCTACATAGTGAAGATGAGAAGCAGTAACCTTACCTGGTGGGACCACGAAATGGTTGTAACTCCTCAGAAAGCGAAGTGCGGCAATAGCCCCACTGTGTTGAGCGTTGCAAATGGGATCCAAGTCATATGTAGGGGGGGTTTGGTTCATTTTTATCTTCCCACTATATATACAAATCGCATAGTATCACTCTATTCGTTTTTATTGAATATTAATTTGACACAATTTGTCGGTAGTTTACGACTAGTGCACATGTAAATAAAACGCTTTAAAATACGAAATATATTAGTTCGCTTATTTTTAAATACGACGCGAAATATATAAGTCTCACTAAGTAACGTCTATAGCTTACGCTAGTAGTGCACATGTAAATAAAACACTTTTAACGCCTTTATACGTGAAATATATTAGTTCTCTTATTTTTAAATACGACGCGAAATATATAAGTCTCACTAAGTAACGTCTATAGCTTACGCTAGTAGTGCACATGTAAAAAACAAAAAAAAAAAATATTATTTCTTTTTTTTTTAAATACGACGCGAAATATATAAGTCTCACTGATCCTGTAAATAAAACACTTTTAACGCCTTTATACGTGAAATATAAACAATTCATTTTACCTACCGCTATTTTAACGACGTTTAAAATGCTTGTTAGCAGCCGTGGTCACGGGGTTACTGCTACAAAACGTCGGGCCATGGTAAAGATTACTTGTATATAAGTGAAATAATGCATTCCCTGTTAAAAATGTTTCATTTTGATGTGAACTATCGCGTAAACAACAGACACACTTAGTTAAACTTATAGATTTCGCGTCGTATCTATAAATGAGTTAGTTAAAACATATTGTTAAAAGTGTTTTACTTAAATATAACAAATGCTATGTTGTGACCCAAGTGTATGCTAAAAATTTTAATCAATAAATGTTTATTGTATGTTTAGCCTGTATATCAAATAAACAATCTTAAGAGATTATTTTATTTTGTTTTGTTTGAGTAGGTTACGAAGCGTTTAGTGGAAATCACCTTTTTGAAATTTTAACCCTATTTTAAATAAAACACTTTAACGGTTTAAAACGCGATATATTAGTTAAACTTATTTGAAAAGGATTTTTAACTTCGGCCCGACGTTTCGGATGCTTTGCAGCAGCCGTGGTCACGGGAAGACGAAACGTCGCGCCGAAGTTAAAAATCATTTTCAAATAAGTTTAACTAATATATCGCGTTTTAAACCGTTAAAGTGTTTTATTTAAATGTGTATTACTCGCGTAAACTATAGACAGTATTTAACCCTATTTTCCAATTATAAAATAAATGTTAGCATATCTTTTTATAGAAAAATGTGTTTCTTTCAAATTACACTACTTTCAAAATACCGTTTACAGTAGTTTTTAAGAATAAAACAAAACAACATAAAAATCAAATAAAGACCTTGATCACTGTAGTAAAATATTTTATTACTAATTTTCAAGAAGAGAGAATTTCAAGTGTTAAAATTGAAATTTTGTGTAAAACGCGTCGTATTATAAATAAGCTTAAACATTTAGCAACGGTTAAAGTTCGAAAGCAAACTGTGAAAAGAAATAGAATCTATTACGCGAATATATTACCCGCAGGTCAAAGTGTATTATTTTAAAGCATTAAAAAATATAATTCATTACGCGGATATAATATAACCTGTTATAAGCGGTTCAAAGTGTTTAATTAAAATGCATACATTAAAAAATTTAACAATCTATTAGGCTAATGTATAACGTGATTCAATTGTTTTATTTAAATGCGTACTTCTAAACATCTAATACCCTAATATAATACACGTTTTAAACGGTTAAAAGCGTTTTATTTAAATATATACTTTAAAAAACTATAATACTAATATATTACGCGTTATAAACGGTGTAAACTGGTTCTATTTCAATGCATACGTTGAGTAATATTTTGTTAAAATTGTTCCCAGTGTCACTATTCAACTGTCATTCGTGACGCCACGGCCAACTTGCATTGCGCGAAGCGAAACACTAACTCACGCTTATGTGATGGGAAAACTCATGTAACTTTTCACGGCCCGCCATTGGGTCTTCGTCAGTCGTTAGGTAATTCTGTGCGCTGCGATTGGTGGAAACGTCCCGCCCACAATTTTCCTCGGCGTTATAACACGCGGTAACGATGTTTGAATTTTTAATGCGAGAATTACTATCGACTTTTGAGCGTTAAGAATGTTTTCAACATAAGCTTCCTAGCGACTAATAGAATAGTGACTAAAAATCACGTTTGCTCGTTTGGGGCATGGGGCTAACACATCGATGTCCGACACTGATAGATTTACTTAGGTTTATTTTTATAAGCAACTAGTTGATACTTCTACAATATAATACTTAATACAACTTTGAACGTTAGGAAATCCACAGACTGAACCCGAACGCGATTATAATTGCTATCAGGGGTTCGGGACCCGGACGAAGTTTTAATCATCCTAGCATCCTTTTTATATCTAGATTTTCCGAAGATTTAATGTTGAAAAAAAAATTGATATATGTAAAAAAAATATTAGCTACCTACTGTTTATTTTATGTACCGTTTTACAAATAAATAATTTAAATAAAACATTTTAACGGTTTAAAATGCGATATAGATATATAGATATTTCAGTTAAACTTGTTTGACATTTTTTTAAACTACGGCCCGACGTTTCGGATGCTTTACAGCAGCCGTCTCCCCCGTGGCCTCTCACAGAGCTTTCACCTGTATGTATAATATTAGTACAGATTAATGCAAATGTATAGAATATCTGTTCATAACTGATTTTTGTTAGGCTCTCTCAAATCGTTACACAAAACCGACGTTGGTGGCGCTGTCAGTTAATATATTATGTACTTACATGGAATGGAACAATTCTTTTTTCTGTTTATGCAGCTTGTCTTACTTTTTTTTGTAAATTTTACTGTGTTTTTTGTACAAAAGCGACTTTCTTTTTTGTTTATTATTACTTGAGTGTGGCCCCGCTGTCCACACTCTAAGGACTTACTGAAAATCAGTTTCTGATATAAACTGAATAAGATCCTATTCTACTAGCAGCACACAACATTATCCTATCTTGTTATATTAAGTTATACTGTTAATATAAACTAATGATATTTAATATTAGTTAATAGTTATAGGTCATAGTTTAATTGAATTGTATATTTTTATGTTTAAGTTCAGTGTTGAATTGGGCTCCCACCGATCATGACAATGCAACATTAATGATTAAATAAATAAAATAAAAATAAATTTATAACTCTTCAAAAACATTTACAAGGTCACAAACAACCATTTTTAAATGGAAAAGTGCTAAGATTTTTTTGTCTATTTCAGTCTGTTGATTATTGAGTGTTCAAAGCAAAAAAAGTATGTAGATCAACAGTGCATCTTAAATAGACTATACATAGCTTGGGTTTATGACCTTCCATCAGGTGAGCCTCATGTCTGTCATCCTCTGTCAAAAAAATATGAGTAAATCCGGGTGCGAAAGTACTGTCTAACATATAGTTAGTCATTAAGGCATCTATGTATAGAGAACAAAATGGTGAGGCGCTGTAATTGACGCTTGCAGTGACGAACGGAACCAGTTATGAACGACATAGTAACGGAACAAAGAGGCTATGGAGTCGTCATTTTATAAATTAAATGGAGACCTCTTTGGCGGCGTTGTGTTTTTTTTTAATGGGTGAATAATGTCAAATTCACAATACACAAGGACACACGGATATTAGACAAAACATAATTTTTTTCATTGACATTGTGTACGATAGCGCATTAATAATAATATGTTTACATAAATAAAACACTTTATCGGTTTAAAGCGCGATATACTTATTTGTTAAACTTAGGTTTCCCCGTGACCACGGCTGCTGCAAAGCATCCGAAACGTCGGGCCGAATTAAAAATCATTTTCAAATAAGTTTAACTAATATATCGCGTTTTAAACCGTTAAAGTGTTTTATTTAAATGTGTACTTCTCGCGTAAACTATAGACAGTATTTAAGTTGACTGATAACACTATCAGTAATCAAAATATTCAACGAAAATTACTTACCAATGTACAACGTCTGTCACAGCTTCGGAAGTCTGCGGAAGATGTTGGCTCACATAAGCAAATTACTTGCGACTACTTAGATGGTTTTTGTGGCATCGAGGTGCCAGGGGGGTTACTACTTATTCCAGTGAAGCGCTAAACCAAATTTTATTCCGATCATAGTGAATCAAGAACCGGGGCAACTATCCGGCTTTTCCACTATTAACTACAGCCCACGGCACCACCCGTTGTTCGTGCCAGGTAATCTTTAAAGAAAGATATATAAATTATTGATTTTCCCCCGTATTCTCCACGTTTATCTTTATCCTTCACTGCTATTAGTCGCCTAATATATACTAATCTAAGAGGAATCATTTCTCCATACATATTTTTTGGATGTCTTGAACCGTTTTCGCAGCGTACGCGTCAGAAACCCACAGAGATGAAAAATTTCCCCCTGTTTTGTTCACATTTCCCGCTATATTCCTCTATTAGTCACAGTGTGATGTTTTATAGCCTTCTTCGATAATTGGTCTAACACAAAAAAAAATTAAATTCGAACCGTTAGTTCCTGGGATTAGCGCGTTCAAACAAATAAACTCTTCAGCTTTATAATATTAATATAGATAGATATTTTTTGTAAAATGTCTACTCCATAGCTTCCAAGCTAAAGTGCTTTCTATTTCAAATAGCTGTTTAATGACAGTGGAACTTGGGGTGAAATGCGATCGACCAATTTTGATCCTCGCTAATGATCCGTCTTATAACTAAATGAAATAAATTATAGCATACACATATATATAATATATTCATATTTCAAAACAGGCCTAATATCACGCGAGTAGGTAAGATTGAAGTTAGTAGACTTTGAATTTAAGATATTTCGGTCTCTGACGTTAAATATAAACAAAATTAATTATTCACCAATACTAAATATTATAAAGCTGAAGTGTTTGAACACGCCAATGTCAGGAACTACTGGTTTGAATTGAAAAATGATTTTTGTGAAAACACGTTGCGGCTTAGACGCGAAGAAACAGTAGCATGTGGCGAAAGCAAGGAAAATTATTATTTTTGCGTGTTCTCATTGAGTGCGCTGCGAAAACGGTTTCAGTAACTTAAAAAATAATATAATGAATGATTCCCCTTTAAATTACCGAACTAAAATGTCCTTAGCGAATAAACCTTCTTCTTCTTCCAAACAGCTATAATCTATAAAGATCAAAATAAAACGATACTATAAGCCTATCTTTTAAGATTAATTCACAACATGGCAATCAAATTTTGCTCAAAATTCTTTATATGGACAAAATATCTCTTACCTTGCTAGCTTAAGAAATAACGATCAAGACAGTTCCATCGCAGTATACAACCCCATGAGAACCAGCGGGTGCCGTCGACAATTAACCCTTTGCTTTACATAAACTGCCGTCATCGTCATAGGCCGTACGTGTGGATAATTGTTCATTTTTGAACAATCACAACGATACCTTCGACCTGCTTCAATCGCGATGCTATTAAGTTCAAACGCTTATTTGAACCAAAATAACGGGGTCGTTGGTTTAAGGTATGTATGGCTAATAATCATCTGGTCGTGGGTTCGCCCACCACCATACGAAGTCCAACATGTTTCGGAGATATTAGAAACATATTAGACTTCGTCTGGATATTTGGAATTATATGGGTGGTAGGATTATAGAAATTCCGACCGGGTCACGAACCACCGTCCACAGATGAAAAAGCCGCGAAGTTTAATCGCGTTTCAGTATCAGTCTGGATTTCCGAATATCCAAAGCCAAAATAGGTCGACAACGCATCTTGTTCAGATGCCCATAGGCTGGGGTCTTATCTCTATCATAAAAAAATATTGTGTATGAGATAACACTGTACGGTACCAATACCCACGTAGTGTATGTATAATCCCATACGAATGTATGTGTAATTCCATACACATAGTATTTTCGTAATTTCTTCACCCAAAGGCGTTGAGACTTTATTTGTTTGTCAGATGATTTACACGCAATACCTTTTTGTATTTTTAGCCCGAGATTCGAACCTTGTAAAGCCTATACATGTTTCTAGACTAAATTGTAGTGTAGGCTCTGTTACACTGTCAAATCATTACGGCAGTGTGGTACTTATTTAACAGATCAAGCTATAACAATAACAACTGTAGTTTACGCGAGCAGTACACATTTAAATAAAACACTAACGGCTTCAAACACGATATATATTAGTCAAACTCATTTTAACGACGGCCCGATGTTTCAGACGCAGCAGCGGCGGTCACGGAGTGTCTCTAATGACAAAGTAAAAAAAAATGCTACGCCAGCGCCATCTGTTCCTTCGAAGTTGGTATTTGGGGAATCTGGCCGGGTGCTTGCTTTGACTAACGGTGTCTTCGCGTTTGCTGGTATGCTGTTCTTTGGAATCCAGGGTTTGTTTGTTTGATTATTGTATCGCCAACGAAATTTCAAATGTTAATGAGGGCCCGCTTGTCAAAAAGGTTGATCACCCCCATCTTTCAGGTGAGTGTAGAAAAATCTTTAAATAAAACAAACCTTGTAAAATCACATTTAATTTAAATATTTACATGTCACTTTAAACGTAAGTTTAATAAGAACTATATAGGAATCAAAAAAAATATAATGTAATATAAAAAATCGCTCGACTATCATTACATACTATGTTTTATAACATTGTAAATTGTTTGCGTGTGCACATAGTCCCACGCCCCCTAATGGGGCATAGGGACACCTTTATAGAAGGGATGATCATAGATTGTGACGTGAGAAAGAAGAATCGAACTCAGAACGAGTAAAAGAAATTCAGTTTACTTAAAATGGGTCAAATAAATTTAACAAATTAAAAACAAATATACTCCCTTATATTATAAACAATTTAAGTCATGTCTGTAGTTAATGCGAGTAGTACATTTTTAAATAAAACACTCTTAACGGTTTAAAACGCGAAATGTATTTGTTCTACATATATTCGTTTAACTACGACGTTTTATGATGTTCACGGACACTACGACTTCTTACAAATATATAGTTTTAACTAATAATTTTCGCGTTTTAAACCGTTAATTGTTTTATTTAGTTTAGTGTTTTTCTTGGCTCATTTCAGGCCACATTTGCACAATGGTCTTTACTAATTTACACATTATATGGTTTACATAATTGTAATTGATAACCAGTAATTAAGTTAAATGGATGTTGTTTAAATTTGATTTATTGTTTAATTTTCAATGAAACAACATTATCATATTTTTCTCTAGTTTTGTATGTCATTTTTGTCTGATGATGTACCTTGTATCTTGGAATGTCATATTCCCACATTTCATAATAGGCAAAACCCCAATAAGTAACTGTGCAAAATCCATCAAAGGAAAACAATCATAGCATCGTTGCTATCCATACAAATAACGTATCCAGGACAACAACAAATATCAAAATCGTTAGAGGTTCATCGCGACTGGTTAAGCTCTATAGACGTCATACTGCTCTTGACGAGACAAAGTTTTGAATCGGTGTTGTATATAAAATCAATGTATTTCACTTTTTAACGGTTTTAAACGCGAATTATATACGAAAAATAGTTTCATGACCATCCGACGTTTCGCATGTTTTGCACGTTGCCATGACGTGGTAATTAATTTACTATGCTAATATAATTCGCGTTTAAAACAGTTTTAGATTTTTAATTACATATTTGTTTAATCTATAAGTAATTTAAACAAATCGACAATTTGCGATAAAATTTTTGATATAGCTCCCAGCAATAATTTGTTTAAATTAAATAAAATGGCTGCGGGAATAGTTAGTACATACATTCATTGACAATTCTATGTATAAATAAAATAAAATGGGATATTTTCATTAAGGCTAACTTTTAAATGCATAACGTATATACAATAATAAAAAAACCGGATACCTGAAACGGCTGAAACGAAAGTGATAAGATGCTATACATCTCATAAACGGAGCAACTTCAGTTGAAAATATACCGAAAATAGTTTTATTCAACTGAATAGTATAATTAGATTAAAACCAACGAGTCCTTGTTCTTTGTAGGGAATTGTGGGGACAAGAACGGATAATCACCAGATCGAGTTAAGAGTAACTCAATCTGGTGACTATAGTTACAAAATAACTCTGGATTTGTGCACAAAACGTGTGTACGTAGCAGCGATTATGACGTCATCATGTCATTAACGGAGGGCGTGTTGACTGTAGTGCCTTTGAGGAGGTCGTTGATCGCGCGCCGGAACATTGATAGGTTCTGCGTGAATCTGAAACAAGATATAAATACATTTTTAACACATATTGATAGTTGTTACTTAAGGAGCTGGAAGCGATCTGGGGGTCGACCCCCCCCCCCCCCCTTTATCATCAACTCTTATTTTTGTGTTTACCTGTCCCTGTTCTTCGTGAGCAGATTCCTCTCGACGCCGGCCATCAGCTGTTCGAAGCACTCGGCGATCTGGTGCTGCCGATGCCGCGGTTGCTGCGCGATGATCTCCGCTCGGAGGCCGGCGAACTGCTCCTCGTTCAGCAGGATCAGCCCGAGCAGCGGCCGCGACATCGACCACTGGTTGCAGCACTCTTCAAACATTATTACGTTTACTACCTGGCGGTGTAAAGGGTGAATGAATAAAACTAATTATGTAATAACAATATAAAAGTGATTTCCCCTTTCTTTTTCCCCTTTTTATTTAAGAAATAGGGGGGAGACACTCTTAGTTTTGACTATAATCAAAGATTTTCTGCTAAAAATCACAGTATATTCTTGCAATATGCAAGAATTTTCCATTTTTCAGAGAATCCTTCGTGGGCGCGTCCAACTCGCACTTGGCCGAAAATAAAAGTGGCCTACGTTACTTCCTATTACATTAGCTGTCTGTCAGTGAAAGTTCCATGAAAATAGGTCTAGCCGTTTCCGAGATTAACCGGAACAAACAGGCAGACAATTTTTTTTAAATGTTGTTTTGGTATGTGTACCGTGTATAGATCAAAATGTAGAGAGTATAGATCCATATGTATTTAGTAAAAAGCGGTTATTTTACAGACAAACAGACACTCCAATTTTATTTATTTGTATAGATATAACTGGAGTATTTAAAGCTGCTAGAGGCAGAGTGGCCTAATAACATAAAAATGATTTTCAATAAGGAGGAAAATACAAATGCGCAATTAACTTGGACGAAAATTAGTTTGTACTATTAATTGTGTAAGAATTATGTTTAAATAAAACACTTTAACGGTTTAAAACGCGATATATTAGTGAAACTTATTTGGAAATTATAATATATCGCGTTTTAAACCGTTAAAGTGTTCTATTTAAATGTGTACTACTGGCGTAAACTATAGACAGTTTAAGAATTATGTTAACAACTTTCGGTCACTTTTTTCTTGTAGATTAACATTTTTAGACTATGAAAATATAAGTGACGTCCTAAAATACTCACGGTGGCTAGCAGCTGTTGCATTATTTCCGGCCTCCTTTGTAATACCTCTATGAACATCGGTTGTCGCGGGTTCGACACTTTATTATTTGCTGAAAAACAATTTACAAGATTACTCACATTTTTTTAGATGATATTTTTTGGGTTTCTTGAACCGTAATCGCTCTACAAAAGCCTATAAAGACGAACGGTTTCCCCATTTTTCCACATTTCCCACTATTCCTCCGCCCCTATTGGTTGCATCGTGATGTTTTATAGCCTAAAGCCTTCATCAAATCAAATGCTCTAACCAACACAAGAATTTGTCAATTGAAACCAGCCGTTCCTGAGATTAGCGCGCTCAAACAAACAAACTCTTCAGCCTCATAATATTAGTATAGATATATTATACTCACACTTTTGTATCAGCTGCTTAAATAAATACGTAACTACGTGGTCTAGGGTCGCACAACATCCCGTACATACAGTCGTGTCTGAAACATATAATTATAGTTAGTCGTAGTTAAAATAATTTTCGAATAAGTTTAACCATTACACATCGCGTTTTAACCCGTTAAAGTGTTTTCTTTAAATGATCAGAAACACCATGGATCAGAAGGGGATCAAACTCGGGACAAGTTAGCACCAATAAAACTCGAGATATATTTAAATAAAACACTAACGGTTTAAAACGCGATATATTATTTAAACTTATTTGGAAATGATTTTTAACTTCGGCCCGACGTTTCGGATGCTTTGCAGCAGCCGTGCTCACGAGATACATTATTAACTTTGCAGTGGTCACCGGAACATTGTTACCGTTTTAAACAGTTAAAAGTGTTTAATCTAAAGTATATACGAATATCACATTACCTATGGCCGTTAGTCCTTCCGATATTGAGGAGAGAATATACAGGGTGGCCTCCGGTTGTAACGAAGCTAGATACGGCATGTGGTCTTGCGCTAGCCTCTCCAAAAGTACATAGTACGTTTGTGACAGCTTCGGGTAAAACTGTAAATGGAGTTTTGCATTGTAAGCACTTCTAATATTGATAAATCCTTTAAATAAAACACTAACGGTTTAAAACGCAATATTAGTTTAACTTATTTAAAAATGATTTTTAACATCATATATTAGTTAAATTTCAAATAAGTTTAACTAATATATCGCGTTTTAAACCTTTACAGTGTTTCATTTAAATGTTTATTTTTCATGAAAAAAATTTTGGACTCGCAGACACATTTGTGTGTCGTTTAAATGCGATGAGTAAACTATAGACTTCGTACGCGTAGAATGGTTATTTTGGGTATCAATTTTTTTCTTGTTAAAAACCCCTGTAAACTTAGCTGCTACCCACCACGTCGTCCGCGTCGCGTCGTTCTTGCAAGTTTTCCTTAAAAGATAGACATATACTGTCGCGGACATTTTTTCGAGATCATTTGTATAGTAATTATTCTTATATACATATTTTTTGGGTATCTTGAACTTGAATTCTGAATCTTCGCTTGTGTTAGTCACAGGGTGATGTTTTATAACCTATAGCCTTCCTCAATAAATGCTTTAACTAACACACAAATAATTTTTCAACTCGAACCAGTACTTCCTGTGATTAGCGCGTTCAAACAAACTCTTCAGCTTTACACGTTAGTATAGATTCATTTAGTACTATGAATAAATGTAATTACAATATAAAAAGAAGAACTCCAATTTGATGCAAGGGTCTTTAATAAACAGACAAGCACAGTGTTCACTCGATGGTAAGTGAAATACCGCAGCCATAAAACATGTGCGGTCGACCTATTTTGGCTTTGGAAATTCGGAAATCCACAGAATGAGACCGAAACGTGGTTAAGTTTTACGACTTTTTGAGCTCCGGACGATGGTTCGTGACCGGGACAAATGCATATATTTAACATTCGGATTTCAACATGTTTTAGAAAAATCATAAATTGATACTAGAAATGTCGGACCCGGCGGCGATCGATCCACGAGCCGTTGATTAAACCAAACATTGCTACGGTAAAGTTTGACGTAAATAGTCACATGGTATCTGTTCTTGGTTCGGATTCGAGCCCAGATACTCCCGCGCTTAACGCAATGCCAGGCGCAGATTAACACAAGAGCAGACAAAGTGCTTTCCGTTTTTACCTTTTCACAACGGAACCCTAAAAACCACTAAAACTTTACCGAGGTAAAACAATGCGCACGAGTCGCATAACGTACTTTTTCAATTCGAGTGTCTAAACGAGCCGTTTTCATTCTCTCAAAATTTCATCAAAATCCGTTCAGCAGTTTATACGTATTAAAGTAATAGAAAATAATAAACTCACCAACAAGTCGCTCTGCGGTATACTTAACAATAACTTAACGAACATATTTAATGCATTGTCTAAAGCGTCGTCGCCGTATAACCTGCAACAAGCAAACATTTGGAGCGGGTTCGAATCTCGTTTGTGTCATTATTTATTTAAAAAAAAATCACATTGACATCGCATTGCCTTCATAACATATAGGGCATAAATTTGTGTCACTGCCCTTTCTGATCGAAACTATTTTGAGTGCGCTTCTAAACACAAAAAGCTAACTAGCGTAATTATTAAATTGACCGAAAAATAGGCACTATACACAATGTCGGTCTAAACACTGTCTGTAGTCTACGCGAGTAGTACACATTTAAATAAAACACTTAACGGTTCAAAACACACTCCACTGTAGTCCCCCAGTGACCACGACTGCTGTAAAGCATCCGAAACGTCGGGTCGTAGTTAAAATAATTTGCAAATAAGTTTATCAAATATATATCACGTTTTAAACCGTTAAAATGGTTTTATTTAAATAACGGTCTAGCCGTTTATGGCTACGAAAATATCAAAACGTTTGCAAATATTGAACACTTGCGCATCTATATAACTACTAGCAACAAACAAAAAACAATAAACGAAAAATCTACTTTTGACGACCTGCGTCAAGATCTCAGTCCCGCCCTCGCGTTTTAACTAAAATGTCCCGCGTTCTAAACCGTTAAGAACACTCGCGTAAGCAGACAGACATTACAACTAGCATAAATACACTAAACGGTTTTAAATGCGCAATTTATTTTTTGCGACGGGGGGGGATGAAAGGGATACTATCTTTACTTCCCCCCCCCTGGCGTACCCCCCCCCTTTAACTAATATATAATTTAAATGCTTAAAAAAGCAATAGACAATACTGTGGTGGTAGTTCTTACCTAAAAACGCCAAAATTTGCATAATTCCCACATAGGGCCACCTTTAGGATAGAGAAACAGACGGATATCCCTTTTAGCTTCATCGCGTACATTTGCTTCTTGTTTACATCTACCGTTAATATTCTACTACCTGGAAAGGCGATATAAAATATAATAACAACGTCCATACATGAGGCTGCTAGAGACAGAGTGGCCTATTTGTGTAAGAATTATGTTAACATTTTGCGGTCAAAGTGCTCTTATAGATTAACATTTTTAGACTTTGAAAATATAAGTGAAGTCCTAAAATTTTAGTTAGGCTACTCTGCCTCGAGCGGCCTTATATTCATTAAATTTAAGATTTAATAAAAGATTTGACAATAATATTTTATTTGTCTGACACGTTCTTAATTTAAGCCTGTGGTCTTTCACTAAAACAGTTTCGACGAGTACTACTACATGAAAGGGAGAAAGGGGGGGGAGGTTAAGAGAAAAAGACTACCAAATTCCCTTTAGTGGAAATTTAGTATTTTCTTTTAAACTGTATTTCATAAGTAATGTACCTAGTCCACTCGTGAGTTTAAATTTTTATACATAACACCGGGGGTGTGGAAGGGGTAGAGGGAGGGGAAGGGAGGGCACGGTTTTCACTTGATGGGAGGTGAAATATCCTGGCCATATAATAGCTAAACACGAGGCTCTGTCGACATATTTTGGTTTTGGGTATTCGGTAGGGGGAGGAGGCACAGAGGGGCAGGGGGGAGGAGGCACAGAGGGGAAGGGGGAAAAGGGGAGGGTATAGACGGGGAAATAAGTGTAGATGGGGGTAGGGGAAAAGGGGTCAGGGGAAAGAGGGGTATAATTATAAACCTTCTTATGTATTACTTAATCAGCCTCTAATTGTATGTACTGTATATATAAATATCTTACCATAAGCGCATATTATATTAGACAATTCCCTAAAAAGTAATATCCCGTTCGGCGAGCTGACGTCGAAGTGTAGCCTTTGATTCCTGCTCTGTCCCAGTTCAGTGGTTAGCTTGAGGATTGGCGTCGTGACCGCCGGTTCGCTGTACCACAGTTCGATGCCTCGCAAAAGCACTTTCATGTATGTAGGATAGCTGTGAAGGAAAAACTCTATTTTAATAAAACACATTTTTAAATCGCGAGACAAGTCATTTAATTTACAAGGGCGTCAGGTCGTAGATAAAGTAGGTAAGGTAAGTAATATATCTCGCGTTTTAAACCGTTAAAAATGTTTAATTCTCGCATAGAGGCAATACGAAAACCGATATTACGAAAAGGGTTAATGTGTATAACTTTTTTTTAATTAAAGAGTATCCCCAAGATTTGAATCTCGCTAGCTAGCGACAATGTGTACAAATTGAAATAAAACATTTTAACGGTTTCAAACGCGAAATATATTTAGTTAAACTTATTTGTAAATAATTTTAACTACGGCCCGACGTTTCGACTCCTGCAAAGCATCATCGATTTTCAACTAAGAACAACTAATATATTTCGCGTTTTAAACCGTTAAAATGATTTATTTAAAATTACACACTACTATTGCCTCGATGGCTTAGTGATACCCGTTAAGCTGGAGAGTCCAAGGTTCTATTTCTTATATAGTTAAATTTCGCGTTTTAAACCGTTGTAAGTGTACTACTCGCGTAAAGTACAGAGAGTATTTAGTACTCACATCCAATCAAATAGCATCATATAGGTAGTCTTGGTGTTGAAGGCGAACGCCAAGCCCCGGAGGTCCCTCGCGAGACCTATTAGGGTCTTCTTCGCGTCTTCGGAGGCGTAGAGGGGATTCTCAGCGGTGCCAAGGAGGCCAATTATACTCTCGAAGGCCGCTGAAAAAAGGTCTTTGTTAATAATTGATAGTAGATGTGTTGGAAATGTTTAGACGAAAATTATTTGCACACTAGGTGGTTCAGCGACTTCGTCCGCGTTGAATTGAGTTATATTGGGTCACCATTTGTTCTTGCAAACCTATTCATTTTTATAATTCATAGCTGTTACCCACGACGAATGTAGCGTCGCAAACTTATTTTTACATCATTAAAGAGGAATCATTCATTTAAATAAAACACTTTAACGGTTTAAAACGCGATATGTTAGTTAAACTTATTTAAAAATGATTTTTAACTTCGGCCCGACGTTTCGGATGCTTTGCAGCAGCCGTGGTCACGGGGAGAAAAAAGTTTAAATAAGTTTAACTAAACTAATATGTAGCGTTTTAAACCGTTAAGTGTTTTATTTAAAAAAGGTACATAAATTTATTTTTGTAAGGCTTTATATTAATATAACAAAAGGCATGTGAAATAACTTTTTTTCAGACTAGCTCGTTAGAATCAATTGGGGGTCCTATACCCACCGGGTCCAAGATACTTCTAATAAAATTACAATGTTTTTGAAACATGTAGATTCGTCTCGAAATCTGGATATTAATTGGGTGGTAGGAATATCGACGGTTCGTCCGGGTCACGAACCACCGTCCACAGATGAAAAAGCCGTGAAGTTAATCAGCGTTTCAGTCTGTGGATTTCACCTGCCATCAAGTGAATCGCGCGCTTGTCTGTCCTTTTATCATTAAAAAACTAAACATCTGTTACCCGTTAGCGGCATCATGAAAGCGTAGAACCTATCCTCGTCTTCCCCCAGCTCCACCATGAGCAACCTTCCCAACGCCGTATACAACATGCTCCTACAACGCATCTCCGCCGTGCCGACCCCAATCCCCAGGAACGGAAAGTGCTCGGCCTATAAAAAACAGACTTTTGGTAAATACCTAAATATACACGCTGTATAAGAACTTTTGTGTTTCATGCTGCGCTGTTTTTCAGTGATTCATGGGTCATCACTGTAAATCAGCGTCTTTCACAGCAACTTGGTGTATATCTTAATCGTAACTCATTTATCTTTCTTAAATCATTGTAGTTTATATGTATGTATGTTAAAAGTGTGTCTGTGTGGGAGTACCAGTATTTAATAATTATAAATTATAAAATATATAATAGATATTTAAAATTAGTGTCTGAACAATTTTCATAATCACCAAACTTATTTTAAAAATTAAATCTCCATAATACATTACTAATCAATATAAGATATTACAATTTGACTAGCTGAGTCAGCGACTTTGTACGCCTAGGATAGTTATGTGGCGTCTTACACACATTTATTTATTAAAACATATATTTATTCTCAGTGCCTCGCACGCCTTGCCGCCGATTGTGTCTACAATTGTGGTACTGAGTGGCGCGCGGGCGCATGCACTCGATGAGTGATCCATCGTAAGTACGTTCAGATGTATTGTCGATATATCTATAATGTAAAAGTATCGACAATAATAATTACGATGCAATATAATAAATATATGTTTTAATAAATAAATGTGTGGAAGACGCCACAGTTATTTTGGGTATCAATTTTTGTTTTTTCTAACCTAACCTAGCCTCCAGTTCAACTCTGTAAATTTAAGCTCCTTCGTCGCGTTCCGTCGTTCTTGCAAGTTTATCCTAAAATTAAAAAAAAAAGAAGACTTTTGAAAATACCATGGACTGCGTTTCGAACCAATAACTCTATTCTCCGGGAACTCCAGATACAGCAAAGAATGTCTTCGATCGTAATGACACGCATTCTGAAGTTCTTTGGTCATATTTCTAGAAATGAGGATTCCCTGGAGAGACTAGTCATACAAGGAAGAGTTGAAGGAAAGCGTTCACGTGGTCGTTCTCCTACCCGCTGGGCCGACCTTATCAGCACTACCACCGGATCTTCACTTGAACAGTGTAGCCGCGATGCAAAAGACCGTCAAAGATGGAGGAGGATAGTCCTTAAAGCATGCTCGAACACAGAGGACACCCCACGAACCACGACATCATCATCACAGACCACGACCACTCTAATTTGAGTGCACGACTGAGAAGAGATCCTAAAATATAGATACATAGCGTCGTAGACAATCTTTTTGGATCATTTAAAGAGAAAGATCATTCTCTCATATTTTATGGGTATTAAACCGTTTTCACAGCGTACGCATCGGAACCCAAAGGGATGAATTTGCCCCGTTTTTTCGACATTTCCCGCTGTTCCTTCGCTCGTATTAGTCACAAGTGACAATTAATTCATTCGTGTGCGTAGGCCCTGAGATAGGCGCGTTCAAACATACTACCAAACTCTTCAGCTTTATATATGAGAAATATATTGTTTGATGTTATTTCGATAATTATTCTTGTTTAAATGTTCAAAGTACAATAAGCCGTGTAATACTGTAATTGTTTTTTTCCACTAAATTAACAAAGCTTGATTTGATTTGCATCCAGCTAGTGGCGCCATCTGTTGTAAGTTTTTGTAGCCTTAAAAGAAAAGTAATTAAGTTAATTTATAGGACGATCCGGTTTCAGTCTACAGATTTTCCGAATGTCCAAAAACAAATATGCCACAACAAATAGATATAACGTAAACTAGTTTTCTTTATATGCTAGAGGAGAGAAGGTGGATGAAATATCCCAGCCATAAACATCTAAACAAGATGCGCTATCTTTCATCTCTATGCGGGAAGTTTCCAACTCACCGTATGATGTGTCAGCATAAATTTCACCTCGTCCAATCTGACTAGTTTCCTGACACAAGAATAACCCCCACTGAGGTCGCTGAGCAATCCTAACGTCTTCGATATAATCGCCTCCGAACCGCCCCAGTACTTCAAATTCGTTATTCTGAAAATGAACCATTATAAATAAATATTATTTCATACAACACTAAACAACAATGTTTTCTTTAATGTGTACTATCTAATACGTAACAGACAATACTCAGGTTTATTTAAATAAGGAAATATAAATGTAATGGGGCCCGACGTTCGGCTTCTTCGAGCGAACACCCCTATATATATCCCATGTTTACTATGAGTTAACTAATATATTTCAAACTTAACTTAAAAAATAAAGTTGAAACAATTTTATTTCAAAACTGCTCGCGTGAACTACAATGTGAGTATATAAATGTGTCGTAAAATAAAATAAGTGAATATATTCGCGTTTTAAACCGTTTAAAGTGTACGATTAGCGTTTTGTTTTTCGTTAGGCCTTCACCTGCCTCGGCTTGAAACACCGCAATGTAGGCGGTAGGTATATACGTAGACACAATTTTTCTGTCGAAATATTATAATATTTGCGTAGACAGTCTGCGGGGACACTCACATCTTTCTCATAATGACGCTGAGAAGCTGACTCTCGTCGCTCAGCCCCAGGACCTCGCTGAGGCGTCGGTACACCTTGCTGTTCTTCTGCACCTGGTCCCCGACGTATATCTTCCTGAACTGCTCGAAGAACGACATCATAGCTAACTCTAATTTTTCACAACCACTCTGAAAATTAAGCAGTTACACAGTTACCACGATGACATTTATGTGCTATTAAAATATTTATTTTTGGCATTAATGTAATCCTATTTTGATTCTTTCGCAAATCCACAGATTGGAGCCTAAATGTGCAATTTAGCTTTCATGACTTTTTTGGGAAACGTTAAGCATTTGACATAAGACAAAGCCATTAAAATAAAATACATTTAACCGTTTAAAATGCGAAATATATTAGTTGAATTTTGTTTTATTTATTTAACCACAACCCGACGCTTTGGTTGCTTTGCCATGGTCACGAATTATATTATTATAGTTAACTTATATTTTGGCCTCGATCATGAAGAACTCTGTCTTAGTTATAACAACTAATATATTTTTCGTTTTAAACCGTTTAAAGTGCTTCATACGAATTTCCATCGTAATGTGTTCATTTTTAAGTCCCCTCCCGTATGCTTTTATAAGATGTACGGATGGACCTAGAGTTGGATGTATGGATTCCACACTTACATTAGCAAGCCTGGAGTCAGTCAAGTCCATGAGCTGCAGAACGCGACACACCAGCTCGCCGTCCATCGCGTCGTTCTCGTCGCACGCGTTGACAGACGCCCGTCCATCTATCGCCGCTCCGATTATATACACCAACCACGTTAGTTGACCTGTAACATGAAACAACAATTTGTTAATACGAAAAATATAGCGTCAATTACTGTCATCAGTGTTAAGTATAACTTTAAATAGTAAAACAGTCACATATGTTAAAAATAATTATAAAAATTTGAATAGAAAAGCTTTTAAATAAAACACTTTAACGGTTTAAAACGCGATATATTAGTTAAACTTATTTGAAAATGATTTTTAACACGGGTCTCCCCGTGACCACGGCTGCTACAAAGCATCCGAAACGTCGGGCCGCAGTTAAAAATCATTTTCAAATACGTTTAACTAATATGTCGCGTTTTAAACCGTTAAAGTGTTTTATTTAAATGTGTACTACTCGCGTATACTATAGACAGTATAGAAAAGCTTTTTATAAATATTTTGTCACGTGATACAAAACGTCTCTGATTTGTCTGGTCTGTGACGTCACTTGCTTATAAACAGTGCTTTACACCACAGTGCTTCCTATTGTTAAAACCGTTCCATTCTCTAAATAGATAAATAAATTTGAAACTAATTTAATTACTTCAATCACTGTTAAAATTTAAATGTTTGGAACAAATTAATGTAGATTGTAGATCATACGATCGACATACACCAATGGCCAATATAAGCTCGTGACGTCACTAGCCATAATGAAGCGTTATTTCGCAAACTTGGCGTACATGTACGCTATTATAATCTTGGATTTTGAATCTGATATATTTGCTTTTATTTTATTAGATAAGGACTGTCGAAATTTTATCACAATTACAGACATATGTAATTTAAACTTAAAATATGTAAAAAAAACAAAATTGTGTAAAACAACTACAGACAGACAAGACATGCAAAGTTAAACAAAGGCAAAGTGAAGACGAAATTGTACAAAAACGAACACATTGGAACAATAGGTTATTACTATCATATACGATTATATAAGTAATTATGTGCACTTAGGGTTAACGAACAGCATAAATTACACCGAGAGGTGTGAAGATAGCAACCTACTAAGTTTGCTGGGTGAGTCCAGGTGTAGATCGATTAAGCCACTATGCTCAATTACAACTTGACAACATCTCAATAGTGGTGAGTGAACCAAAAACAGTTCCTCGAGGGGAGTGTGAAGTTGGGTTTGCGAGGATATTTGAATGGGGCATAGAAACTTACTTTGAGCAATAGGGAGCTGGTGAGAGCCAATTTTATTTTGCGTCAGAGATGATTCGATTGCGTAAAACGGTCATTTTGAAATGAGCTAACTGTTTTTTGTACGAAGGCTGGATTTTTTACGTGATATATTTTTAGCAAATATGTATCAGAATTCAAATACTACTAAAGGGGTTTAAAGAAACATACATGTACAAGATATATTTTTTTAATCAGTCAATTGACACATTGGGGCATTCAAGTTTATCACTTTCTCCATTTTCATATAATCATTCAAGAAAATACGCTTACCCTGCAACACCTGTATCTGCTGCGGCTGCGATTCTACCGTGTACGCAGCAGCAGCTCTGTCGAAGTGCGCCACCAGCAGTTGGCAGGTCTTGGCGTATTCACATCGTCCTATGACAGCCACCTGTTCCAACTGCTGTTGCACCGCCCCCATGTCATCCAGAGGGTCTTCTAGACCTTCTCTGAAATTGAACATTTTCTCAATTCTCAAATCTCGGAACAACAAGAAATAATTCTCTAAGGAAAATATACAGGTCAACGATTTATGATTGAAATTTGCAAAGTACTATAAGATCTATATTTTTAAATCTCAGCTTTACTTGTTGTATTAAATAAATAAAACTTAGTATGATTTGCAAGCAATTAGTGGCGCCATCTGTTGAGAATTGTGTAAATTAACGTTGAAATTTAATCATTTCTTACATAAAATTTCGAATATTGGACTATATTTTAAAATTAAATATATCGCATTCAATGATTTGTGGGAAATTATGATAGCGAAAGATATTAGTATAAACATCACTGTAAAATAGGGTTTACTCTTATACTGATTTTCTTACAAAAATAAACGAATTTGTCTCCTGTAAGCGTTTTCAATGTGATGGACACGAAGCCCTTAGACAACATATAAAACAATGTGTAAAGATGTATGGTTTTATAAAATCGTGTATGGTTTATGGTGTGCCTTGCCTAGAATTATTTAAAACTCTAAAATTAATACTGTCTATAGTTTTCGCGATTAGTACACATTTAAATAAAACACTTTAACGGTTTAAAACGCGATATATTAGTTAAACTTATTTGGAAATGATTTCTAAACGTCGGGCCAACGTTTCGGATGCTTTGCAGCAGCCGTGGTCACGGGGAGACTAAAGATGAAGGATGTCTCTGACATCAAAGTAAAAAATTGCTACGCTAGCGCCATCTGTTCCGCCGAAGTTGATATTTGGGGAAACTGGCCGTGTCCTTACAGAATTGACTAACAGTGTGTTTGCCGGTATGCTGTTTATTGACATCCAGAGTTCTATTATGATCTTTTTTTGTGTTTTAATAATTTGAGGCCGTCCTCCCTATTGAAGTCAAAAGTCATTTTCAAATAAGTCTAATGACTAATTTATCGTTCAATTTATTTTATTTTCAATAATAACTAATTTATCGTTTTAAACCGTTAGTGTTTTAGTTAAATCGAAAATAAATTGAAAAAAATTCGACTCGCGCAGAGCTTGAATCGCACACACGCGGTTAATATATTTTCGATTTTAAATTATATAGTGCCTTCATGTGCAATAACATGTGAAAAATATTAAAGTTGCCTAGTATGGTTTATTGTGTGAACTAACCTCAGCAAAACAGCGACGGAATCCAATCGACTATTAATATAAGCGGCTGTGACCGTCGGCGCGTACGTCTCCAAGAGGTGGGGCTCCGTAGCGTTCACGTACGGTACAGACGCGACCATGCGTTGCCATAGCGACAGAAGGTAGTGGACAGAGTTCGGTGTGAATTGCCACATCTAAAAATTGTACTTGAAATAAGCTTGGGAATAAATGTGACATACAAGTTTTATATTTTAATAATAGAGGACAGACAAACATGAGGTTCCCTTGAAGCGAGATGAAATACCCCAGCCATATAACATCTAAACTGGATGGGTTGTCGGCCTATTTTCGCTATGGATACTACGGCTTTTTCATCTGTGGACGGTGGTCGTGAACCCAGACACCAACACGCTTTTCACGGTTTAAAACAAAATACGGTAAGAAACGGTGTAAGTTAAAAATACATAGTTATGTATTTCCTAAAAACAATATAACATATTAATACATATTAGATAGTTTTCGATGCTTCGTGGGGATGGGCAACGGAGGGGTGAGGGGGAAGAGCTGGGTGACATTACTTTTCTGGCTAAGTTATTGTAAAGAACCTCACCTGTAAACTCTGGACAGTGAATTTGGCGATCTCTTCAATAAGGCGGGGATAGTTGTCCACCATGACCAGTTCACCGAGGCGGTAGTTCGACTTTAGACGAGCGAGTAGACGACAGAACTCGTGGTAGTTTGTGGGATCCGATAAACCCTGTAAGACAAAGTAGAATATAAACTACTCAGCTGATTGTCATGTGGTTTATTCGATTAGAATAAACTACATCAATAGCTAAGTATAAGTAATTGAGGCCGCTAAAGGCAGAGTAGCCTAACTGAAATTTTATGTTTTGACTTATTTATATTGTCATAGTCTAAAAATATTAATCTCCATTCTTACACAAATAGTACACATTCATTTTAGCCTAAGCTTATAGCGCATTTTTATTTTCCTACTTATTGAAAATCATGTTTTTTGTCATTAGGCCTCTCTGTCTCTGGCCACTCAATGAGAAGGCCCAAAAACCATGGTGTAATGCCACGTATAAGAACTCTTAGGTAACATTGTAAGAAAGAAAAATTGAGTTGACAGCTGTGACGTTTGTCTTATATGGAACATGGAAGTTCGTTTTCTCTTACAAGGATAAATATGTAGTTCACTAAAAGTAAATCAAGTATGTAAAATAAAACTTGGCAATAAAAGGAGTGACGGCGAGTTTATTGCCAGCTCTTCTCGTTCGTTATACGCCCAAGATTTGAGAACTGGTAGTAAATGTAAAGTTAGATTCTTTAATTTTGTGACGTTCATAAGTTCATGACTTCGATTCGCCAACCCGTTGATTATCAGCCGTACATAGCTACCATTAGACCAAGAGCCTGTCTAACCTGTGTATCCTCCAAGATGGTCATCACACCAGCAGCTAATTTATTGAGGAACTTGGCTCTCTCGTTATTACTGAATAGCGATCTTCGTACGGAGGCCAGCTGGACTAGACACGCCAGCGAGAGACCAGCCAGGGACCCTCGCACACAAGCGTATAGAGAGAAGAACAACTCCAAGGTACTGGACTCCAGGAAGGTCGGTCGCCACGATGTTGGCACCTGGAAAATGTAGTATCCTTATATACAGACCGCCTCTGTAGCCAAATGGTTAAACGTATCGCCTAGCATTACGTTAAGAGCGTGGGTTCGAATCCCAGAGAAACATATATTGTTTCGGTCGGTCGGGCAGGGTACAGAAGTCTGATCAACTACTTGCCCGTTAAAGGAACGGATCAGTAAAACCGACATAGAAATGTGTTGGACCCAAGCCCCACGAGAGGGAAACGCGAAACACGAAAGCTTTCACTTTTTATATACAGGTTGGTAGATAAATTAAAAATCGGTTTTAGACACTGTCTGTAGTTTATTCGAGTACATATTTGAATAAAACACTTAAACGGTTTAAAACGCGATATATATTAGTTAACTGAGTCTGTTTCGTGATGCAAAGCATCCTAAACGTCGGGCCGTGGTCTACACTAGTTCTCTAAGGTTTGAAATCAGCCGTATTTGTTTTAATTGAGGTTTTGGTCTCAATCACGCAGGACTCTCTCTAACTTGGTTAAATAACTGGTCAATCAATGCTATTCTTACGCGTTTTAAGCCGTTAAATGTTTTATATTACGAATTTCCATCGAAATGTCCATAAATTAACCGCTATTATTTCAAGTTTTAAACCGTTAAAAGTGTTTTAAATACTGAAAAAACCCTAAAAAAAGCTGTCTCCTGGTTTTTAATGCATTTTACTTACTTGTATAGTACATAGATCGTCCGAAGACTCGTCGTTGGTTGTTCCAATGAAGTCGAACGTGAGGCAGTTGTGCGCCAAGCGCAGCAGAGCAGCCAGCAGCGCCTGCTGGCTCTCATCAGCCATCGCGAGCTGCTTCCCTCGCGCCGAACTCAACAGCGAGCAGGACACGCGAAATATCTCGAATAGCTGCATATCCCTGGAAATTAGTGATGGGTCTCGTTGGCCTAATTTGTATGGAGGGTAGATAAGCACGGGATGGTAGGTGTAATAGCCCAGCCATATAATACACAAGCAATATGCTGTCGCCCTATTTTGGCTATTGGATATGGACGCGATTAAACTTCACGGATTTTTTATCTGTGACCCGGACGGAAGTCCTTTCCTACCCATTCAATAACCAGATTTCCAGACAAACTGCAACATTTAAATAAAACACTTTAACGGTTTAAAACGCGATATATTAGTTAAACTTATTTGGAAATGATTTTTAACTGCTGGCTGCTGCAAAGCATCCCGAAACGTCGGGCCGAAGTTAAAAATCATTATATAATTTTAAAATCGAAAAAAAATTGAAAAAATTTTCGACTCGGGCAAGACTTGAACCGGCATCGACAGCGTTCCGTGCTGTTGCTCTACCAATTCCTACACCTCATCGAGTGGTGATTTTCGATTTTAAAATTATATAGTGCCTTCATGTGCAATAACATGTAAAAAATAATAAAGTTTTCAAACATTAAAAATCTTTTTAAAAAAAGTTTATTATATCGCGTTTTAAACCGTTAAATTGTTTTATTTAAGTGTGTACTACTCGCGTAAACTATAGACAGTATTAAATTATAAATTGATTAAATTTATGTTAGACCCATATAATCATACGTCGCTACCATTACACCACAAGCTTGTCTGTCTAAATAATAAAGAATCCCGGGTTCGATTCCCACCGGGTCCAATTTGTATTTATATTAAAACGATCATTTTGATGGAAGAATCGGATTCGGTTAGAGTCTGTGAACTTCTGAACGTCCAGAACCGAAATATTTAATAGGTCGTTAACACATCGTGCTTTTTAATCACATGGCTGAGGTGTTTCACCTTCTACTTTTTGGCCTATTCAAAATTCCGTAATACCTGAAAGAAGAAGCGATCTTTCTGTGTTTCGAGAGAGATCGGCTGGCGTCCGATTCGAAGACTTGATTCATTTCCACCACCAGCTGAGATAGTAACTGCACTCCGATGGTGCACGTTTCCACTGGACCCTGGAATTAAAACAACGAATGAATTGAGGCTCCTAGGGGCAGAGTGGCCTAACAAGAAAGAACATGATTTTCTTAGGCGAAAATGAATTTGTACTATTATTTGTGTAATGTTAACAATTTTCGATCAGTGTGCTCTTGTAGATTAACATTTTTAGACTATGCAAATATGAATAACTCAAGTGATAAAATTGCAGTTAGGCTACTCTGGCTCTTACGGCTCTATATATGCTTTAATATTATTCGATTATTTCAGACTCTTTGCAGCTGGGATACTAAGGTTTGTTAGTAAATATAATTTACAAATTTCGCGTTTTAAACAGTTATAATGGGTATTGTTGATGGAACAAAGAAGCCTGGAAGAGGTCGCTGCTTATAAGGCCGCCTTCGATTTTATAAGTTAGTATGTAAGATTTTATAGTAATTTTTATGAGAAACCGTAATATATAATATTATGTTTGTTTGTCTTATTACACACTGTATAAACAATCAATCTTAACTCTTCGTATAGTTAATCGATCAGTGTGTTAGACCCATGCCCCGAGTAGGGGTAAGAGGCTAATATACCGATAGATTTAATTTATTCATATAACTAAAACACTTTAACCGTTTATAACGCGATATATATTGAACTTATTTGAGAAACAATAATTCTTCTCTTTAGTTTATATCGCGTTTTAAACCGTTAACAAGTGACTTTAAATTTAGTTGCGTAAACTACAGGCAGCATTTATTTATTTATTTTATTTTAAATTCATACAGAAATACATGTATACATACAATTAGAAATAGACATTTACCAAATAATCAATAACGTGACTTCTAATTAGGAAGGCACATTTTGTGCCCATTTCTGCTTTTTCCTTATGCCCTTCTCGACCGAAACAATATCATAAACGAAGAACCTAGGACCTCAAACACGTGACCTCACCTGTAGGAACCCTGTAGTGACGTCATCGAGGACATTGTGAAAGACGTGCTCCTCTTTGACGGTGTCGAACCAGCCTAGCTTTGTGATGCGCGCGAAGAGCGATATTAACGCCTGAAATAGAATAACAATAATTTCGCTTTGTATCGCATGAGTGGATGTGGGGGGGGCTTGTTTATCAATTCCTTTAATGGGGGGGGGGAATTGGGCCTCTTTAGCTGAGGATTATGTCAGCAGTATGAACCAAAGATTATAACATTTTATTAAAATTATATTGTCTGCTAATCTAAACAGATTTAAGCTAAAATTATGGTGAGAAGGTGGGGGGGGGGTTTGAAAGTACTTTCCATGACAAGATGGAGTGCCACACCCAACACCTTGAATAAAACCCTTTGTAACGGTTCAAATCGCGAACTATATGACTGAATCCTTCAATTTCAATTATATCTCCATAATACCGGTTATGATAAGATTACATTATGCAGATCGCGTTTCAAACCGTCAGTGTTTTGTTTTTTAATTTGACGGCCTTCGGCATCATGAACCTATACAAATTGATCACAGTCCGGAAAGTCTTAGAATTATCTATAACAATGGCCAAATTTGTATTGGCATATGGCAAAATGTATATGCCAAAAGGGTTTACATATTATTGTGCAATATGTAACCATACCAGGTTGCATATTGCACAATTCAGATTATAACAAGTTAGTAACAAGATAAGGCATACCTGCACGACGAAATTGGCAAGTTTGGGTCTAGTAGCGAGGTAGTTGAGAATATAATTTCTAATATCCAGCCTCTGTTGTATTGATAAGCTGCTGGTTTGTCTGGAATTGTATTATAGTTATTTTAGAATGACCAAGAAATGCAAATTAAACACAATCTTTTAATTATTCAAATCTAATCTAATATATAAAATTGTCGTGTCACAGTTCTCGTTGCCATACTCCTCCAAAACGGCTTGACCGATTTTGATGAAATTTTGATGAAATTTTTTGTGCTTATCCGGTATCTACGAGAATCATCTATTTTTCATTCCCCTAAATGTTAAGGGTAGTCCACCTCCTAATTTATTTTTTTGACAAAATTTTTAATTTTATTTTTTTATGATACAACATACAAAAGTACAGACAATCCTCAATATTCACCCTTCTACGATGTAGCCTTGTTTTTTAATAGCCATTTTAATTCAATTAATATTTCGTATTTTATTTAATTTCTACTTGCATAAACTACAGAAAAAAAAGGCTTATTTAACGGAAGGTAGAATACACAGCCTTATAACATCTAAACAAGAGCTGTCACAATGATTTGGCTATGATTATCATTTATCCATATTCGGATATGTTTCCCAAAAGATAAATATTTTCTGAAAATTTTTAGATCTAGTTGTGGTTATTCTTAAAACTCGATTCTGTCAGTGAAATTTAAGGAAATATCAGTACTCTATTTTTTACTTTCAATTCCTTATAATATATCAGTGTGATGTTTCTGTTTGATTCCTCTATTCTTAAATAAATAAATCTGGACGTCCAATGAGGCCTTCATAACACATACATATACGATGGGCAATGTTTGGTTGTTGGAGTTCACTTGAGGGAGACGAAATACCCCAACCATATGACATACACAGAAGATTATCTATTTACGTTTTAAACCGTTAAAGTGTTTTATTTAAATAAAAATATGTCTTCACCTGCTGATGAGCTTTCCAAGAGTGGTGGCAGCCAACAATTGTGAATAACTCGAATCTGCCCTTTCAAGTAACGCCTGACATTTGCTCAACGTGTCCGGGGACTCCTGAAGGAAAATAGGGCACAAATAAATATAAAGAAAGTCAATATAAGTATAATTAAAAATTTACGAATATATTGATGTTTGTTTACATTAATGTAAAACTACTAAATGTATTGTAATAATTACTTTCAATTGTATGTAGATCACCTTATAAATCTACTACTAAGCACCATAGTTTAATTTCTTTAGGTTGGTAGTTCGGCACTCAGTGGGTACTATATTTTCATATACATTCTGATGTGTTTTCTTAAAGAAAATCCTTGTGGACTAGCTTGTCGTAGAACCAAAATTTTTACAACTTATGTCATCTGCCGACACCCATTTGACCAGTGTTGTTGATAAGGCTTATATACTATCTTAGATGGCACAAGTCCCAGCAGTGAGATTGTTTGAAAGGTCGGTAACACATTATTTAATAAGCTCATTTTTTAAAGACAGTTCTATATTAATAGAAGCTATAGAGGAGTGTATTATGTACCTGAAATGCAACAACTGCCTTCTCCGCTTGCTCTCTGATTAACGGATCCTGTGACTCATATAGCTGTTTACACAGCAACTCTATTTGAATCACCTCCTGAGAACAATGATTTCACAAATGCTCCTTAATTTTTCTATGAAAGAATTGAGAAGAAGTTCTTGTCTTAATAAAAACAGTTTGGAACAATAAAACAAAAACCAAACCGATTTTGCATATGTAAAAGTGCGAACAAACTTCACCACATTTCCTAGATTTAAACTGAATACCCTTTCTTAGGCCAATAAATATTATTAATTTCTATTGGCGACATTGATAGCAGGCCAAATGATCAGTCCACACCATATGCTCACCATTTCCCTGTTCCGTCTTTGAGGAGGATTTTAGGTTATGTGACGGTCACGGTGTCCCATTCAAACCTTCTGGTTACTTTGTAAAATATTATCATCTGTTACATCTTTAGTTCTTTGACTACTATCTATCTTTAATGAATGTATTGCTTCCCATATTTTATGTATGGACATTCATATATTCTTATGACAATTATTATTTACAACTAAACCTTAGGTGTAGGTAATTAAATATATCTAATTATAACAAAGAAGTACGATCAACTATGGTTTACTTGATAGAATACTATATCTGTCGGTTTAATTTGGCTTTGGAGATTACAAAATCAACTGTTTTGAAAACAGCCTTGATTGTCTCATTATCATCTTAAAAGTGAAGATACACTCTTATTGAAACGGCATCTTTAATATGACATAGTTTAAAGAGCATAGCCCAATCATTATTGCTTCATTACTCAATATAGTCCCCTTGCCAACATTCTTGTCCGGTTCCTATAATTATACAGACCCCACCGATCATAGATTATAACGTCACTATTATGTCAAGACAAAGTAGCCACAATATGAAGAAACTGTACACCTTGATTTGATTTGAGGCTAAATTTGATGTTGTCTTGTCTGTTGTATTTACTAATGTATGTAATGGACGTCATTGGTACTAGTTTAGTCATAGTCAAGTTTAATATGATCTGAATTTTATAGGGTGGGAAATGTGACTCAAAATGAGCTTATCCGATATCCGATTATAATCCGATGTGTAAATAAAACTAATGCACTTATTAATAAGCCCACCCCCAGACATTTATCCACGTTAAGTTTAAATTATTCTTATTTTTTTTAACTTAAGGTGGTTAAGTTAAAAATAATAATAATAATTTAAATATAATAAGTTAAGTTTAAATTATGTTTCTAACCTAGTGATAGCATTTAAAAAATCTATATGCAAGTTTCCAATGAAAAAATGAGGCAACTTTAAAGTGTGATCTCAAAAGTTCTAAAAGCGACAAAACATGTGTATGACAAATTAGTTTAAATAATGTAATTTTAGTTTAATTAAAATATGCTTGAATGTAATTTTAATCTTAACTAATTCAGACAACACAATAATGAAACCTTGTAGCTGTTTATTTGTAAAAATGAAGATAGTTGTAGAGTTGTTTTTTGTTAACTAAGAAGGATAGTACAGATATAAAATTATAACTAAACGTAAGTTAAGACGTTTTTATTGTATAGTTATTATACAACTTCAACAGTTACAAATAAATTTTAGATGTTGACTAGAAAGGTTTTTGTGTATCGACTCTGACCAACTACATAAAATATAAAGTCTGTATAGTAAGAATGTAGTCTATATTCTATGTGGACATTAAATAACGATTTCTATTCGTAATTAAATAATCAAATAGTACAAATAACTAAAATTCCTCACAAGTCAATTCACTACATAAGTGTCAAAAATCAAAATAAAATATAACCACAAAACGCCGGCTAACGTAAACAAAGGCTTTTGTAGATAGTTTAATTGTAACATTACTCGTTATTCAATAATTTGCATTCATTTATTGGGAATTTTAAATAAAATGCACTTGAAAAAACCATTTCCGAGTGAATGAAAAGTTTGCAGAATTTGCAAAAAATACGCGGTCTCGGCGAAGAATATTACATATAAGTTGTATGTTTTAAAATGTACTGTCAGCTAATAAATGTTACGAGTTAATATTTCCACTGGATAAAGAAATAAGAGCAATATTTTGATACTTACTTGCTCTTCAGCCATCTTTGTTGTTCTCACGCATTTGATTTGTGACATTTCATTTTTTAATTTTGGGCCTGGTGGATACGTTTCGTTTCATGTTTTTTCTATGATATTAAAAAATTTAAAAAATTATTATCAAAAATATAATGTAATTTAATTTTAATATAAAAAAAAATTCTGCAATAATTATTTATTGAAATAGAAAAAGGGTTATGAATACCAAACTTTACCATTGTTCCTCTTTAAATTAATTATAACTGGCTGTAATTTTCTGACATTATTCTGCTTTCAGAACAATAACAAAAGAAGAATATTTTTTTTCTTACCATTTTTATTTTTAACGGCAAAAATGAAATTCCTTTTAAAATAAACAAAATGTAAATAAATTATTAAATTTTAGTATGAAATCGGGCCCACATAAAATTTAATGTTCAGATATCAGATATGTTGAAAACGACTCTGTCTAAAATTAAAAGGGTATGTAGCATAGCCTTCATACCTCGTATTTTACAAGGAGACATAAAGTATGCAGTTCAGAAGAAATTTATAAAACGTAAGCTTTACTTTTTTATCGTAATATGATAGTTATATTTCTTTCATATAATATTATGTATTGAGATAAATGTTGCCCGCTTGAGAGTATTACCAATACTAAAAATACTAGAGGCAGGTAGAACAGAAATAATTATGTTTTAAGATATTCTTTTATAATGAGTAATTCGTTACAGCGCGTTCAAACTTACAAACAAACATACAAATTCTTTAGCTTTATATATTAGTAAAGACAAAATGTATGAAGCAAATAATTATGCACTATAAAACATAAAAAAAAACAAATTCGCACTATGGAGAATGTTTTGCTACTATCAAATTATTCATACACAAAATTGGTTCAAATTCACAAAGGATCTAACGGGTGTGAAAAATAGCGAAATTGTTATAAGCAACACTTTCCAAATAGCAACACGTTCAACATTTTCGAAATAAATATAAAAAAATCCATTTACTTTAATTACTAGACTAGTGATAATTGTGATTTCGCTATTTTTCAGATTCAGTGATATCACCAAGTGCTACAAAAACTACGAGCAGTGCCAATCGCTCGCACAGTACTAACAGTGACAAAGGCTCAGATGGAATAACGGAGGAAAATCTTCAAAAATGCGTCGAAGAAAACCTCGAAGAGGAACGTGAAAAATGCAAGACTATTATAAGCAAAATATTTCCTCCCGGAGATCCACTTTACGCAACCTTCGATAACAACAACGAAGAACTTACACAGAAGGTGGAAAATCTAACAGAGGCTGCCCTAGTTGAACCACCTCCAAAGCTAGATGACCATGGGAGACCCAAAGTATTGGGGCAGCAAGAAGAAATGACATCCAATCAATACTACACGCCTGAACCAGAAAATTACGACGCGAAATACGACGATCTTGCAAATCGCTGCCTCACAACACCGCCTAGTAAAGTAGATGAGCGCATTTTAAAAGAACTAGGTGTGAATATACCAAACTACTTTAATGATTCCCCCAGAAGACCGACTGAAAGTTACTACAGCAGAGTGTTATATGGCCAAACTAATTCAATGACGCACAACAGAAATAAGGACGCGAACAAAACTGCCGTGCAAAATGTAGATTTTAGCAATCTTGACGTCATCAACATTGCTAAAGCAGAGTTGATCCAACCGTTGATATTTGACTCCGTGTCGTTGTGCGAGTGCTTTGAAAAGAACGGCGAGGCATGCAGTTATAATATCGATAAAAATCTGCACCCAGCAATGAACCCTTATGAATACAGTATGTTCCCATTCAATGATTATGGCTTTGAGGAGCTCATTGAAAAACTCGGAGAGGAAGAAGAAAGTATGATGGTGACAACTGGGGTCGATGATAAAATGGGAAATAATTCGGTTATGCCACCGGCGGAAATGGAAATTGAAAAAGATCAAACTCCCCAAGATGTTAAGGAAAAACTGAAGGGCGCTGTGACGGGGTTAGGTATACCAAGTGAACCGACTATGGAACCTCTCCAACCCATATCAAATATGTCTGAAACGATAGGCGATGCGTTCGTTTATACAAAGTCATCTTCAGGACCTCCAACTGATTGGTTAAGCAAAATGCACCGCCGACCTGAAAAACACGTGAAACCAAATACAGCTATTTCATCTAAAAATAAAAAGGAGAAACAGCAGGTTCCCACGAACTCCTCTATTTCGGAAAATCAAAATCCAAACGATATAGCGAAAATGACGCAGGGGGAGAAATATGTTAACGAGAGACCGGATGTTACAAGCCAACCGGATTACAATAACTTACAATACGCGACCAATTCTGAAACGTGTCATTGGGGATACCCGTATTTTACTCAGGATACTTCAAAAGCGCCTCCTTTGGAAAGTGCCTCGAACCTATACATACAAGAGCCAACAGATAACGCGTCAGCTTCAGCGTCAGCAAGCGCTCCAAGTTTCGATAAACAACCAGATTTAACCAATCATAAATCGGAAAATCAACAATATTTTGACAACGCTACGTTTTTTCAGGCACAAGACAATTATAATAAGTGTTATCAAAATATGCCTGCGGGTAAACAGAGCATCGAACAAGCGGAAGTAATAGAAAAGTCTTCGTTGCCAAAAACGCAGAAATCCGAAAATATTTCAGGATCTGTTCAATATTCTCACCAGACAAAAGTATCTGATAAGTTAGCTGACGCGTCAATTAATATACAAGATATAGCCAAAAATCCTGCGGTAGAAAATACGTTTATTAAAACACAGAAAGTAGACAAAGAACCATCATTCCATCAGACACCTGTAACACAGGAGACTCAAAATGTGTATACATATCAACCGCACACACAAGATAGTACAAAAGATATAATTCATGAAAAGACACCAGTTTCCTACATCCAAGAAGGTAATGAAGGACCAAATCACCAACAAAATTTAACCTTTCAGAAACCAGGACAAAAGGTTCCACTTTTAGATAAATTCCAGGTCCGACCGACTGAAGAACAGTCAAATAAACCATTAGTTACTGATCATCCAGAAACTGAGCACCCAAAAATTACTCCCAATGTGCATATAAAACCAGAAACACTAAAGCCAAATATGGAAGGTAATATAACAGCCACTGGACCCATACCGGACTTGATGACAGAAGACACTGTAACACTTAAAGAGCTGCTGCGGAGAATTCGGGAACGCCATCGCCAAGAGCTCTGCCGCGACTATTACAACCAGATAGCCCAGATGTCTGCCGAAACAAGCACAAAATCTAATACGCTCGGACCCAATCCCTGCAAAACCCCCGGTAAAGAAAAGCCACCACAGTGTCCGCCCCCACCCAAATGCCCTCCCACAACCCAAAAGGACCCGTGCGCCCCCAAAAAGGATCCATGTGCCCCCAAAAAGGATCCGTGTGGAGGTTCCAGCAAGAAGAACCCATGTGCAAAGTTCTCGCTGATAGGGGAAAAGATCCACGATAGTCTTCGCCTATTAAGATTGTATTGTCTGTCGGACTGTGTAACGGTCCAGTATCAACCCACCAGGCAATATTCTCAGGCACTGTCGGCAAAATCTGTACCAATTCATACCTTGGTAAAAGAGGCGTTTAACGAAACTCATGGGCATGATATAATTTTGGCTAGAGACTATGAACCCTGGACTCCGATACCGTCTTGGCCGCTCCCGAAGAAGGAGAAAGAGAGACCCTTCGTGTGCCCAAAAGAGGGATGCAAGCCCCTTCCGCCGGCGCCTTTCAAACCGGCCTTCAAAGATAAGCCCTGCGTCACGTTTCCAAAGAAAACATTTTCATTTTCTGATTTTTTTGAACAGCCTGTAACGAGTACCCGAGAATAAAAAAACATACTAAAAGACGATAAATAATTATTTTACCATTCGTTCTTAATATTTTAATCTATACTAATATATAAAGCTGAACTGAACAGTTTGGTTGTTTAGTTGTTTGAACGCGCTAATCTAAGAAATTACTGGTTCGAATTTAAAAATTCTTTCTGTATTGTTTAGACCATTTATCGAGGAAGGCATAACATAACGCGCTGTGGGAAAAAACGCTGATAAAACTATCTTGTGGGTTCCGATGTACGCTGCTAGAAATAAGGAACCTTATTTTTTACGTAATATTTTAAAACGTGGGCCCTATTACAAATACATTGTTTTCTGATACTGAGCTATTTTCATATTTTCAAATATGAAAATAGGTAGACAGTTGAATTTAGTAGCTTAAAGGCATATTAACAAAGTTTCTTGTCTTTTTGCTTTAATTCTTTTTATAATAAAAAAAAAAAATGGTATTGTACAACATAATGTTGTTTACTCTAGATAGCTTTGAGCTATAACCGTATCCCGTCATTATTGATTTTTTTGGATTCGAGTCCCACTCATGGTATGTTCTTTAATCAAAAACGGATTTATATATTCCTTCAATCGGCGATTCAATGTAAGGCATAATTATTTAAGTAAATGTTTAAAATAAGCATAATTCAATCGTATTTTGTTTGACCGTCTCCGTAGCTCATGCTTTAAATGAGGTTCTTGGTTCGATTTCCGGGAAACAATAAATTGTTTCGGCGGGCCCCAGGGCACTGAAGTTTTGATTACGTACTTGCATATACATGCAATCGGTCAGTAAAACGGTGAAGTATAGAATGTTGCCAAACAGGGCGTTTTATACTAAATATAATTTAAATAAAACATTTTAACGGTTAAAAACACGATATATACTTTTGAAATATTTAAATTTAGTTAAACTTATTTGAAAATGTTTCTATGATATATATTCTATGGCACGGCGTTTCGGAAGCTTTGCAGCAGCCGTGGTAACGGGGAGACTAAAGATGAGAGGGTGCTGGTCTGACGTCAAAGGCGAAACTGGTAGCTGTCCGTGGCGAAATATTTGTACCTGGCCAGTTTCGTCAATTACGTCGGGCCGTAGTTAAAATAAGTTTCACAATAATATAACGCGTTTTAAATCGTTAAACGTATTATTTATATGTGTACTGCTCACTTGAACTACAGACAGTATTTAATAGACATTATTTCTTATTAATTTTTAATTTTCATTGTAGTCATCAACGAAGAGTCTCCGGTATTGTCGCGAGCCTTTTCAACGACGGAATGGACGAAACCAAAGTTTGACGTATCAAAACCTTACACGGTTCCCGTAAGCAAACCCAAAAACAGTAAGGAAAAATGCTTGTTACCGCAAAAAAGCACAGAAGCTAAGCGTGTTATTGTGAGACAGGATAGAAATTTTTCAACTGACAACACTGGAAAAAACGCGGGAAATTATCGCGATACTGATAAAAAAGAGCGCTTTAGAAACGCGGGAAAATAAAGTTCACCGATTTAGACCTAATTATTACTACCACCGATGGCGGTTATATCCTATATTGTTGATAAATCTTTAACGTCTAATTAATTTTAGTTTTAGTAGCTTGTTTTCCACTTACTTTGTTTAGTTTGTAGTTTGTGCGTTTAATAAAATGTTAAAACATTTTCTATCTATTTTATAAAACAAAAATGAAAATCCTACACAATGTCCTTATAAACAACAATTACAGTTAACATTTCAAATCTGTAATATCTTACATAAAGTTGGCGTTTAATAATAATGTATATATTATATACATATATAAAGCTGAAGAGTTGTGTGTTTGTTTGAACGCGCTAATCTTAGGAACTACGGGTTGGAATGGAAATTTATTTTTGTGTGGGTTAGAACATTTATCGAGGCAGGCTAAAGGCTATAAAATCGCCCTGTGACTAATGCAAGCGAGATATGTGAGAAATAAAAAAAGGGAAATTTATTCCTCATTATGGCTTTCATAGCGACGCTGCTGTTCAAAATAGTCAAAAAATATTTCAATAAAAAAGAAAAAAAAAAAAAAAAAGATATATGTTATTTTGAAGTTTAACTTGAAAAACGAGAGACGAGACCGACGTCGTGGGTAACGGCTCGAGTTTTTAAAGATGGTTTGCAAAAACGAATTTGGATGCCCAAAATAACGATTCTTGCGGACGAAGTCGCTGACTCAGCTATAAAGATAAAGTTGAATAACATTATTAATGTTATGACCTAAGCTATTTCATTAATAAGTCATTATTTCTTATAAAATATAGGATAAAAATGGTTACTATGGATTTTGGAGAGATAGATGAATTTAGAAATATCTCAATCTTTACGCGGTGGTACACATTTAAATAAAACACTTTAACGGTTTAAAACTGTGATATACTAGTTAAACTTATTTGAAAATGATTTTTAACTTCGGCCCGACGTTTCGCGATGCCTTGGCTAACAAGCAGCCGTGGTACGTCGGGACCGAAGTAAAAAATAATTTTCAAATAAGTTTAACTAATATATTGCGTTTTAAACCGTTATAGTGTTTTATTCAAATGTGAAACATCAATCTTTCTATAACAAAATAAGTATTTTAAACCGCTTCCGTAACCGTTGCGTAGTTTTTAAAGATACATAGGGACGGATAGACAGCGAATTTCCTCCATGCTAGTAATATTACATAATAATAAAGAAAGTTTGTTTATTAATTCTTCAAAAAACTTATTTATTAAGATTAGGGCGACGAACCTTGTATCAAACCTAAATAAAACGTTTCAAATGGTATCAATAAGACGAAAAAAACCAAATGGATAAAATACCCAACCACATAAATTCCTCAAATTATATTTAAATAAAGGACTATTATAAAACTTAATTAGGGATATAACAAAAACCAACCAAGTGTGAGTTTAACTACGCACCGAGGGTTCCGTGCTATCAATATAATTACACGCGACCGATATTGTGGGTACCATCTATAAGTTATAGACTAGGGTGGAAGTTAGCAAAAACAAACTTTGATGTCCAAAATAACTATTCTACGCGGACGAAGTCGCTGGCACAGCTATCTCTTATATGCATACTATGAGTCTTAATACATAAGGTTTTAGTAGTGGGGCACGGAACTCTACTATAATAACTTATAAATTTACATGTGTAAATAAAATTTAAATATTTACCGCATATAACATACTTCTGTTAAGTTATCAGCTGAGGAGGGAAATCCAATTATTTTGCGGTCAAATGTACACCAAAGTTCAAGAGGAAATGTGACTAATATGGGCCAGTGTCTCCCTAATATAAAATAACATAATAAATAGAATAAAAAAATAGATGACGAAGCCACATTGTAATTTTAGTCTGGTGGACTTCTGCTTGCCAGTTCTCCTCCATTGTAAGAAATGTCCGCAAAATATTTTTCCATTTATATCACAAAAACCGGCTATCTGCACACAAAGTACGAAGTAAGCCCCATGCTTGCCTGTTCTCCTCTTTTAAAAAAATGTCCACAAAATATTTCTCTTTTTAAATCACAAAAACCGTGTTGTGCACACAAAGCACGAGAGGTTCGATTCCGAGGAAACATAAAAAAATTTGTGAAATGTTTCGATTGAGGCCCCCGATTTGAAATGATATCAATAAAACAGTCACAGTAATCGGTTTCCCCCTTGCGTAATGGGAACAAAAAGGTTTTCAGTTCATTTTAAGAAAGAAAACATACGACTCAGTATTTTGTGAACAAACGTCAAGGACCAAAGCGGTTTAAAATAAAAACAGATAGTCCATATTTGTCTCGTGTCCTCTTAAGACTGTAGAGACATAAGACAAATATGGTCATAATTAACGGTTCCCTAAAATTAATGACGATTATTACAAGTTACGCCATTATAATTTGTACTCTAGAGAATTAATTTTAGATTAGAATAGAATAAAATACTGTCTGTAGTTCACGCGAGTAACCATTAAACAGTTTAAAACGCGGGCACAAACAGTCACCGTCTGATGTCTCCCCATGCTGCTGCAAAGCATCCAAAACGTCGGGCCGTAGTTCAAAATGATTTTCAAGTTTAACTAATATATATCGCATTTTAAACCGTTAAAGTGTTTTATTTAAATATAATAGTAATACGTTTATTCGGAAACACAACAATTAAAACTTAATCTAACTAACAATAGCAAGAAGAGAATACCTATTTTTTTAAAAAATAAAAAATGTTTTTAACTTCTATATTAGTTTGCTTTTTGTTCATTGTTTCTTACACTTGAAGCCTTTTTTATTTCTCCTGTACTTTGCCAGGTAGAGATCGCTGCTTAGGGATAAGGCCGTATTAATTTGAAAGTTAGTATGTAAGTTTTTTTCTCTTGTAGTTTTTGTGGTATATAGTATGAACAATAAAGCTAAAATAAATAAAATTATTACATCAATATAGTTGCCTCTGAAAGCCACTCAGCTATGTTGGGACATCAGTCCCAACTCTGATATTCTGTGGCACCTTCAGAGGCCGAGCTAATTCGAGCGATATTATTTGACTTCTTGTAATGATATAGGGCAGAGGGTGAAGTACCTCAGCCTATAGCATCTAAACAAGATGCACTATTGACCTAGTTTTTGGCCTTGGATAATCGGAAATCCACAGACTGAAACCCAAACATGATTTAACTTCCCGGCTTTTTCATCTGTGGATCAATCATCGCTAAGGATAAAAAATGTTTACTATCGTATAAATAGGGCAAATAAGGACCGTACTTGTAACTCCTGAGGCCCCAAACATTGTTTAAAAGCCCCGCAGATGTAAAAGGTTGCATAGCACAAGCTTACTATGCTTTTTTCTTTCATTTACTGATTATTTATTATAATATTTAATGTAGCAAAAGTTAAATTAAATTGTTTATTTGTAAATTTGATTATATGTCTTTTATTTTGGTGTTAAACATTTTAATAAAAAACTAAGACCGCAAAACAATGTAGAATGTCTTCAAGATTCAATACCGAAACAGATGGCGCTTGCTTGCTGCAAAGAGTCCGTAATTTTGGGTAGTAGTTAAAATAGTTATTGTAAAGAAGCGACCAACAGTTATAGAACAATATTTCGTGTTTTGATCCATTAAAAGTGTTTAAATTATCGTTTACACTGTACTTCTAGATTACAGTAGCTAACCTACTATCAAATGATTGTATGATTGCAAAATGGTATGAAACAAGTGATATTCATAAAATTATTTTTTACGTAAGCTTTACATATTCTGTAAGAGTTCACCTTATTAATTGGGGCCCCAAGCCCCTAAAATATGGCTCAGTTAGGGATTCTACGCACACCACTATGATCGCTGCTATCAGCAACTGTAAAGTCAAATATATTAAGCGTGTCTCATTGTTTTCAGTAAGTATCTAATCATCACTCAATGAAACACATAGTTTATTTGAAAATAAGTTAAATATAATATTATAGTGTCTAACTTATGTTGCATCTTAAATATGGCAAAGAAAATATTTTTATTGTTATTAATTGTGGAAGTTTTCGGTGATAATATTGACAATTTCTTGGCTGAAATCTTCAAGGAGAAACCTTCGGCTGAATCATTACCAAGTAAGTTTCTTAGACTTTTAAGAAAAATTCTGTTTATCCTAAGTGGGACATGCTTACATCTGCTGTATGTTTTCAAACTTATTAGAGTCTATACTTATATTATAATGTTGAATTCTTTAAGTTAAACGCACTAATCTCGCAATAGTCACGACGAAATGAGAATATCGCATTCAAACAACAAACAAACTCTACAGCTTTATATATTAAAGTATAGAGTAAACATTGCTTTTTTTGTTCATAGAATCTGGTGAAGCCTGCACCATGGACGACGGTCGACACGGAGTCTGTACTTCCATGTTTTCATGTCAAGACAACATCAACTCTAACGAAAAGAAGCTTGTTAACATTGGGTAATTAAATATTGTTTGTAGTCTACGCGAGTTAATTCCTAAGTATTGTCTGTAGTCCTCGAGCAATATTTCGATAAACACTTAACGGTTTAAAACGCGAAACACATTAGTTAAACTCATTGAAATAATTTTAACTACGGCCCGACGTTTCGGATGCTTTGCAGCCGTGGGTCACGGGGGAACTTGTATACGTCGGGTCGTAGTTAAAATATTTTAAATAAGTTTAACTAATATAATTCGCGTTTTTAAGCATTAAAGTGTTTTTTTTAAACTGTACGATTTTTAAGTACGACATTTAACGGTTTTAAACACCAACTCAAATAGTTAAATTAGTAATAATTTACATTACATGTAAATATAATCAAATAATGAAACGGATTTAAAAATATGTCTGCCAATCTTCATAGGGAGAACAAGTTTTTTTTTCTTTCTCCTTTAAGATACAAATTATAACGAAACTCCTTCACGACTACAATAATTTATAAAATAGCATAGTAACTCCGCTCCACATTAAGAATGGTTTTCCCGGACTCGAACCTAGAAACTTCATATGTATTCCTTTAAAGCATCAACTTACATAATATGAGCCGGCTAGAGGCAGTGTGGCCAAAGTGGAAAATAATTGAGTACTATTATTTGTGAAAGCATTATTTTAATAATTTACGATTACTGTACCTACTCTTGTAGATTAATATTTTTAGACTATAAAAATATAAATAATTCAATTCGCAAAATTGCAGTTAGGCTACTCTGTCTCTAGCGGCCTCATATAGTATTGTTGCTAAGTATATAATAGTTTATCTATCAAGTTTATCTGCTAACAAAGCGACAAATGATCTACATATAACGATAAAATTTGCAGGGTACGTAATAACTGCGATCACTATTTGGATACGTGCTGTTCTGTACCATCTGAGCCCGAAAATGCAGAAAAGGCATCTGAAGAAACTGACAACGTAAGTCATACTTACTTACATATAGTTAATCTATA